CATCGTGGTTAATTCTAGTGGCATTCGTCGCGATTGGCTAACTGACCTGCTTTCATCGTCACCTATCATCCCTTACTAATGCCCTGCCAGCGTATACCTATAGCGCAGGCGGGGTTACCGTTGCATTATCACCTATAAAAAAACTCAGCTTATATTAAGCTGTACGTAACTATCACTGCTGCACATAGGTCTCCACTTATTCGAGGGTTTACGTACGTAATTATGTTATCTTGTAATGAAAGCATTCAATTATTTAATTTCTTGATTACATTTTCGTACAATTTGAATAATAGTGACGTGTTTATACGAGTAGATTAAGTATTACGGTGGGTGGGCAGGAATCACGGTCGGTTGTGTACGATTGCTATCACACGGCTTGGAGGCAACCGCCGCGTCGCGCTTCGCCACCGCCACCGCCGGCGCGCACCACGCACGGACGAACGACCCCGCGTCGTCGCACTATCAAGACTAAGAATATTGCGCCATACTCATCATATTCATAAAAAAAATATATAGTGATTCCATAAGAAGAGTTTAGTTTTTAATATTGTACAAGCAACAATGGCGGATTTTACACATTTGCTCTTAGCCAGCTATTAAAATTTCACAATCGTCTTAATTCTATGTACATTTGGTGGACTTAAGATTGGACGGTGTTCTCTACCACTAAACCATTGGCTAAACAGAGAAATAAGTAGGAGGTGCATTATTGAATTAAGGAAATATAAAATAATATATTCATATATAATTCTATGTATTATAAACATATAATTAGACTAGTATAAAACATGCATATGATACATTAAATAAATAAATGCATAAATAAATAAATAAATACTATAACAAATAATTAACTGTATTAGAAGAGCAAATGAAACAATCTACATATGATTCAAACAAAGTAACCAAATTTGCCGCCCCTAAAATCTGCCGCCCGAAGCTTCAGCCTACTCAGCTTGTTGATAAATCCACCACTGACAAGCAGACAATTTTCTGAGATAAAACTTTATTGTAATCTATTTAGAGTTCAATCTATTGCAACCACGTTAGCATGTTTTGTCGAAGATAATTCGTTTTTTATATATTAAAATCGCAAATCAAAGTGCATACTATGACATGTTTTTTGAAATTTTGGAGCCAAACGAAACAAAAATGTTATATGAAAATTACATAACACATACCTTTTAAAAGTATTAAAAATGTTAAAATATCGTTCTTTTGGACTATTATAGTAGGATTTATGACGAATAAACTGATAAGCTCCATTTACTGGGCCTATTTTGGTATGAACGAAACACGAAATTGAGTCCGAAAATTCGGCATTTCATTTCATGGTAGACGCCCTGTTTTAAGCAGTTTATCCATCATACCCAGTCGGCGACGGATTTACCAGTAGGCAGCATAGGCTGGAGTCTAGGGCGGCAGATTTTAGGGGCGGCAAATTCGAGGTCAAAAGTTACAGTTTCATTGAAAACAAAAAAAAATTAATTAATATGATTGCGAGCTAAACTATCGAAATGTAAAGATTAGAAGGCGGCAAATTTTAAATAGTCTATTAGAAGCAAATATTTAGATTCGCCGCTAGACTACATCCAGTTTTTAGGTAGGCAACGTAAATAATGCAAAACGGCTATGGGCTGCGGTGACCGCTTGTTTTTAATAAATGTTTTTTTTTTATGAACGGTCATAAACATGATTTATATCAATCCGTAACTGTATCTTTTACGTTTTTAGACATCGTCATGAATGTAATCAATTTGAAACCTAATTGCATTTTTTTAATGGGTAATAATGGAATGGTAACTCCACCCGCGCTATTGGTAAACACCGGCGGGGCACCAGTGAAATATGATAGGTGAAGATGAAGCAGGTCGTTAGCCCATCGTGACGAAATCAACAAGAATTGTTCACGATGGTTTCCAGGGGGAACTTCCCTATGGTTGACTGGGAGAGAATGCTTTTAACATTAAGTCCGCCATGTACACATATAATGAATAAATAAATAAACCACGTGGAGGTCGACTTAATAGGACATATTACTACCAATGGGGCTGTCAAACTTCATTACTAACAATCCCTTTCCACCCAAACTAATTGCATATTATGATTGTGCATATAACATCAGAATTACTGTTGATAATTTTTATGCTCTAAATGTTAAAAGGCTCATGCAATCCGATGGACGATTAGTCATAGTGGCATGGGCATAATTATGGTGACACTATTTTTCTGTCATTGCATGCGATTTTTTAGCATAAATACACTCGTAGTGTAAAGTTATATATAAACGGTATAGAATGAGCCACCCTTTCCTTTCCTGTGGTTGTCATAAGAGACAATTAAAGGAATTTTATGGTCGAAGGATAGTCAGTAGCATCCCTCTTAAAACGTCACCAAAGCCTAACTGCAAAGCATGGCAACTGGTATTTTCCTCCAGAGGGGGAGGCCTATGTCAAGCAGTGGACGGTTAACTATAATATATATGTACATATATATATATATATATATATATATATATATATATATATATATATATATTATATATATTTGTCCACATACAGGTGGACAACAGCGTCCATTTTAAAACATCACTAAAGGTTAACTGCGGTATCCTACTTGCTTGCCAAACGTAGAAACTACTGGCAAAGCTCCCCTTATGAGGGAGGCTTATGTCCAGCAGTGGACAGTCAACGGCTGATATGGTATAGTATAGATACTATTCCTTGTACTTGTACGAGTAGTATAGGAATTATAATCCCAGATAGTTTATTTCAACCGGCGTTTCTTATAATCTATTGTGGTGACGGTGTAACACGTTCCGCCGGGGGGGGGGGGGGGGGAAGGGATTGTTAGTAATGGGGTCTGACGCATTGCTAGCAATACACCCTATCGGGTCCACCTCCACGCGATTCCCCCTGGAAACTATCGTGGTTAGTTCTAGATCACGATGGGCAAACTGACCTGCTTTCATCGTCACCTATTATCCCTCCCTGGTGTCTCGCCAGCGTATACCGATAGCGCAGGCGAGTTTACCACACCATTATCATCCATTAAAAAATAACACGTTCCGCCGAGAATATTTAAATTTAACATAGCAAACGGCGAGTCACTGCCGTCTCACGGATTAATTATTTTGCTATGTTTTTTTTTTTACTATTATAATTACTTATTACTGAAGAGAAGGAAATTTAAATATACTTCATACTCAATTTAATTCAAATTGGTCGGTATAAAATTCTAATAACTTAAGACAGACTTATTTTTGAATAGGTGTAACACACGGTTCCCGTAGTTCACGGATCTATATATTATTATATTTTAACCGACTTAAAAAAGAAAAAGGTCTTCAATTAAGTTATATTTTTTTAGTAGTTTAATTTTTAGATCAAATTAAACTGGTGTTGTAACAAATGATATTGCTTTTTTTTTGAGAGACACACTAATTATTTAGATACTCGAATAAATATTCATCAATGGCTTATTTAAATTTATTTTTCAGGGAGGCATAGTACTTTGAAAGAAGCACATTATGTTCTCAGACAGTCAGCTATAGAATCATAAAAGATGACGATTTGAAAGAATCTATTCTATTTGAATAAAAAATATTATTTATTTAACAAGTTTTTTCGCATGATAATTCTGGGGTAGCCACGGCCAACTTGCATCTTCTCCGCTTTTTAAATACGTCTGTGGTTTTTTTTTTCAATCGTTTTTAAAATAAGAAGGTTGAGAACCTTCTTATTGGGTTGTATTTTTTTTTTTATATTTATTACCTCATAACTACATTAGTTGTAAATCAATTTGGATTTTTTCTAAACGGTTCTACTTACAGATTGGTCTCATAGAAATTTAATCAAAATCGATTTAGTACTTTAGTTTTTAAATCAAAATTTTTTTGTGGAATCAAATTTTATTATAATTTAGTTTGTTTCTGGTCTCTAATCAAATGCACTGTTCTTTTTTTTCTTGTTTGTTCTTAATAATAACTTTAAATTATCGCGGCTTTGATTTACCTGGTATTTTTGCTCGTTTTTGTAATATAATATGACTTTTTCAATTATACAAACATCGTATTATTAAGTTTTATATACTACATAAAGAAAGTCGGCGGCGCTGTTAATATGGCCCCATCCGCGCCGTCATCTGTTTAATGGGATATGATTACGTAGATCTTTGTTTGTTTGGCTTCAGGTACGGGCTTTAGTACGGTTGGTTATTTTATTTTCTCGTTGTAAATTTTATTACTATTTAGTAGACGTGGGTTATAACAGGACAAACATAATATCTGTTATTACTGTTACAACAATCTGTTATCATCAAATACTTGTGATTTATATCTGTTATGATTAATACGCCTCACTCCTACTATTTAGAGACTTATTTCAATAAGTTTTTAATGTTAATATATTTTTTCTCAAACATGCTTGGAAATGTGAGCATTATTTTGACAATCTTCTTCGAGATAAATAAAAATTGAAGTACTGGCCAGACACATGCGGGCAGCGGCCGGCAAAAGTTGTATGAATATCTATATCTGTCGTGTATTGCGGCCAGATAAATTACTATGTAAACTCATATCTATCCTGTAATTTAAAAATGGAATGACCTTTTATTTCGAAACATGGCTACCAAGGAGGTAACTAATAAAAGGTTTTATTTAAATTTCGAACTGGCTTGCAAATAGAAAGCTGCTTATTGAAAAAAAAACAAAGGAAAGACGTGAAAAATTATTATTGTTCGTTATTCGTCATTGAACTTAAAAAATAAAATTGTATTTTGATTTCCGCGCATTGTTTGAGAAAAGTACTATACAAGCCTTGGCCACAACTAGGCATTGATGGACTCACGTATGTGTGCCTCGGCTACGCCTCGGCCCACATTTGCACGTTCATCCATCAATGAGTATAAAGTATAAAGTATTATATTAGTGACAGGACTACTAGTCCCTATTATTATTATTATTATTGCTCTCTATAACAATGTGTTGTTTTATGCTGCAGAGCCGCGGCGGCGCCGGCGCAGCAGCGTGCGGCATGGAGTGCGGCGTGGCGGCTGCGGCGGGGGCGTATCCCCCCGCGCACCCCGCACACCAGCCACACCCCGCGCTCTCGCCCACCGAACGCTCGCCCGCCAAGTCCGGCCTTCACGTCAACTTCAGCGATAAGGGCGAGGTCAGTTGATCCCTAAGTTGACCCAACGCATGACCTCACATTTAACTTTCATTGTTAATTCACATGAGAGTAGGCATTATAGTATATTTAGCCATCACAATTCAATGTGACCTGTTTTATTTTTATCATGCAGTCTGTAGATACTCGAAACTTTATTATGATTGTTACTCTAGTTTTGCTGCTAGTAAATATGTAATGTACAAAAAAATCAGGTACATGGTTTGAGATATTTATTTCTCAAATGAATACAAGTAAATTTTTTTTTATGCTACTTAGAATGGCAAACAAGCTTACGGTCCACCTGGTGGAAAGTGGTAACCGTCACCTATAGACATGAGCAGTACCATGGACATAACAGAGTTATACTGTTTCGCCCATGATATCCCCCATGCGTTGCCGTTCCTAAGGACTCAGGTGTTATACCTCTGTACCCAGTAAATTCACGCCATATCCCACCCTTCAAACCGAAACACAGCCATGCAAACACAGCTGCTTCACAGTTGAAACACATATTTACTTAAATGAGATTATAGTTAATTATAACTAATAATATTGTCATTTTGTAGCCGGGGGCATACAATTGGCAGTGTACAAAATATTCTGATAAAAATTGGCGGTATGCGCATGAAACAGACAAATAAGTGACTTATTACACACCGTCAGTCGTTTGAATTTATAGCAATTTAATTCCTGTTTTTATTTCCTGTAAAATTATGTACACGTTTTTCCTTTTGTGATTCCCAATCTGTTAAAAGCAAAATAAGTAGGTAGGTATTTAGTCTAAGTTCTGTGTTTCTGCTTTTTTTTTTGTTACTAGCAAGAATGGCAAAAAGTGAGATAAGCAAATTAGTGGAAAGCCTAGTTGGAACCATAGAAAGTATATTTACATTAGACTATTTCAGATAATAAATAGTAGTTTGTAATTTATTACAAATAAAAAAATTCCAGGTGAAGGAGCGCCGTGAGAAATTCCTTACTGCCAAATATGGCAGCCACCAGATGGCGCTAATCCGCAAGAGGCTTGCCGTAGAAATGTGGCTTTACGACGAGCTACAGAAACTCTACGAAATTCCGGTGAGTAGTGAAGTGGATGATATAGGAATGGTAACCTCGCCTGCGCTAACGGTATACGCTGGCGAGGCACCAATGATGGGTGATAGGTGGGAATAAAATGGTGAGTCAGTTAGCCCACCGTGATGAATACACTCAGAAATCAGCACGATGGTTTCCAGGGGAAACCACGTTTTTTTTTTATACAACACAGAATGACAAACAAGCTGACGGCCTCCTGATGGAAAGTGGTAACCGTCGTCTATAGACATGAGCAGTACCATGGACCTAACAGAGTATACTGTTTCGCCCATAATACCCCCCATGCATTGCCATTCCTGAGGATTCGGGTGTTATTCCTCTGTACCCAGTAAATTCACGCCATATCCCACCCTTCAATCCGAAACACAGTCATGCAAACACAACTGTTTCACGATTGAAACACGAATGGGACAGAGGTACACAAGCAATCGACTTTTGTACAAAGTCGACCTGGCAGAGTATATTACTAGTAATGGGACTAGTTGTCCGCATTACTAACAACCTCTCTTTGGCTGTTTTTTGCCGACCACTGACCAAATATTTTGTTCTTAGCCACTGGCCTAAGATATATTTAATGTCACTCATTGTCTATGACTAATAAGGCTAGTTTACATTAATGTACTATAATCCTAGTCTACACTACGTGCTACTTAATTAGACTCATGAGAAAATGGTGCTATTTGATGTTTCAGAAAGAGAGCAGCGGCGGTGGAGGCGGCGGCGGCGGCGGAGGGGGTGGGAGCAACTCGCAAGAGGTGGAGGTCGACATAGACGAGCTGCTCGACATGGACAGCGACGATCACCGTCGGCGGCACCTTACCGTAACTGTCTTTTTTATATTTTATTAGTATACTAACTGCAGAGACTCTAACAAAAAAGTCATTTACTCAAATAGGAAAACAACGCGGTTCTCTTTGGAAACCATTTTGATTATTTCTTTATGAATTCGTCATTATAGGCCAACTGACCTGTTTCATCCTCATCTATCTCATCTCTCACTGGTATCCCACCGTATATTGATGGTGCAGGCGGAGTTACCATTCCATTATCACCTATTAAATAAAATAGGAAGACGGGGGGCGGGAGGATTTTTAGTAATGGGGTCTAAATGACCTCTATAACCAGTAATATTTATGAGCAGGTCCACTCTCGAATCTAATATCAATGTCATTCCAATTTATTGTCAATGACAATTGTGTACCGCACTCATGAAACAACAATTAGGAATTACGTTAGAATTGGGATCGGTTTGCTATCTGATCAATATGGAACTATTAGGTAGCAAATATTGCTTTTCGAGAGTGCGGAATGTCTTAATTCCAAAATCGATATTACAATTTATTTCAAGAGTAGCCACAGAATTCAACCTTGTGTTTATTTGTTGTCAAATTTGTCACGACTAATTGGGGGCTATTAATGGGTTAACTTCTGAGCTGCTTTCTTTTTCACCTATCATCTCTCACTGGTGCCCCCGTCAGCGTATAGGTACTGAGAGCGGAGGCAGGTTGAACATTTCATCTTCACCTATTAAAAAGAAATAGGGAAAGGTTGTAAGTTACTGATACTTGATTTCGGGGTCTCTGCGCAGGCGAGCAACATTTTATCTGTGGTCTATATAAACCGCGTATTTCTTTAGACACCTAAGTAACATCTAGGATGAGGATTGCACTTGTCTCCGAAATCCTTTCAAACAGCGAATAATCCTATAATTATAGTTAAGTATAACAAACTTATTTAACATATTCTATTATCATTGTTTCTTTGTTACAGACATTATTAGCGGATGCCAAAAAACCACAAAAGGATGTACATGTAAGTATTGTAACTAACCATGACAAATAAAGATTGTTCAATTCAAAAAGCTACTTCAGTTGTGACAAAACCAGTTATTTTGTTCTAAAAACTAAACTAAAAACTTGAACCGATTGGTATAAAAATTCTATGCGACCAATCAGTTAGCATGTCCTTTCAGATAAAAAAGAATTTTCGAATTCGGTTTACAAATGACGGAGTTATAGTATATAGTTCTTCTCCTTCTTGAACTAGGTTGAATTTGCACGCTGTATGACTTTAGCGACACATGTGCACTCTTAGACATAAATAAAACATCCTTGCATGCCATATTTTACGCAATTAAATATTCATTATTATTATTATTATTCAATTACCTAAAACATGCACAAGGTGAAAACCAAATTGTAAGCATGAAAAGAATGTTCTACTAGAGAAACAACATGTTCACCAGAAAAAATATGGATCCAAAAGCGACCAAATCTTTAAGCTTCCCATACTAATACGGCGCTTTCGTTTTCTTATAGACTCTTTGTTTTGAGTACCGTTTACAATTTCTACTACAGCCTGTAGATAGACATAGAAAAAGTCAGTCAATGTTCATCAGATTGTTTGATAACCTTTGTATCGGGCATGGTACTTCGTGTAAAAGAAGTATTGCATTTTTGATTTCCAGTCAAGTTATTTAGGCTTTTCTAAATGAACTCAGATCTGAGTGTTACGATGAGATGATCATTGCCTAGTTTCTCATATATCATGGCACTTATTTGTTTAAGCAGATTCTTTTTAAGTCTGCGCAAACAAAAGACCATTTAATTGCAATTTGCATTCTACAAAATACACTAAACACAAGAGAAAATTCTGTCCTTCGCGACAATTTGTCGTTCGTATGCTCAGGCTTTACGAACACAGCTAAATTTAATGTCTCTCTGTTACAGAAATTCATCAACGAACTTTTAGACAAAGCGAAAACTCTGTAGATTAATAAAAGGAATCTTCATGCGGAACTTCTGCGAGCTGTGAAGCTGGACGCGACAGCCATGGAGTCGCGGCTCCTCATTAGTTGTAGGCAATATACATAAGTGATTAATAGGTCGCGTGTGACCATTGGTCGTGTGACGAAACCGAATGATAATTGTTAGGTCTTTCTGTTCCTCACGGTACTCTGTGCGCACGCAAGTTGTGATATACGTATGTATGTCTGTTTTGCGAACATGTCGAATGAGCTGCTTGCTTGTATTGGTGACCAATAAATGACGTGATACTGCCGCGTTTAAGACTCGTTGAAATCGGCTTCGAAGTACACTGTACGGATAACATATTGAGCTTTCAATGAGTTTCATTATCTGCTTGTATTATTTGTATAATTAGTCAGATGTCAATATGTAGCTCACTTCGGGTTTTGTTTATCCGAGGTTAGGTTAGATTGGCAACTAAGACTTGAAGATCGAATAGCCAGGCCAAGATGGACCTTCGATCTTTGAACACATACATCTAGATGTACCCGTAATCGTAGTCCGATCTCGAGGCCACGTCATATTTAATAAAATAGTGGTAAGTATCTAATTCGAGAAGTTCTAGTAAACGGTGCGCGCCGCAATTATTTAGCGACGCGAATACGATAGGCAATTAAGATTTTTAACTTTGCGATGTATTGGTAATAGTTTCTAGTATTAATATTGATATACAACGTGTATATAAGGACAGTGTTGACACGAACGAAATTTATAATTGAGAAAGGTGAACCATCACTTGTTCTTACTTCGCAAGGCATTATATAGACTTATGTGGTAATAAATATACGTATATAGTAAAGTTTAAGTAGTAAATTAATGATTAATACCGAAATAAATATAGGAACGCGCAATAAACATATCATGCCGACGTGATGGAGTGCCGTATAGGTCTTGTGTCGTGTGGTCGAGGCAGTGGATGAATATAAAAATGGCATCCGATTTCTTCGAGCTGCTGCATTGGTTTAATTTGTACCTACTCCACGTACAGTACATAACTACGTATTAGATCTGTAGCCCGACTCCCATAACCATTTTTTTCACGCTCATTCTCGAACGCTGTCCATTGAATTATGTACTCAAAGACGCCGATAATTATAAAGAAGTACGATTGAAATTCTAATCGTGTTTTTTCGTTCTTATTAGATCCGATTTAGTCCATGTTCTATTGAAACGCGTCCAGGTTAATATTATACACCATCTTTAGATAGAACTTCAATTGGACGTCTTCTCAACTTAATATTTTGTTTATACGGGAATCGGATTAGTGACGGCAGTGTGTGTACACAAACTAAACCAGGGGGTCTACCATAAAATGAAATTCCGAATTTTCGGACTCCATTTCGTGTTTTTGTTCATACCGAAATCGGCCCAGTAAATGGAGCTTTTATTTTTCGATAAAAGTCAAAAGGAACAATATTTTAACATTTTTAAACAGCATGTATTATGTAATTTTAACATCTAATTTGTATTTCGTTCGGCCGCGAAATTTCGGAAACATTTCATGGTAAACCCATAGATGCGTCTGTTGCATATTAAATTGGTAAAAATAAAAGGCCTCGTTCCATGATTTCGTGCTGGTTGGCTGGCACGCAGTTTGTTAGTTCTACTGTAACTTACAGTCTGTAAGTTACATCTGTGTGTTAGACGTAAGGTTAACTTACAATAAATTGTTAAATGGCTTGTATAGTAGTTAATCAACCGTAATTGTAACGCTGTTTGAATTAGGTACATTTTTGGCGCGAAATAAGCGTCGCAGCAGTGATGTCGGCTGCGTTATACTATATCTTGTATCGGTTATACTTGTATATTTTTGATACGAGTACTTTTAATTTTTTTAATTGATTAGATAGTTTCGAATAAACTCGAACAAAGTAATTATTCAGTGTACCAAGGTGAATTAATCGCATTATCTTTCTACTAAAAAATAAGATGTCATTCTTTGGTCAAAAATAAGGTTTTATACTGCCGGGGTATTGAACCTAATTTCAAAATAATGATTGTTACAATATAAGAATAAACATTATGATTATGTTTATATGTTTACACAAAAGTTGGATAAACGATAAATTTAATAGTTATTACTTCATGTGACATTTGACAATTTGCCTAAAGTAATGGCCGGTCGCATTGCTAAGAATATAAAAAAAAATCTACGTTTAAATTTAAATTTTTGAATGTAGGTATATCATAATGTAAATAGTCGTACAATCACTGCTGTGCAATTACCTATTCAATTGCTACTTATATAATATGTACCTAATTATTATTACAGCCTATGTCTTATTAAATTAGATTACTGTGTAAGAATGGCCATTAACTTTTAATAAACAATTCGAGATGGAACTCGACGAATATCTACCACTGTCGGCTGTTGAAGGCATTTTTATAATAAACAATTTTACTTAAAAAGTGAGATTTTTATTTACCTGTTTTTATTATTTAATGGTTAAGGAATGGACAACAGCGTTCTCTTATAACATCGCCAAAGCCTAACTGCGGTTGCCAACTCGCCTGCCAAGCATGGCAACTAGTGGAAAAGCTCCCCTTATGGGAAAGTCTATGTTCAGCAGTGGACAATTAATGGCTGATATGATGAAAAAATGAAATATATTTACCAGAAACAATATAGAGCAAAAGTTGCATCTGTCAAGTTTACAAGATCAAGATGTAAAGATGATATTTGATGGTGATGATGATGATTACTCAAGTGCGACTAAACATGGAGCCGATTCTGGGATGCCATTTAAAATGGTAAATAATCTGACGGCCCACCTGATGGAAGTGGTAACCGTCGCCTATAGACATGAGCGGTACCATGAACATAACAGAGTATACTGTTTCTCATCTGTACCCTTCACTGGTGCTCCGCCAGCGTATCCCCTTAGCGCAGGCAGGGTTACCATACCATTTTCACCCATAAAAAAAACCCTTCAAACCAAAATACAGTCACGCAAACACAACTGCTTTACGGTTAGAACACGAATGGGAAGAGGTACCCAAGTAAGCGACTTTAGATACATGTAGACCTATTTTATAAAGGTATAAATATTTTTTTATTTCAAAACGATATTTTCATAGATTATATATAAATAAAACATCGAGCTTTAGAAACGGGTCAACTTTTTGTCAGTTAATTGTCAAATAAGCTGACTCGTTTTTTTTTTTTTTTTTTTTTTTTTTTTCTTCTTTTGTGGCGTTCACCCCGATTAATTGTCAAATTAGCCGACTCGTTTTTTTTTATTAGTGTTCTATACTTAAGCATAAAATATATCTTGACGTATTATTTAATAAATAAAATGTGGGTTTACGCATTAAAAAGATGCGGAAATTATAAGACAAAATAAATATTAAAGTTATAAAAAAATCACTTATAACTATTTATTGCGCAAAATTGTATGAAACAGATGATCCGTTTTTCTCAAAGCATTTCTATATAATCTAAGGATATTTTATTTGGATTTGAAGGTTAGGATTGCTTATATGTTCATTTTCATATTCGCGAAATCTTTATTACTTTTTCACGGACTATTCTCGAATTAAAAATAGTAAGTTGTCGTTACCAGAAAACTGCATGAAATAGAATTTTACGGAATCTTCGAGCGTTTCGTTCTTTATTGTGTGCAGTGTGCATCTATCGGTAGTTATGTTTGCACCTTGTCTACGGAGCTGATGAATATTCCACGCATGATTTTCTCACTATACGAAAATCTAAGTTAAATGAAAATATAACATTATGGACCAAACCTTTATAGTTAATTATGGGCACAATCCATCATAGCTCGTATCGTATATATTTATATAGATTTTCTATCTTGCTTACAGCGCTGATTTGGAATAACTAACATAACGGTGAGTTATTTTCAGCCTCACTTGCGCACAACAGTTCTGAGATAAAAAAATGTAACAAATTTTAGATAGCATACTTGAATTTCGGGTTTTGTTGCGAATGAAACTGATTAAGTAATTGAGAACGAACGACGAACCTGTTAAAATTATCATTTCGTGTCTGAGCAGTTATGGGCTGCGTAGACGGTCAAGAGATTCAAATGCGGATAATTTCACTAGACTATTTATAATCCTAAAACAGAACAACTTGATCTGTATACTGGATAATTTTCTTATTAACCGTTTATGGGTCTCTTCATACACATTGTAAACTATATGTAAAGATCGATTGTCAATCATCATTAACTGCTGTGGTTTACATACAAAATTTTTCGACGCTTATAGTTATCTGAGCATTAACAATTTATATTATTTGCTGATATTTATAACCAACTAGCTTTTTGCCCACTATTTCGTACACTAGATCTCAGAAGAGGAAACTCAACGAAATTGACTTGACTTCCAAAAGGCGTATCAAAATAAATTATACACCAGATTTTAAGTTAGACCTTCCAGAACATTGCTGAGAAAACTGAATACAATTTGGTACAGTAGTTATTGCGTAATGTCGAAACTAACATTCATCCTTACACGCTAGAAATTGGGGGGAAAGGCATTGTTAGTAATGGAGACTGAGAATCCCAGTGTTAGCAATATACCCAACCAGGCCGACCTCCTCGCGATTCTCCCTGGAAAGTATCATGGTTAATTCCTGATGAATTCATCATGATGGGCCAAGTGGCCTGTTTTCATTCTCATCGACACCCTTCACTGATGCCCGCCGGCGTGTCCCGTTGGCGCGGGCGGGGTTACCATACCATTTTCACCCATACAAAAAAAAAAAAAACGCTAGAAATTAAATGATCGCATACAGTGCGATTTCAAAGTTTTCTCCGGTAAACCTTCCCGTTGTAGAATAAAATCCCTAACGAGGTTTTCCCACAGTATAAGTTTAAGGATTGTTAAGATCTGCAAAACGAACGTAACACCTTTGGATGCATTATTTGCATACATTTAGTATAAAGTACTTCTAAACATATTTCAAAAAATTGTGGGGACTTAATAAAATGAATAGACGACAAAACAAATTAGTTTTAGAAATTTGTTTTATATCACAAGCACACAGGCCGTCTGATGATCTAAGATTATGTTAGTAATATTTGCGAGATATCTTAGGGTAATATAGTTTTCTTGCATAGGGCCACTACTCATTTTATTCACGAGTCAGAACTCGCCCCTCTCAATTCAGAGTACTAACAATCGGCTATTTTCCAAAATCACTATATTGTAAAGACCTACATTGTTTAAAAAATCAAGGAAATGAGATCAATTCAAACAAAACAGGTTAGAAATATAGTTGCTTTTTATTACATTAAAATATCACATAATTCACAATCCAAGACATGCGAGTCAATAACGATCGGTGGGCAATCTTTTCGCTCGACCGTAAACATCTTGTCAGAGATAAAATAGAAATGCAATCAATGGTCCCGTAGCATATCGTCCTCTCGTGATCAGCAGGGAGCGGTGAGAGGCTGCAGGGCTGCCCGCAACTGTACAAAGCATCGCTTGAACTGCAGGCCGCAGCCGCGCGCTCTTCTAAACTCTAGTTGTGATCGCGCCGCCGCCGGGCTCGCGTCCTCACCCGCAGCGCATACTTGCGCCCGCATATGCAGTTCCGCGCTGCATTCAATCGCCAGCTACGCAACAAACATACTTGTTATGAAAATGACTATATTTTTTATACATATCGTGAGATTCATTACCATAAAAAAACAAATGGAGGTCTTATTTTTATGAATTTGCACAAAGAACGTAAACGTTACATGATTATTCTTAGTATTGTAAATGCGAAGTTGAGCTTGTTTGTTACCCCTCTTGCCTTATCGGCTTATCCAATCACAATGAAATTATAATACAGGTACTATATGGGACAGAGGCAATTTTTTATCTCAGTCAGTGAGCATAACACAGTGACTCAGACGAAGTCACGAATAAAAGCTAGTTAAATGTAAAGTAACTCCAGATTGAGAGAATTAGAAAAAAAAAAAGAAAACCTCAAGTAAAACAGACTCAGTCAGTCATCATCATTATAATATCAGTTTTCAAACTGCCCACTGCTGAACATAAAGTTCCCCTTGGGGGGGTGTTGCCAGTAGATGCCAAACTTGGTATTTTTTTTAATGGATGATAATGAAATGGTAACCCCACCCGCGCTATCGGTATACACCGGCGGGGCACCAGTGAAGGATGATAGGTGAGGATAAAGCAGGTCAGTTAGCCCATCATGACGAATTCAACAAGAATTGTTCACAATGGTTTCCAGGGGGAACCACGTGGACGTTGACCTAATAAGGCATATTGCTAGCAATGGGACTGTCATACTCTATTGCTAACAATCCCTTTCCCCCTCTAAACTTGGTTGGCAACCTTAAGCTTTAGAGATGTTTTATGAAGGACATCACTGCTCATTCCTCATCCTCCCTTAGTCACCTCTTATGACACCCATGGGTAAAGAAGGAGTGGCCTATTCTTTGCTGGAATCCCAAGGCCAAAACAGACTCAGTAGATATTATTCTCTAGATGCTCACCAGACGCGGGTTCACGTGCCGCCATACGTATCCCTTCTCTCGCAGCACCGCACACAAAGCCTGTAGCGCTGCCTGTTCATCGCACAACATCCAGACACGCGTCATACGCTTCATCAGTCGTTGCATTACATTCTGAAATAAATTGGGCTTTTAAAAACTTTGGCAGAAATTAGAATTGTGTACTATATTCTACCGCATAGTTTAGAAAGTAAATTTCGTCGGGAAATGAAAACTGGTATCACTGGTGGCAAAATTGAAGTGAACTAATTTCTACGTCCTCATTTTGGAAATAAGAACTTATTTTGCTTCCACCTAAATTATAGTAACTACAGTAATAATAATAATAAGATATTATCAGTTAGGAAATAAAATAAAAAATAATTTGTATTCTAGTAAACTCAATAATAAGCATTTTTGAAGTCATTTTTTTATCCACTGCCCAGTTCGGAATGCGATTTCCACTGAAAAGAATGGGCAAAAAATACAGCTGTTGCTTTTTTTTACAACAGCAGTTAAGTGTACAACAAAAAAAAAAAAAAAATATGACTAGATAAAATGACTATCACCAAGCTAGTATTGATAAAAGAAAAAATCTACGATCAATTACGGTATTCTTGAAACCTGCTTATAATCATCAGTAGTGTTGTTAAAGGTTACAAAACATACAGTATTATCATAAGACAATGAACGATATCATGCTGTGATACAATAAATTATAAATAAATATTCTAGTCTTACTGAAAAATGTAGCGATATGGCAAAATATATCTAGTATAAATAAAAATTGTATTCTACAAAAAGCGAGCTAATTAAAATTATGACAAAACCATTATATAGTTTCAAGAACCGGTTTTGATAAATTTTTTATAGAATCAATTTGTAAGTATATTCTTAGAGCTAAAAAATTTTTTCCAAATCGATTTACAACTGACGGTTATGAAGTAGAAACATAAAAAAAATACAAATTGAGAACATACTACTTTTTGAAGTAGACTGAAAATAGGGAGCAATAGCGTGAGATATACTGACTGGCTGCGTGCAGGCGGTGGCGGCGTCGGGCTGCGAGGCTAGCAGCAGGTCGTCGGCGGCGCTCGGCTGCGAGTAGCTCACCAGTGCCTCCATGTCGGCGGCTGACAGCTCCCGCCCCCGGCCTCGCTCACCGCCGGCTGTGACCGCGACACGCGGAATGCGCCCTCTATACACGAACATCATTAGTATCAATACAGATCCACTAGGCACACAATCATAACATACTATTTGACATTTGTTCAACAGCAACGAAATATAATAACTGGAGTTTCAACAAACTCAAGGGAATTCACAATTAGATTGTACAATGATATCTTAATCACAATGTTATTATATTTTTTTACTTTTTTTTATCAATATTAGCTTATACTTAGATTGAAATCAATTGATATAATTAAAATATAGATTAGACATTTAATTAATCGTATTAACATTACCTTTATATTTCCTTTGATCAACTATGCAAATAGTTACATAAGACTTATATACTACACATAATTGTAAAATAAAAAGAAAATCCAACAACAATCAACTTTTTTTTTTACAATAATTTTTCAATATTTAATTTGAAAAACAAATACAAAAAAAAAACATGAACAAAAATACAGGAACAAGTCCTCAGAACCAATTACAAGATGAGAAAGCCTTTTTCCTAACATACTTAATAAGAAATATGGTGCTAAACGAAACGTGGCATTGTATTTAGAAAATTATTCGTTAAACAATGATATTGTACAAAATAGATATAAATAAACAGTAACTTATATCAATACTATAAATTAATCTTACCATAGTGCCAATCGGGTCTTCATAATTTTCTGATCGTCGTAGTCAAGGCGTCGACGCAGTGCTTTGGTAATCTAGCTTTATGAGCACTCACAACGTCATGGAGCTAAATCGCCAAAGGGCCACGTCGCGCATAACGCCAGTGTTGCTCGCGGAGTACGTCGCAACTGGTGGGCTACGGCGCCGTTGTGAGGCACGAGGCGGCTCTGAGACGGAAAGCTACTCAGAGTCACCTAGTACCTGACACGGCACACCGCGCGGCTCGCTGCGGTGTCGTGCGATAACATGCGATGCGGTGCAGTGCAACAGTGTACAGAATCTTAGTGAGTCGACTTCTTTGATTGGAGTTAGATCAAAGGAACAAATTCTATTTCTCTTGTTGTCTCCAATTAAAAGTATTCTTTCATTGCACAACTAAATAAGCAAGCAGTTTTCTTGTTACCTTCTTCTGATTTGTAACTACCCATTGCTATACTTTGGCACTTTTTCTGTATTGTTTTTTATTTTTACAATTATTAATGTTATATTAAAAATACCGACAATTATGCAAAAAGAACACTGACCGTTAGCTCTACAGTCAGCATCCTTCACAATGGATGTATTGATTGATATTTGTATCGATTTATTATAATTTGGTTAGGTGCTCACCGTCTTCCTGCAGCCAGCGGTGTTCCATTAGCGCAGAGAGCGCGGGCCTGCGCTCGGGGCGCGGGTGCAGCGCCCGCCACAACAACGCAGCCGCCAAGTTCGGCAGCTTGCGCCACGCGCCGCTGAGTGCCGGAGTAGGAGTTATAGAGGCAGCACCATCACCGCCCGTGACCGCGCTCCACGCCGCGAACCGAACGTCCGCCATATCGGCCCGTTCCCATGGCAACTCTGCTTACACCCACCATATTATATTTATTTTCAACACTACTAAAGTCAAGTATGTATACATTCAGTTCAGATTTTCAAGTGGAAATATTCTAGACATGTTGGTATAAATTCAGCAATATATTGATCTGCACTATATGTATATTATTTCACTATGAATACTTTAGACACCTCATTTACTTTGAACATCAGCAAAGACAGATATAACTAATACAAATAATAATGGGGGAAAAGGGATTGTTAGTAATGGAGACTGAGAATCCCATTGCTAGCAATATACTCAACCAGGTCGACCTCCTCGCGGTTCTCCCTGGAAACTATCATGGTTAATTCCTGGTGAATTCATCATGATGGGCTAAGTGGCCTGTTTTCATTCTCATCTATCACCCTTCAGCGTGCCCCGCTAGCGTATCCCGTTAGCGCAGACGGGGTTACCATATCATTTTCACCCATCAAAAAATAATAATACAATAAACCAATAGAAATGCCAAAACAGACGCATAAAATAAAATCAATAGTAATTTCTATCATCTGTTGGTATTACCATTTCTAAGGAAACAGAAGGTAAAAAAAAAGTTAATTCCCAAAGAGAGACTATATAAAAGTCTTTGTCCAACAGCAGCTTGCAGTAGATTTCGTCTTTGACTGCAAAAAGTATGTTACAAAGTATTTTTACAAACTTTTACATTATTCAATATTAGATAGATACTCTTTATTTCTTCCATAAGATTACAACAGTAAACTTATTATAAATACAAACATTAGTAGGATTCCAAATATAATTGTAGTAATCTCTTTACAGTTACATCACGCAAGACTGAATTTATTGTAAACACATTGCATGTATGCTACATGTGCTAATTATCTACTTTATAAAAAATTAGTTTTTTTATAAAGTAGTTAAGAGAAACACAATTTTTTAAAGATTAAAAAATTCAAGCAGTTTGTTAACATTATTTAATGTAAGGGGGCATAACAAAAAATATGAAAAGTACATTATAAAATAAGATATCACACACAGAAACAAACAACAAATGTCCAACAATAACGATGAATACTTTTTTTATTATACAACTTTGAATGGCAAACAAGCTGACTGCCCACCTGATGGAAAGTGGACATAACAGAGTATACTGTTTTGCCCATGATACCTCCTATGCGTTGCCATCCCTAAGGACTTAGGTGTTATTCCTCTGTACCCTGTAAATTCACACCATATCCCACCCTTCAAAGCGAAACACAGCCATGCAAACACAACTGCTTCACGGTAGAAACACGAATGGGACAGAGATACCCAAGCAATCGACTTTTGTACAAAGTCTCTCTCTGGTAATTTATGTGTCAAATTTTATTCATTAAAATTTTTTTCTCAAGTAGATTTTAATTACTAACATGTTTAAATGGTCATTTTTGTGTGAATGTACCACTCGTTCAAAATACCATTTCAACTGTAAAGAACAAGTAATAAAACTAACTGTAGGTTTTTTCAATTAAAAATGATTTTACCATTATAAATTTGTTTTAATACAGACTGGTAAACACAAGACATTTAAATTGTCAAACATATCAAGTAGATCCTTGGAAAAATGTTATATTATACGTCAAACAATATTTCAGATATGTCAGACTTAATTCGTAATATGTAAAATAATCTCTCATGCATAACAATTTTGGGCTAGGAACATGTCTTGTAAGCAATCGGTTACTGTGTCTAATTCATGATTTTTTTCTTAATAAAACTTGAATTTGGGGAAAGACAGATCCATTTGCACATACATATAAAAAAATTGGCTTGACATACATCTTAATTTTAATAAATTTACAATAACATCATTAGTCGAATTAAACATTAGTTTGTAATACAACCTAGCAAAACAACAAAACTTCAGTTCAAAATTCTTACCACAAAAAATCTCGGCGACAAACAAAAAGTGTAGCAGTGAGTGACGCGACTCGTAACTTCGGTACCATAACTTTAGGGTATAAAAAAAAAACGCCTACAGCTAGGATACCAAAGAGACGAGCCGCGGCGGTGGCGGCGACGGTGCATGCGGTTAGTGCGGGCGGCGCCTGCAGGGGCTGGAGAAGGAAGGCGGCGGGTGGTGGAGTAACGGCAAGACAGACACTTACCTCCAGCGAGCATAGCCAGTAGCACAACGCCAGCAGCCCACAGGTCAGCGGGCGCGGCGCGGTACGGCCGTTCCGCCGCCGCTAGTACCTCCGGCGCCGCGTACGGAACCGTGCCGCACACACGCGACAGTAACCGCTCGCGTGACCCGTGCCTGTCGACAACACCGCGCTGTTAATATCATTCACACGGGAGGAAAAGGATTGTTAGTAATGGAGATTGAGAATCCCATTGCTAGCAATATATGCAACCAGGTCGACCTCCTCGCGGTTCCCCCTGGAAACTATCATGGTTAATTCCTGATGAATTCATCATGATGAGCGAACTGGCCTGTTTTCATTCTCATCAGTCACTATTCAGTGGTGCCGCGCCAGCGTATCCCGTTAGCGTAGACGGGGTTACCATTCCATTTTCACCCATAAAAAAAAAATATCATTCACACTTAAGGGCTGTCTACACTTACCAGTGCCGATACGTGAGTATCAGTCCTGTGGCGTGCTATAGTCGCGAAGTAAGATATACATCTTACGCTCAAAGACCGAAAACTCTCACTGAGCGAAATAATAGCTCACAACTTGTGGTTATTATAAATCATCCATATCGCGAAATTTGTAAAAAGTGGCAAGTGTTATGGCTCTTATAAAAATGCTCACGACGCGTTCTGGCAATCATATAAAAATCACATAAAGAAATTTGTGTCGTGGCTGTCATGTTATAAGACCTCAACACATTGTATGTATATATGTTCGGATGAAGTTAATTGTGATAAATTAATCAGTTATTGTGTTAATTAGAATTATATATGTGAGAGCCATGTGGTCTCGGTATAGAATGGGCCGCTCTATCCTTTTCCGTGAGTTACATAAGAGACGACTAAGCGAACTTAAAGGTCGAGGGATGGGCAACAGGTTCCCGTTTAAAACATCTCTAAATACCTGACTATAGTTGTCAACCCGCCTGCCATGCGTGGCAACTACTGGTAAAACCTCACGGGGAGCAGTAGACAGTTAACAGTTGATATCAATAACGAATGAAATATATGATGCAAGGAGAAAAAAAAAACTTGTTTTTTTATATAAAATCTAGTGGACAGCAACTTCAATAATTAAATATAAAAAAGAACCAATATTTTTGGATGAAATTGACAATAACATAAGTTAGATGGGCATATTATTTATTTGCAGAGGATTTAAAAATCGACACTACACTGATCGTCACGTGTCGACATTAAGCAGTGTGGATGGCGCTTTTCAATAGCGAAACAAATTCATCGGTCAATCACGTCCATCACCCCCGCCGACGTTCCGATGTCACGGTGCGGTGGTATAAAAAAGTTGAGAAAAAAAAACTTTTTAAAATAGGAACGTACCTCACCTGAAGAGCGTCGCCATCCCAAAATCGGATATCTTAATATTGTCATCGTGGTCGAGTAACAGGTTCTCCGGTTTGATGTCACGGTGCGCGACGCCGCGCCCGTGCAAGTATTGCAGCCCGGCCAGCAGCTGGCGCCAGTAGCGCCGGGCCGATGACTCGCTCATGCCCACGTCGGGCTCTGCGGACACGACGGATCGTGTTATTTTGGAAGAATTCCATTCGCAACGGTAACACGAGTGTTGGCAACTCACTTCATAATCCGAAAAATACGGTTTAGAAAAAGTTAATAGGTCTTTTATAGAATTATGTACATCAAATTTTATTAACATAACCTTTTAATAAATCCAAAACTGTCATTAAGAAACAATTATGGAGTAAAGGCGTTACTCAGAAAACTTAAGATGACTAATAATTTGGCTGTATATGTTATTATATATGAAAAAAAAAAAATCCTTACATAAAAAATATTAACCGGTTTATTTTACAAAAAAAAAAAAAAATTACGTTATAATCGTGCTTCTGGCCAGTTCTTTTCGTTCGAAAATAAAGATTCGAATTGGACCGTAGAGTAAAAAAAAAAAAAAAAAGAAATATCCAAGTGATCAGAAAATGTCCAATATTATTTTGATTACTCACCGATTCTGTCGAAGAGTTCCCCACCCTGTGCGTATTCGAGGAACATGTAATGCAGGCCCTGGTGGACGCGTTCTCCAAGGCATCGCAGTACGTGCGGGTGACGGAGGGCGCGCTGCAGGGCTGCCTCGCGAGCTGCCTCCACGCCGCCCGCCCGCGACACCTTCAGCGCCACCGCCGCACCGGTGCGAGCGTGCACCAGTAGACGCACCCTGATTGGTACTACCGTTAATAAAGTGTAAAGCACACGTTCCTTTTTTAAGATACGTGGAATGGCAATGAAGCTGACGGCCCACTTGCTGGGAAGCTGTAGCCGTCGCCTATAGACATGAACAACACCATGGACATAATAGAATATCCATAGTAATAATAGACGTTACCATTCCTGAGGACTATAGGGTTTAGCTTCCGTACTCTATAATTTTACAGTGAATCCTATGGCATTGTTTCTTTGATTTTAGAAGTTTACGCTGGCAGTTAAATACAATTTCACAGTAAATTAATGAAATAAAAAACTAACTTATGATTGGATAAACAAATATGCTCATGACCGTTATTCCTGACAGAGGCGTCATTAGAAGACTATTAAAGTTGTGATGAACGTAACGTTCGGTACATTCACATTTCGTCAGGCAAAATATTCTAATTTTAATACTAATCTATCTATATTTATAATAAATCTGTAGAAAGGTGAATTCTGTACATGAAATATATTTTCAAAATAACTATCAGGGGGTGATTAGTGATCGATACTGATGCCAAAAATGCAATCGGTAAAATTTTTGTCTGTCTGTCTGTATGTTCGTTATAGAAACAAAAACTACTCGACGGATTTTAACGAAACTTGCTACAGTTATTCTTCATACCACTGGGCAAGTTCTAGTATACTTTTAATCACGCTGCGATCAATAGGAGCAGAGCAGTGAAGGGAAATGTGTCTGTTACATCAAAACCACTGAACCGTCAGAAAGGACATAGGCTACTTATTTTACAAAAAACGACGGAAACGCGGACGAAGTCGCGGGGAACAGCTAGTAATATAATAAAATTATAACCGAACGATGTCTGTGCATTTGAGATATTTAAGAAACATTAATAGAAATAAGGGGTAAAACCCCTTATAGGATTAATAAAAACAAAAGCGAACATTCAGAAGGCAATACGCAACAACTACTGCACCAAAATTGAACGCGGTTTACATAGACGTGTAAAGACAACATTAAAATCTGGAAATATGTTTCGTCTTGATATGACAGTTAGAAGTGGGGTTTCATTATCCCATTTCTGAAATCGACGCGTACGAGCTAACAGGCAAAAAGCTAGATAACAAAAATTTTAAATTCATAAATATTATTTATATATTCATAGATTATTGTGATAAGCGTTAAGTCACTCTGTATTCGTAGGTGAAGAAGCCTATTGTAACTAAAATCATTTGTTGTATTTCAATGCCATCGCAAGCATGAGTCATTAAATGCAGTCACATCTCCAAACTAAGAACGCAAAAAGAAAAAAATAGGTACAAACTTTCACAGACCAAAATCCAATTAATAAATCTTGTGCCGCGTTAAATTGTGATGTAAACACAAATAAGTATTAAAAAAAAACTGTAATATCTAATAAAGATATATGTGATCAAATGAATAATGTAAGTTTGTCTAGTATGAAACAGTGCTATTATGCAAAAGTGTTTGAGCCGAAAATACAGAGTTACAGAAAAACAAGTGGTCGCGCGAGGCGGCGGCAGTGACCGCGCGGGGTGGTTAAACTTTCAAGGATGCGCCGCTCGAGCTCGTTACACAAATGGTTTTTTTTCTTTCCCAATTGCAGTCACCATGTAGTTCCGCGTTCATCTATGAAAACGTTCGATCACGCCCGCTCAGCGTCTGCGCCGACGCCGATCTCGCCGGCGGGAGGAAAAGGGATCGTTTGTGATGGGGACATAAAGCCTGATTGATTGCTAGCAATATACCCTCATCTGGTCGACCTTTACGCGGTTTCCCCTAGAAACTATCATAGTTAATTCTTGTCTTTAATATTAGTCATCACATCTAACTGACATGCTCTCATCCTGTCTCCTACGGCCCTCCGTCCAATTATTTGCATAATCTAAATTATGCAACTACGCTATATAATCTCATCAATTTAGCGACTATTGCAATTCTCATGTTTATTTAAGACTAACAATAGGCCCCGGTATCGCATACTTAAAAAAAAAGTACAGCCTATATTACTCACTGACAATGTACCTTTATATGGGTAAAGGATTTTTTTTTATATCAATCAAGTAATTTTTAAGTTTAAGCATTGTAATGCTTAAAAATATAAAAAAAAATCCTCTTAATTTAGTTTAAAAATTTAGAGAGAATATTGACAATATCAAAGCTGGGTAGAACGAATACTTTAGGTAATATATAAAAAAAATTGTAAATATAATCACTGATGTTTGCCTCAATTTGAGACATACTTTTAATTACAATGGTAAATTTCGCCTATTTTCTTAAACAATAAAACTATTTATCTTAAAATTATAAAAAAAAATACACATTTGAGATTCTCACAAACCCTTTTGATGTCACACGATATAATTAGCAAATTATTTTTAATTTTCTACGCAAAACCAATATCATAATCAATAGATGAACATTAAAATATAATTATTTCTAAAAAAAAAAAAAACCCTTCTAAGTTATAGGAAGGTTTAAAAAGGAATTATTAAAAATTAACTAATCAGTTTAAAATTAACAAAAACATCACGTAATATACAAACAAAGTTAGTTACATTAGAAACGTTTTGTCAAATATTAAACGATTACCCAGATGCAAACTAGCAAAGACATTTCGTGAAGTTTAATTAAACATTGGACTTGAGCTGATAAAGATTCAGCGAGTGCTACGACCACAGACTGAACAGGAGAAGACGATTTTACAGTTTTAGGCATCTGGCCAAGGAATCTTAAAAGTTACGGCCCGTGAAGTACGTGCGGTTACTACAAATTTTTGCGTCTTTAGATTACTTTATTTACAGGCGATCGCACGGGCGCATTATTACTATTGCAAATGCGACAGCATGCGGGGATGTATGAATGGATGCGTGTTTGTTTCTCTTTCACGGAAAAACTACTAAACGTATTTGAATTAGATCTGGTACATGGATAGGTTATATACCAACTTAGAACACAGGATACTTTAGGTTTATGACTAGCTGTAACCCGCAGATTAGCCCGCGTAAATCAGAGTTTACCATAAAATGAAATTACGAATTTTAGTGATTAATATTTCTTTCGTCATAAACCCTACCATAAAAGTCCAAAGGAACAATACTTTAACATAAACATTTTTAAACGGTATGTATTATGTAATTTTAACATCAAATTTGTGTTTCGTTCGACCTCGAAATTTCGCAAAACATTTTATGGTAGGCCCTCTGTGCGTAAAGTATCCTATGCACCAAGTAGCATTTATAATAATAGTATTCACGCGAACAAAGCAGCTGTATACAGCTAGTTTGATAATACATACGACACGAACGATGAAACAATGTAATCTTTATATGGTTGCGCGATTAGTCCGCTTGACAGGATGTTTTTTTTTTAAGGATGATAATGGAATGGTAACCCCGTCTGCGCTATCACTGGTGGAGTACCAGTGATGGATTATAGTGAGGATAAAAAGGAAGATCAGTTAGCCCACCATGAGGAATTCGACAAGAATTAACCACGATGATTTCCAGGGGGAACCGCGTGGAGGTCGACCTGATAAGGTATGGGGACTAACCAGCCCATTATTAACAATACCTTCCCCCCTACACGATAATGTTAGATCGGTATATACATTAGAGAGGAATTGATAACAGAAAACCATTCACGGTGCTCAGTAAGTTTTCATAGTAACAATTCTTATATTTTGCATGTTAATTTGGTTGAAATAGTCGTCAGTTGTCGCCAAGAACAGCATTATGATTATTTTGTAGCAACACTACCTTTTACTCACAGCTTTGTCCGCGTAATCGAGATATGTTACTGACCGGGGAAAAAATATTAAATTTGGGACAGTAAGTCAATTTATTGATATCGGAACAAACGGACATAATTTTTTTTGTTCTTACTAAAGTTGAATTAGACGATGGTCTATACCTAGAAGATATTTTAGAAAAGTTGCCATTAGGACTCTTAATAAGATCCATAGAAACCAAAACAAGTTTATGTTATGGTTTGTAAAATTATATATATCTTTTTTTCTTTTGCTTATTTAAAATTGATGTTTGCATAAACTAGTTACAATTTTATTATACTGGTAGGAAGGAAAAAATAATAGGTGCAAAACAACGCGTGACGTAAGTAGATAAGCTAAGGTATACTGAAAACAAGCGTGAAACAAAATTCACTTATTAGAGGATTGAACTAGAAATATTTTGTATACCCGCAAAAATTCGATAACTTCAATAAATCCTTTATTCATAAATACTAAAATTTGCTATAAATCTACTTTAACTGTTGCACTGTTTTGTCACTTTCTTTTAAATTGGTCATTTTAGTATAAAAGAAAGAAACGAAACAGTTCAATAGCTAAAATAGGTTTATGAATGATTTTTATGATTAAGGGGTTAAATGTATATAAATAAAATAGTAACACAGTGTGTGACGTCAACTTAAAGCTGGCTTTTCACTATGATACAATATTTAGTATTAATACTTCAAATATAAATAAAATCCGCGATCAACTTTCTATAAAATTATATAGGTTTATAATAATGTGTTTTAGTTATATATACCTACAAGGTAAAGACCTTTTACTTGTTTAAATTCTTTTTATCTAAAACTTTATTGACATTAAAAAAAGAAATGCTAAGTAAATTAGTAAATTTATTAAAAAAAAAAATAGCTTTATCTATGAGTCAAAGCTAGTGTTATAAGTAATATATTCAATATTATTTGTAATCCTATGTTTATGTAAATAAATTCTTGATGAATTTTATAAAATGTTTCGAAGTTTTTTTATACAATTGCTCAGTTTGCGGAAACCACCAACAAATGCATTCCCAAAGAGGGTTGACGTCAGGCAGGTGGCTGGTCGTAAAACTAAAAACCAAATCTTTTTGTAATATGGATAAAACTGTATTATGCTGACCCCAAATAATATTTGGGATAAGGGTAGAAAGATGATGTTGACGATGCTCAGTTTATCTCTGTAGAAAAGTGTGTGTGTTTAAAATAAAGTGAGCGATATTAAATTATACAGCTGAACATATTATATAATAATGTTATATTTCTCATAGTGACACGACAGCTTAATAATTTTAGATAACAACTACAGTAGCTAACAAAGCGTAAATGCACGTGTTGCTCCATTCTATATCAAAGTACCTAGTTACAAATTGCAACTCGTCTGTGAAATAACACGCGTTTATAGATTTAGTTGTAATCTAATATATAAAATTCTCGTGTCTCGGTGTTTGTTACCAAACTCCTCCGAAACGGCTTTACCGATTTTTATGAAATTTTGTGTGCATTATGGGTAGGTCTGAGAATCGGCCAACATCTTTTCATACCCCTCAATGATAAGGATGACCTACCCCTAAATATTTTTTTTTATTTTTTGAATTTTTTTTATTTTTATTTTATTATGATTTAGCATTGAAAAATACATACAAATTCAAATTTTCACGCTTTTACGATCAACGCCTGTTTTTTAATCGCGATTTTTATATACCGCAATAGGGTTGCAAGATGGCAATCGAATATAATAATTGTAGTACGATAAATTTTCATGTATAGTTCTCGAAATAATGTATATGGTAAAACAACGTTTACTGAGTCGGCTAGTATACATCTATATATTGAATACTAGAAAAAAAAAAGTAGCAAATTGAACGTAATCCATCTGCCAGTAACTATAAATGAGTTAAAAAGAGTCGATATAGTAAACACATTAAAGAAAATGTATTTGAATTTAGAACACAGGATTGTATTTAAAATACACTTGGGATTTTATTGCTACAGAGTTATGCTGCAAAAAAAAAAAAAAAAAAAAAAAAAAAAAAAAACTTGGGAGCACCAATCGTAATAAAATCAATATAGCACCGGTATGAGAGTAAACAAAATCGATTGTAAAAAATGATTTTATAAATCGATTCAGAATTGTCGATAGATAGATAACCTTTATTACCAGTAATAAAAAAAAATCAACAATAAAAAGAAAAAAAAAAAACAAGTTTGCTGGTAATAGGATGTATTCTCGTTATGTTACGCGATCAAAAACACAGACATATTAAGAAGCTCCTCATTTTAGAAGCAGCTTAATTAAGTTTTTAATTTGGTTACTTAGCGAAAGTATTATGTCACGGGCCACTGAGTTAGTTCTCAGTGCTCCGTATTTAAACTCAGACTCAATTCTATTTAATTTTAGTTTAGACTGGTCCGTAGGATAAGTTTCTCTGTAATATCAAACTGAAATTAGTCTTAGATAGAGATAGTAGATTCTGAATTTATTTGACTAAGCCATTTAATTTACGACCGAAAGCGATTATAGTTATTTACATAAAAAAATATTTCTCCTACCAATTAAAAGAGATTTTTGACTAGCATCTAATGAATAATTATTATGGTATAACAATATTTTATAAAAAAAAAAAAGCAAATATTTCAAGTCCAAGTTCCTTTTTCTAAAATTTTAATCTACACTAGCCCTTTTCTTCTTTAATTATGATAAAAATATGTTGAGGTCATTAAATATAGGGTCTATGTTTGCACCCAATATAATTACATTCTGTTAAGTGTAATTAAGTAACTAACATACATATATTCAAATATCAGAGGGAGACTTTGTACAAAAGTCGATTGCTTGGGTATCTCTATCCCATTCGTATTTCAACCGTGAAGCAGTTGTGTTTGTATGGCTGTGTTTCGGATTGAAGGGTGGGATATGGCAGTGAATTTACTGGGTACAGAGGAATAACACCTGAGTCCTCAGGAATGGCAATGCATGGGGGGTATCATGGGCGAAACAATAGGTATACTCTAGTTATGTACATGGTACTGCTCATGTATATAGGCGACGGTTACCGCTTTCTATCAGGTGGGCCGTCAGCTTGTTTGCCATTCTAAGTTGTATAAAAAAAAATCTTTACAAACTAACTACTAGCAGGAGTAAAACATTTAGATTAAAGACTCATTGAAATTTCTAAATTTATGATGAAATAATGCAGTCAAAATTACAGCCTCCTTTTTGGTAGTAGAGGTTGAAAAAATAAAATATTTAGCAATTCTCTTTTACATTCTCTCAGTTATCTAAATGACTGTTTGAAATTTAATGATTCAGAGGAATCCATAAATTCTTGTTGTTAAGATTTCTTATAAAGGATGAGAAATAGAAAAGTGATTTTTAGATTTTGCCTATACAAACCAATAGAGCATGAACAGAAACAATTGGGTTAAATTTTTAAATATCACACCTATCCTCAGTATTTATGTCTTATAAATAGGTAAACACATTTTTATTAGTATACAGGTAAAAATAGTAAAAAATAAAAAATCATAATACATCACCTACACTTTCAATATAAAGTTTTTATGTAACTTAGAAAGGCAAACAAGTTGACGGCCCGTGAATGTAAAGATACAGATTATAGAGTAAACTGTATATAAGAAATAAAAAATGATAGCTGTACAATTTAATTTTGATAATATAAATATAAATTAAAGAGTACAATATAGGTAACATATATCAGAGGGCCAACCATGAAATGTTTTCCAAAATTTCGGATCCGAATTAAACAAAAATTTTATGTTAAAATTACTTGATACATACCGTTTAAAAATATAAAAAATGCTAAAGTATCATTCCTTTGGATTTTTATGGTAGGATTTATGACAAATGAAATGTTAAGCTCCATTTATAGGGTTGATTTTGGTATGAAGAAAAACAAGAAATTGAGTCTGAAAATTCGGAATTTCATTTCATGGTCCCCAGATTGTCATAAGGATGAAGATTATTTGTTATTATTTAGATTATTGATGTGTATGTAAGTTGAGTATATGACTTGTTATTGAATTTTGTTTTTCAATACATTGGGTGTAATTAAATGCAAAATTAAAAATTTTATTCTATGTATACAATGAAATAATTAATTAATTAAATGAAAGTTGTAAGGTAGTATTATTTTAATTATTATTAATTTATTAAGCGCTATCTTTTAAAAATGTATACATTTTCAAAGTACTTCAAAATTATGGAGGCTCTTGATTGTAATCTTTTGGAGGAAACAATAAAGAGTATGTATCTATCTATCTTGATTTAGTAGTTTTTTTTTTAATGATTGTTACCTCATAACTCTGTCAATTGTAAACATATTAGAAAATTCTTATTTTATCTGAATGGTTTTTATTCTTACAGATTGAACCTATAGAAATTTTATCAAAATTTCTTTTGTTTAGTTTTTAAATCAAAATAACTGGTTTCGCTACAATTATAGTCAATTTTATGGAACACAAACTTAATTATAATATATGCACTGTGCAAAAATTATCATTACATTTATTTTCTGGTCTGTTTATAATATCCAAGGACAACTAGTAGGATGTATGACACAATTATGTATAGATAAGTGTGTACATTTAAAAATATGCTCAAGTAATTGTGCAAAATTTTCTTTCAAACTCCACTTTTAATATATCTGATATAAATAAAAATATTCTCAGAATTTGTTGGTCATATTTAAAATAAACCACACCAATTCAGTTGATTTGACTCCACGAGTGATTAGATTATCATTAACAGATTATGCCCAAAAACTTATTACATTGAGTGTACAAAAGAAATGTTTAACACAACAGTAACAGTATTCAATTCTAAGAAATATGAAATCTAAGAAATTTTAATTTAAAATTTTGATTTAAAATACTCCATAAATTATTTCACATGGAATAAATGTCATGAGGTGAGCATATTTATTTGTAAATAACCTAACAATGATATACGAATTTCAATTCATCATCATCATATCAGTCATTAACTATCTAATTCTAAACATAGGCACCTCATAAAGAGGGTATATTCTATTAATATCGTTTTTAATCTAATTTAGATTAAAATTAACATTTTATAAACTCAATCCAGTCATTGTCAAGTATTATATTTACCAACAAAAAACATTTAATTTCTATTTATATAGAAATATCGAAAATATTTAACCAACTATAAAGTAAATCAAAATTAGATACACTCAAATTATTTAACCATGAGCCTAATTAAAATAACCAATACAATAAATCTATAAACATGTAAAGTTCCATTCTAGATTTTACGTTTCTAAATCACGTTTTTATCATGCCATCAATTTTAATTGTTAACATTCACAATTGTACAAAGGTACCTAATTAAAAAAGCGTAAATTTACATGTGTATGTGCAATACTCACTCTCCGTAGGCACCTTCACCGAGCACCTGCGCGACGAGCCAACCCTCAACGAACTCGCCTCCGGCAGCCATGGCGCCGGCTGGCGCGTCTCACCTCACTTGACTGCGATCTGTAAAAGTCCACAGGGAATACGACGTACAGCTTGTGTATGGTCGTGGCCGACCCAGAAGATGACAGAAATTGAAGCACATGCCGGTTCCGCCACCGCCCGACATGACCACGCCGCCAGACTATTCAATCCGATTCAACTGTTACTCTTCGATCGTATAAAATTTTAAGAAAATATGTAAAAATATATGGTTACACGGTCTATTATTAACGTATAAGCTAGTAATCTTTAAAAATGTACGTAAATATAGAAATTTTAAGACTTGAAATGGCGGAAGGCACGTGGGGATTGATGAACAAAGCGAACGCCGAACGCTGCTTCGAGTCGCGCCCGATGAAAAAGCTTACCTTTAAAATTAGTGTAATAATCGCACAATACGAAATTCAAATTATAAACCATTTGTGGAAAACATCTTTTTACATGATTATTAATTAAACCAAGATGGTCACAAAGAAATTGAATAACTCGTACTAACCTTTTGAAAGAGGAGATCACCATTTTGCAATTTTCCTTTTACCGTTCGTTTCGTTACGTTCAATATTCGTTCTAAAATAAAGATATTCATACACGGTCAAACTTAAGTGACAATCTTAATATTTCATTGCAAGTAGTTATTTTTCTATTCTATATTTGCTTGACTAAATCCTCATGCTTGATTCAAATTAATTAAAAATAGTATCTTAAAACTATAATCAATTAACAAAGTCATTCTACTTTCTTTCTCTTACAAATAACAATAAATGCGGGTAGTGCAATGTGCGTCATTCGATTACTTAACAGTGTACAAAGTATAATTTTCTTCTTTTGTCTAAATGACTGAACATGTATCAGAAACGATTTTCAATTTATTAAAATATTTTTACTTGTGTATATATTTTTAGCTATGATTCCTAATAACAGTAAACGATTATTCATATAATAATAAATGCATAATATTATCATGTATTATTAGTTAAAAGGTAAGATTTTAATCTTCTATTGAAGGAAATAATGGAGATACTATCCTGTATGTTAGAAGGTAACCTGTTCCATACGGGAGAAAGGGATTATTAGTAATGGGGTCTAACTGACCCAATGATAGCAATACACTCTATTAAGTCGACCTCCACGCGGTCTCCTCTGGAAACTATCGTGGTTAATCGTCACGATGAGCTAACTAACCTGCTTTCGTTATCTGTCACCCCTCATTGGTATCCAGCTAGCGTATACCGGTAGCGCGGCTGGGGTTATCATTCCATTACCACCCATCAAAAAACCTATTTCACAGTTGCGCAACACGAAATGAGAAAGAGTTTCAAAAAAAATAGTTCTTACAAGTAGGGAGTTCTAATACTTTGGACTGGACCAGGCAAGCACGCTTGGGATGTGAGGGAGAGGGCAGGATTCCAAATTGAGAGCGGAGGTAACATGGAGAGTTGGAATCATTAGTATATTATAAAGAGTGGAGAGGATGTGTATATCACGTCGAAGTCGGATTGGAAGCCATTTTAACTGAGCGCGAAAAGCGGAGACATGATCATATCTACGACTGAAAATCTGATAGCTAAATTTTTAAGGCGCTCAAGTTTATTCAGTAGTTTCTCTGTCACATTCATGAAACTAACGTCAGCATAGTCCAGAATAGGAAGCACGATAGATTGATCTAGCACGATTTTGGTTCTGATAGGGAGGAAATATGTATACAAATGTAGACGCCACGATCCTCTTCTAATCCTTTACCGTGGGTGTCGTAAGAGGCGACTAACCGAAGGCGAGGAATGGGCAGCAGCGTTCCTCGTAAAACATTTCTAAAAGCTTAACTGCAATTGCTAACCCGCCTGCCAAACGTGGCAACTACTGGCAAAATTCCCCTTATGGGGAAGACTTATGTTTAACAGTGAACAGTTAACGGCTAAAATAATAATAATAATAAAACGTTTATTATACAAATTTACTCACTACTAAAATTAAAAGGAAAAATCTATGGTTGTCAGTTCATGTAGTTTTTTTGTAATATACAAAAATAATCATGGGTCATGAATTTGCGTCAAAATGAGTTACTTCCAGAATTGTAATTCTAGAAATGACTTATTTTGTAATGTTATTTTTAATGGACCTTCATTTAAGTGACCTAACCTTTTATGTCATTCATTTATATCTTTGTCATTACTAGCAAAGTTTTTATTCTACGTTGTTTTTTTAATATATTATGTATAATCTGTCATCTTTTCTATTTGCTCTCATTAAAATCATATTGTTTAACCGTAGCATCTTTTCTATTGAATAAAACAGTTGCATTATTGTCTAACAATTTTCCAACAGATATCAAGTCATTTGTTAATAATGTTATGTAAAGTGTGTTTGTCAATTTAAATCCTGGAGTTTCTGGAATATTAATACCAACTTCTTTACCTTCAACCTGTGCGTAACAATTTTCTAATATCAGTTTATTCAATATCATAGGTGTTATTTTTGTCTAAATTTGATAAATTCTTTTTACGTGTCATGTAAATACTACAACCGCTATCTAAACACCATAAATCCTTTGTATCTACATTGATCAAGTAGGTTTCTAGGTAATTATTTTGTCTTAAAGTTTTACTGCGACATTTTTTCGCATAATGTTCTTTTTATGATATTCGAAGCATTCTATTAACTCCTTATTTTTATTTGTAATAAATTAGAATTTGACATGTTACTACTTTTTTTTTACTATTTCATTACTTTCAATATTTTTTCTAGCTTCTGATTTTTCAATAATCTTTATTTTGAAATCTGGTTCTGGTAGATTATTTCTACTCTCGATTGCTATGTGGAAACTTTCATAACATTGTTAAAAACTGTATAAAATTATTATACTAAATAAATTCTTATTGATCTCGATACCTATCTCACTTAATTTCTCAACAGTATCCGTAAAATTATTAAGGTGTTCTAAAATTGCATCATTATTTTTTTTTTGGATTATTAATTTCTTTAAGTATTGTTTGTCTTACCGATTTTTTACTAAAATTCTTTCTAAAATCTTTTATGTTTCTCGACCCGACATATAGTTTTTCAATCGTTTTAATTTCGATAGCAAAATTATTTCTGATAATGCGTATAAATCTTTTTGACATCAAAATAGAATGAAAATTAATAATGAATTTTAAATAATAACAATAAAATCTACTAAAGCAATTTGTAAATGACAGCCATGGTAATTTTTTCTATTCACCCCGTATATCGTTTCTTTAACCCCATGTTCAGGATGAATAGAAACTGTCAACATTTTCATATTTTTCTATTAAATAAAGAAATAAAGTGCATTTCTATTCTTTTAAACGTGTTAAATCAGTTTCCAACTGTATAATTAATACATTTTACACATTATGTTACTTCAGAAATAATAAAATAATATCAAGATGTAATAACTAGTCAAATATAGCATATCAATTTGGTGAAAAATTTTTGACGTTTAGGTCAAAATTAAATTTTGTATCTGGCAACACCCAAGATCCGATCGTTAGAAGCATAGGATAGTGAATCATGTCTGCGAGACTTAATGTACAGCCAAGTAGCGTAGACTGTCAATCTGTCAGTCACTATGTTAATTAGATGTCATTCATAAAAATCCAGTTCTTGTTTTGGAAAAAATATTTATCTATGTACCTAACTGCCTAAGCAATAAAATTTTGTCTATAAATAGCAATTAACTTACAATTTGCTTTTTCTAATAACACATTTGCAATGGTAAGCACAAAATTTGATTAAACTTGATTTAGGTACATCCGTTTGAAAGCGAAATAAAATAAAAAGTTGGTATGTTCTTTGTTTCAGGCAAATTATTCTGAAGATCAGTTGGCAGGTAAAATGTCTACTTTGTAATTTTTTATTACATTTATTTATATTTTTTCAAGCTGTTTTTGCGAAATGACATGAGCTACAGGCTTGCGAGTTGAACGAGTGTCGATTTATGTGTACGTCTGCTAGGCGTGTCGCGCCGTGAGTCATGTCAATCAACGTCTTTACCGAAAACGGTGGCTATTGCAAGCGCCCTAGTTTCCATATATGGTGGTATTTTAAAGCGATTCTGGTGGCGGGTTCGAACTGATGGCCTCGTATTACAACAGTAACACGCCATACGTTCTGCTTGCAACATGTTTGTATACGATCCGCCGACTAAGCTCAAGTTGACGTCCGTCGAAGGTACATTATGGAGTTCGCGTTTTATACCTAACATGGTGTTTTGTTTCTGACCTACTTATATGATGTACAACCAGAGTTTAATAACAATATATCGTTTTATTTAATGGATAATAATTAAATTGTAGCCCAATCTGTGCTATCGGTATGCACCGGGCACCCTTAAACAATGATAGGTGAAAATGACTGCAGGCCAGTTAATCCATTATGACTAATTCAAGAATTAACCACAATGGTTTCCATGGGTAACTGCATGGAAGTTGACTTGACTGGGTGTATTGCTAGCAGTGGGGACTGCTAGACCCCATTACTAACAATCCCTTTCCCCCCCACAATATATCGGTTAATATAAATATTTTCTTATGTAGAATTCCAGGAGGCGTTTCAGTTATTTGATTCCCGTGGGGATGGCAAAATCCATGTGGCACAGATTGGTGATGCTCTCAGGGCCCTTGGACAGAACCCTACAGAGTCGGATGTTAAGAAATGTACACTCCACTTAAAGCCCGATGAGAGAATATCCTTTGAAGTTTTCTTACCTATTTACCAAGTAATGTATATTGTTTCTATTTTAAGTAATCATAGTTTAATAGGTTGTCCTGATTTCGAGATAGATTTTGAACCCTATTACTATTAAATATAAAAAAAAAGTGTCTCATTCATTTGGAGAAAATGATTCAAATTTGATACTTGACAAATTTAGTCCTGTTCTACTTCATCTTTGTTAATTCATATTTAATCCCTACATCAAACCAGTATTTGAATTTATGAGTATATCTGTTTGTATATTTGTTTGTATTTTTTTTTTTATTATATGTATTTAACAAAAAAATTATATTAAACTGTAGTTTTAAATCTACAATTGTACAACGAACTCTGCTTAAAATTATAATTAGTGCTAAAAGACATATTTTTTCTCTCATAATTTTTTTCTTTAACACTTGATCTTACGTTATATGTTAACAGATGTGTATGTGTGTTGCAGGCTATCTCTAAAGCACGCAGTGGAGACACCGCAAATGATTTCATAGAGGGCCTCCGTCATTTCGACAAAGATGGAAATGGTTTTATATCCTCTGCTGAGCTTCGCCATCTTCTGTCCACACTTGGAGAAAAGCTTAGTGATGATGAGGTAGACAAGTCATAAGTCAATTATTTTGAATTTATATTTTGTACCTATTTTTTTATTTGCATTTCATTACTAATTTTTTTATATCACATTTCATTATATGCTTTTTTTAGGAAGTCATTTGTTTCATAAATAAGAACACTAGGTTTTGCCTATGTATACCCATTCTGATGTTCCTTATATGCTTCACATGATTATATATCATATTATTGTAGACTTTAGATTCAGTACCATTGCTTCTTTTTTATAAATAAAAATACAATTGTAACCTTGTCTATGCTATTATTATATGTTGGTAGAGTATCGTTGAGTTGTGATAGGTGAGGATGAAATCAAGACAGTTCATAGTGACATTTTCACCAACTATTAACCATAATGATTTTCAAGCAAATCAAAGTTGACCTGAAAGGCATTGCAATATTCTAATTAAATATATTTTGCAAAATGGAATAGATAATAAATAAAAATGTAATTAGGAATGTGCCCTATATAATTGATTGGTTTAAAATTTACAATTAAGTCTCTGTAATATATAGGAAATAATTATATTAATGTTTTGAAATTATGTAATAATAATGAATTCCAGGTGGAGCAGTTACTGCAAGGACAGGAGGACTCCCAGGGCAATATCAACTATGAGAACTTTGTGCATTTGATCATGCAGGGATGAGCGTCAGCCCTACACCGCCCACGCTACATCCGAGAATTGCATTTATGTCAAATGACCGTGTAATTTAGATTTTATTATTAATATACGTTGAAACAAATAATTCCCTGCAATTCCCATTTCAAAGTATTCCAAAATTTATTAATAGTACTAAGGTTTTTTGTATAAGTAATATATTATATATAAATAGTGTACTTACACAGTTGTACGACTTTGGTAATAAAGTTATGGTATTTTAAGTACTATTATGTTTTATTTTTACTTTTTATATCCCATAGTCTAATAGTGGTAGTTAGATAAAATGATAATATCTATTATTTATTGTTTCTATTAGTTTTCGTTGTACATTTTATATATGTAACATTATATTCAAATTTTTGTATATATTTTGTGTATATTTATGAAAATTTGTCATAGGTACTAGTATTTGTTATAATGTTTGTTAATGTTGAAATAAAGTGTAAACATACAGCTGAGTCTGTTATAATTCATATAGACGTGTATACTCTATTTCATTAAAACTTATATAAAATGTAATCACAGAGACTTAATAAAATAAGTAATAAATCGAAATATCAATTAATCGTTTTGTGTGTATAGGAGGTCAGAAGACTTAATGTTAGATTAGTTATTGGTTTAAATTTTCATTAAGTTCTTTTGAAACAGACTATAGCGTTTATCTGCGCAAGCGCAATCACCGCGCATCCGCAAGAAAACTAATCTGGCCCGTCCGCGTAGAATGACAGACATTGTTGCAAAAGACACTTCCTGGTAGCCGACTTTTCAGGCTCGGGAGCAATGCAGGTGCGCAGGGCGGGGCGGGGTCCCTCGGCGGTCTAAATAGCTGGCCTACGGACATTACTCACTGTACTTAATCCGCTGAGGTTAACTCTATTAAAGCTAGGAGCGGTCAATTGGTCCCGCGCGCCACCGACGTGCGGTTGTTAGTTGCGATCGGGTATCAACTTACGTTACGTGTGCGGGTTACATGCGCGGTGCAGTGTAGTGTTGATCAGCTGTTAACAGAATGCAACGGCTGTGGAGCGTGTGTGTAGCCGTCCTTCTGGGAGCGTTTGGCGCGATCCGCGTCGGAGGCTCGTTGCTACCCCTAGAGGTGGAGCGGTTGAGCGCCAGCGTCGGTGGTTTCGCTGTTATGAACTGTCACCTCGATTTTCCCTTCGGCAATGAGATACCATATCATTTGCAATGGGATAAAGATGTAAGTTATTTTATGTTGCACTAGTTACCGTTGTTCTCACTATTTGGTATGTAACTTACTATTTCGTTTAGAAGTAGGCAAACTAATGAAATAGACAACTAGATAATGTATGAAGATAAAATTGTGAAATTAAGAAAATTAACTCTAATTATCATAATATATATTTTTTTAATATTTTTTAATTCAATTCACTCATAATCTTATTTTCTGATATTGCTCACAACTTAGGTTACATGTTTGTTTTTATTATTTACTTCATTTTCTTACACTGTATAATTATGTTAAAGTGAATGCTGTGAATACCTATAATAGGCATGTGCATTAATATTGTATTATATTTAATGTTTGTTATACCTATATGTTATAATGCAATATGCTGTTGGTGTTACTTAAATAAATAAATAAATAAAATAAAATATATTTTTTCAAGTTAGACTTTCAGGATCATATCTATGAACACAGCCGCATCCAGTTTAGTGTAGTAGTTTTTGCTTGATACCAAAACAAAAAATAAAAAACGGATATAATTTTTTAGAAAACAAAATCTCTAAATATATTGTTATGCCTGTTGTTATGAAATGCCCTCATATTTTTTTTTAAATATCTCCCATGAACAGACATCGTTTAGTTACAATTTTAATATATTAATAAGTTTTTCGTAATTGTGTAAGCAGTGCCTTTTTTTATAATTTACGTATTATATAGTATAGTAAGTGCTTCGACGAATCAATAAACACAGAGACAACTGTAAATACCCAGATCCGAATCAATTTAGAAAATTCGATATGGCCCGGAAACGAGCCAAGGGCAAATTTATGCAATTTAAATATGCCTATCATTGCAGCGTAGGTGATCAAATTTACTCTAAATAGGTAGTTGTAGAAAGGGATTGTTAGTAATGGAGACTGAGAATCCCATTGCTAGCAATATACCCAACCAGGTCGACCTCCTCGCGGTTTTCCCTAAAAACTATCATGGTTAATTCCTGATGAATTCATCATGATGGGCTAACTGGCCTGTTTTCATTCTCACCTATCACCCTTCACTGGTGCTCCGCCAGCGTATCCCGTTAGCGCAGGCCATACCATTTTCAACCATAAAAAAAAATAGGTAGTTATATATATCAGCTGCATGTAAGTTTATTTATTATCTACTTAATTAATATTTTAATTTATGTACCAAAGAGTTAATTTTATCGGAACGTTTACTACGCAGTCAGCGGTATCAATAATTAGAAAGTTTATATGATTTCAACAAGAGCGTTAAACGTATAGATTAAAAGGATTATCACATATTATTATATATTATCACTTACATATTATTATATTCAATGGTAGCAGAATTAAAAAAAATAATCCTAATCAAATAGCAAGTATTTTAAAAAGGATCATCGAAATCAGTTCAGAGTTAACGAAGATCATAATAATAATGAGTGCTACACAATCAGACCTATGACCTGGTTTTTAAGATAAGATACCCTGTGTTATGAAGTACCTGATAGTGGACATAACCCATATAACACAGCGACTCAAACCGATTCAGAAAAGTACGTTTCCTAAATTGGTCCAGCTGGAAATTGAATACGGGTCCTTGTTTACGCAAAGCAACGTACCTAACATTGCGCCACGGAAGTCTTAGGGGATTTCCGTGGCTCAACTGATTTTAATGAAATTTTGTAATATCTATTGTTTGCTTCAACTTGTGAGATATATTTTTATATTAATAAAATTAAATGACTCATTAAGTGTCAAACCAAATTTTTCCGGGGGGGAAGGGATTGCTAGTAATGCGGACTATCAGTCCCATTGCTAGCAATATACCCAACAAGGTCGACCTCCTCGCGGTTCCCCTTGGAAACTATCATGATTAATTCCTGATGAATTCATGATGGGTTAACAGGCCTGTTTTCATTCTCATCGATCACTCTTCACTGGTGCCTCGCCAGTGTATACCGTTAGCGCAAGCGAGGTTACCATACCATTTTCATCCATTAAAAAAAAAACAAAGTTTTACTGGTCAAAATTAATCCAGCGTAGTTATTTACTTATTTATTATACTTTTTATTACACCAAAACATAAAAAATAAACAATGACATATAAACAATTCAACTGAAATACAATAGCATGGAGTACAGATCAAAATATACATATAAGGGTACAAAAGGCGGACTTATCGCTAGGGCAATCTCTTACAGACAACCTTTGGTTAAAGGAGAACATATAGAAGTGGATAGGTGGCGCAACAGTGAATTAATAATTTTTACGTATACCTAATGCACAAACACATCAAAAACAGATTGTTTATTAGACTACTTATTATAAAAAATAATATATACTACATATACATATACTTATGTTAAGTTTTATAACTTATGTGTAACGCAAGGATATTTTTGGCGCGAAACAACAATGCGAACGTATCTATTAAATATTGTAATGACTTGCTAGCTCAATACTCTTTATTGATGTCGAAGGTACAGAAACCTACATAAACATACAGAAACCTCATCTGACACTACCCACAGAATTTTTTTTTTTTTTTTATACAACTTAGAATGGCAAACAAACTGACGGTCCACCTGATGGAAAGTGGTAACCGTCGCCTATAGACATGAGCAATATCATGGACATAACAGAGTATACTGTTTCGCCCATGATACCCCTCATGCGTTGCCATTCCTAAGGACTCGGGTGTTATTCCTCTGTACCCAGTAAATTCACGCCATATCCCACCCTTCAAACCGAAACACAGCCATGCAAACACAGCTGCTTCATGGTTGAAACACGAATCGGACAAAGGTACCCAAGCAATTGACTTCTGTACAGTCTCCCTCTGGTATTTATTATACTACAAGTATATGCGGTTTTAGTGCAATCATGGACAAAAGTTTTAAATTTTAGCCCTCACGGTACATTCTGTGGTGTCCTAGGAATCACAAGGCTTCGCCAGCTGTCCAAATGAATCTATAAAGGGTGGCAAATACTTTTTCTAAGAACGGCGAACTAACTAAATCACACACTAAGGTATCGTACAGTTGTAAATTTAAGGTTAAACCATCAGCTTGTTCGCGACTTCCAAGTGGTTTAAAAAATGCGGTCGTTGTACGTGTCCGGGGAACGAGCTCCCGTTTTATTCTAGTAGATCTCTCGAGCATTCTTCGCCCACGCACTACTTTAACTATGTGCATAATAGCCTCCGCCAGATGTATTGTAGTAATGACCATTTGTAATGGCAGTTAGCAGTCTGTGTAGGTACTTGCCTGCAAACACAATGCGGTGGATAATGGAGAGGCAGTACCCAGTAACTCATGTTCCATCAATTACGATTTACAATCGATGTTTCTGGTACGAGATATAAAGTAGTTACTACCTAGTTTGTGTATATGATTTCGTTTACTTGCATTATTGTTTACTTCAAAGATAGTTATACCTACTTTCTCGTGAGTTAGTGGTGTAGCCGTTAATACTATTCGACAGTTTCGGATTCAATCCTCGCACAATACTTATAAACATTTTGAGACATGATATATCTATATTACACATCTGTTCTGTAGGTACCTATTAGATAATTTTTCTTTATTATTTCATGTAGTATTACTGACTTTCAGAAAAAGTTCTCAATTCCTCTGTATTTTTTTTGTGTGAACCGATTTTGTTAATATTTATTTGATGGAGTTTATTCCTGTGTTGATTTAATTTAATATTATTTATTTATTTTACACTTTATTGCACCAAGTAAAAAGAAAAATAACAAATACAGTAAATATTAATGAGAAGTGATACAAAAGGCGGCCTTATCGCTAGCAATGGGGTTGCTAATCCCCATTGCTAACAATCCCTTCTCCTCCCGTCCAGGTGAATTTTATTTTAATATGTAGAAATGCAATGGTAACCCCGTCTGCGCTATCGATATACGCTGATGAGGCACCAGTGATAGATGATAGGTGAGGATGAAGACAGGTCACTCGGTCCAATGTGAAGAATTCGACAAGAATTAACAACGATGATTACCAGGGGAAATTGCGTGGAGGTCGACCTGATAAGGTATATTGTTAGCAATGGGGTTGGTAATCCCCAACCCAAACCCTTCTCCCTCCATCCAAGCGAAATTGGCTCATATTTATATAGTGAAATATCATAAGCATAATTTATACTTATTTATATGGTATATTGGATTTGGATTATGGGGTTGAGTCATGAGTTTGTTGATGGCTAACTACCTATAATCAACTATTTTTACTATTACCAGTAGGTATGGAATCCTATACTCATAAAATTTACCACGAAGGTCTTATATAGATAAGTAGGTAGTAGGTAGAGGAATAACACCTGAGTCCTCAGGAATGGCAACGCATGGGGGGTATCATGGGCGAAACAGTATACTCTGTTATGTCCATGGTACTGCTCATGTCTATAGGCGACAATTACCACTTTCCATCAGGTGGGCCGTCAGCTTGTTTGGCATTCTAAGTTGTATAAAAAAAGGTATATAAATACGTTACAGTTTATTTTTTTTTTAATTATGAAACGGTAACAGGTAATTAGGCACTACACGAATGAGGTGGCTGTTACCTTAATCTATTAATATTTCTGTAGAAAAAAAAAATATAGTGACGTGTGTGTATTATGTGCTGCTTACTGGTGCATACTTATCGTTGATATACAAGTGACGTCACAAAACGGATATAGGCCAGTGGAATACCCAAGCGTGAGCACCCGCGCTTTGTGCTCCGAGCGCGTGGGAGCGCCGGCCACAGCGCGCCGCTTCATCTCATCTCAATTGTCTACTTGTCGCTCTCGAGGAGCGCCACTACAATCATGCTCCCTCCATAATGCGTCGTCACACATCGCACCCTGTGAGTCTTTCGTTACCAGAGACATTAGAATGACGATCTCAAACAAACAGTATTTAGTATCTTATTTACAATTCGATCGAGTTTTCAACTACCTTCAAAAACAAGGAGGTTTTCATTTTGGTTGTTTTTTTTTTTATGTTTGTTACCTCATAACTCCGTCAATTCTAAACTGATAACGATTTTTTATTTTGTTTTTTATTTATCAGAAAAGATGTGCTTTAGATTGGTTTCATAGAAATGTTATCGAAACTGGTTTAGGGATTTCATTTTTAGATATAACTGGTTTTGTCACAATTGAAGTCCGTTTTTTTGTGGGACCCAATCTTTAATTATTATAATTGAAATCCAAATGCTATTTCAACTTACAATGCAAAGGTATACCTAAGTTTGTCTGTGGGATCGTAGTATTTGAATGTATGGTCAATTGAATTACAATACAACAATATACCCTATCAGGTCGTCAGGTCGACCTCTTCGCGGGTTCCCCTGGAAACCATCGTGTTTGATTCATTAGTGAATTTGTCACGATGGGCCAACTGTCTTGCTTCATCTTCCCTTATCATCCTTCACTGGTGCCCCGCCTATGTATACCGATAGCTTAGGCGGCGTTACCACTCCATTACCATCCATTAAAAATAAACTATCTAGATCACCGGATGAAGTTGACGACTTGTGTATCCAAATTGTAAAATAAGCTATCAGGTATTGTGTGATATTAATTAGTAACTATATAATGTGATAACGTAAACAGAAATGTTAAGAATGTATAAGTTTATGCTTTTGCCTACTCTCAGTCTATGGTAATAAAAATAATATATAGATATTGTCTGTGGAAAATAAGTGAATAAAGAAACACCATTATAAAATTATTAGTTATTTTATTATAAATAAATATTCACAATAACAAGAAATAGTAACGATTAGTAATTCCACACTGAGCTTTGACTTTTTTGCATTGCTCAGACACCATTACTTGCTTTCTCTTAATCGACTTTTACGACACCCACGAGGTATTAAGGAGTGGCCTATTCTATGTCGGTACTACACGATTAATTAGACAGGCAGGATTGTCATTCCTTTATCACCCATTAAAAAATAATAAAGTTTTTATATGTATATATGTTCCGATAAAGTTAATTGTGATTACTATAGTTATATGATAAAAAATAAGGAATCAATTGTTGTGTTAACTAATATTATATGTAAGATAGCCGTGTAGTCCCGGCATAGGACAGACCACCTCTTTCTTTCCGTAGGTTTTCTTTTTTATACAACTTAGAATGGCAAACAAGCTGATGGCCCACCTGATGGAAAGTGGTAACCGTCGCCAATAGACACGAGCAGTACCATGTACATAACAGAGTATACTGTTTCGCCCATGATACCTCCCATGCGGTGCCATTCACACCGAAACACAGCCATGCAAACACAGCTGCTTCACGGTTGAAACACGAATGGGACAGAGGTGCCCAAGCAATCGACTTTTGTACAAAGTAAGAGGCGACTAAGGGAACTTAATGTTAGAGGAATGGGCTGCAGCGTCCCTTTTGACACCTCACCAAATCTTAACGGCGATTGCCAACCCGCCTGCCAAGCATGGCGACTATTGGCAAAACCCCTTTATGGAGTAGGCCTATGTTCAGCAGTGGACAGTTAACGGCTGGTATGATGATGATGATGATGTGATAACCTAAAAATAGTAAGTAAAAGTAATAAGTCTATTTAGTCTAGTATTAGGGTCTAACCTAACCTCTATTAGATTTTGTATTCCGAAGATTAATGTATAGCGTAGCGACGTCACAACACCGCAATTACCGTTTCCTGCTGCGTTCTTCTATTATGAACACGAGAACCCAGATAGGGATTCGAATAGATGTTACAATTGTATGTAAATCAACATTAGTTTTGTGTATCAAGTTTTATCCCAAAAAGCATCTAGTTGGTTTCAGCTAAATTTATTTTATTACATGTGTAAATTAATTTAAGATTTGGTTCCATAGAAAAATATAGACTTTAATAGTGGCAAAAACACTTTTTTTGATTTAAAAATTAAACTACTGAACAGATTTTCATAAAATTTCTATGGGATTAATCTGAATGTATATTCTTTCAGATAAAAAAAGAACTAAGTGGAAAAGAATATATATATATATATATATATATATGTATATGTAGAAATAGTTTTATGTGGAATGAGTTTCTTATCAATAGTTAGATAAAAAGTTATTGTAACAATACATCAAGTAGTTTGGTAGTGACGCGTTCAGTTTTCTTTTAAATTGAAATATTCGCATCGTTTATACGAGTATGTATGGGAATTTCTGCTATAAAAAATCATTTCTAACGCTTTCTCTTCACAAAATCATTGATTTATTAGATGATCTTCAGCAAGAGTGATTTCTGTCTAATTTCGGTGAACATTTTTGGTTTCGAGTCTTAAAAAAGTTGATGTTCTTATAAACTATTTTATAAAATTATTTCGAAGACATAGACTTTTCTAGGGATTCAAAGTTGAAAGCACATTTGAAAGGTCCACCGAAGTTGGACAAGGATCACTTGCTTGAACGACGTCATGGATTTTTATGGTGGATCGTTACACCATATACCTATTCGTACTTATAAAAACGTTTGTCTTGACTATCTAGTTTGTCTAGAAAACTGAAATTTAGAATATAAGCTTATTTCATAAAGTAAGCATCCGAAAGGATTTTTGATAATTTAAATGTAACTCATCACCGTACGTGTAAAGCCGCAAACAACAACTAATGTCTGTAAAAGTATACAAAAAGATTCTCTGTTCGTACATCAGTGTCTAAATACACTTTCCCCTGCGAACTAAAGAGTCGCTTGAGAAAGCAGGCTACAAATCAGGGTTAATCGTACCTATCCCCATAAACTACTGTAAGTAGTTTCAGGCGTAAATACTATTTTATGTAGAATGGTAACCCCGTCTGCGCTATCGGTATACGCTGATGGGGCACCAGTGAGGGATGAGAGGTGACGATAAAAGAAGAAGAAGAAGAAGGTCAATTAGCCCATTGTGACGAATTATAATTAGAATCAAACACGATGGTTTCCAGGGTGAACCGCCTGAAGGTCGACCTCATTATATTACTACTAATGGATTATAACTATATTGCTAGTAATGGAGCTACAAGTCAACTACAAACAATCCCCTCCCCCCGGATGTAGAGACTGCATCTATAATGTCTGTAAGCAGGTGTTGTTTGTATACCAATTTACGGTAAGTCCTGTATGGTCGCGCGTGCCGTTGTCTCGCATTGAACTAATTAGAATATGACACCACCACGAGCCAAGTGCCGCCTTCCTGTCAATTACCTACGCTTCTTACACATGTGGGCATTGGGCACATAAATCTTGAAGAGAACGTGCTTGCTCTATCCAATGTAACTATTTTAGTACGTTATTCTTTATGTGACGTCAAGCAGATTTGATTATAGCTGTTCAGCGTATCTATTTTATAATTAGTTACTTTAATATATTAGAGATAGTAGTGTTTATATTAAGTTTTTTCGAGAAAATTTACTAAAGAGGCTAGAGATAATTAAGAGAACTCAAATCAAATATTTTAAATTCTAAGAACTTAATCTTTGTTAATATTATAAATGTGAAAGTAACTTTGTATGTTTGTAACCCTATAGTGCCTTAATAGCTTAACTAATCATTATGAAATTTGGTATAATTGGAGAAGGATATAAGCTACTTTTTACTCCCGTCAGTAGATATATACCGGTCACGTGAAGTTACGGCTAAAAGCTAGTGAAAATATAAACAAATAATTGATTTAACCTATTAGACATCAGCAGACTCTTAGATAATAGTATAAATAAAAAAAATATATATATTACTTTAGCAAAGTGATTTAGATTTTTGTGATCATTAAAACAATCCGGCTCGAAGGACCACTTGAGAAGTCAGGAAGGTTGGAAATGAGACGTCTCAAGGATAAAACAAAAGAAACCATTAGTCTTGTTAAAAAAAGTTAATATTTTGTTTGTCGAATGACTTAACAAGCAGCCAGTGATAAAACTGCTCAAAAGGGTCGCATCAACTTTTTTTACTTTATCTTTTCATTAAGTTCTGTTAAAACATACGTGTATATTTATGCTTTATATATATACACTAAAACATTACAATGTTTTCATCGACAAGCAAGTAAAACAGTTGTTGTTTTCACAGGGCGAGATAATATTCTCGTGGTACAGCGGCGAAGGGAGCGCACACTTGGCGGACAGGTGGGGCGGGCGCGTGGAGCGTCTCGGAGACGGCCGCCTCGGACTCGGCCGCGGCTCCATCAACGTGAGCGCGGTGCGGGAGACCGACGCCGGCCTCTACCGGTGCCGCGTGACGTTCCCTAACCGCACGCCGCCGGAGCGCAACAACGGCACCTTCTACTTCCTAGAAGTCGAAGGTTGTCTTCTATCTGTATATCTTCTATGCATAACGCGGTTCATATTTATTCCTGTCTTTATTCTGTCATCATTATTCGGATCTATTCATGTATCCATTGCTACTTTTTTTGTTATAACCTAGGGCATTAGATAGATAGATACTCTTTATTGTTTCCTCTAAAAGAATACAACAGTAAACTTATTGTAGATATAAAAAAAAATTGATTTATTTTCATTAGAAAAAGTTGCTGAGGATGACTAGAGTATCAAATTACAAGTTACTTAACCAGTATTTAGTTTAAAAAACTTTTTCCTGTACATTATGGTAATCCTTCTAATTCTACTACTAATCATATTATAAAACTTGTAAAGATATATGTTTGTAAAACTGCTGAATGGATTTAAATGAAGTTTCATTAAAATTCTAAAAGTTCTCTCGTAATACTACCATAATTTTTCCACAACCAATAATTTTAATTCTGTGTGCACTGTTCTAATAATTTTAATAATTGTATATTTTAAGTGTTCTTATGTTTGTTACTTGTATGTTTTTTTTATTGTTTTGTTGATGTCAGTTTTGTTAATCGATGACTTAAGAAAATGTTGTGTACATCTGTAATTGGTGTCAATACAAGACGCAAGCCCTGTATATCAATTAAAATTAATGTCTGTATTTACACTGTTGATTTACCTTTTAAAAATAAATAAATAAAATTTGGTACTCGAAAAGTTATATCCTAACTAAACTCATAAAACTTTTTACCACATAAGATTTGTACTGAGACCTTTCTATGGGCTTTTGTGCTCGCTCTTTTTTAAAAAGTTCACTGCTAATTCTTATCTGTGATAGGAATTTTATGATCCTTTTAGTAGCTATGTTTTTTATCTCCTCAGGTGGTAGGTTAATATCTGTTCCACTTATAATTTCTCTACATGTCCAACAGTAATTGATAATTATGATAAATTGACAAAAATAACAATTTACTAGAGGGAGACTTTGTATAAAAGGCGTTTGCTTGGCCACTTTTCTTCTATTTATGTTTCCACTGTGAAGCAGTTGTGTTTGCATGGCTGTGTTTCGGTTTGAAGGGTAGGATATGGTAGTGAATTTACAGGGTATAGAGGAATAAAACCTGAGTCCTCAGGAATGGTAACGCATGGGGGGTGTCATGGGCGAAACAGTATATCCGTCTCCGTTATGCTCATGGTACTGCTCATGTTTATAGGCGACGATTACCACTTTCCATCAGGTGTACCGTCAACTTGTTTGCCATTCTAAATTGCATAAAAAATAGTTCAATTTCTAATTTAAAATTACATATAAATTTAATATTACCAGGTGGCAATCTAATCGTCACACCTCCTATGAACGTGACGGTTTTGGAGGGAGATCGCGCTGAGTTCGAGTGTTTACCCAAGGACCCCGAGTCGATAGTGGAGTGGTACAAGGATGGCACACATATCAGCGAAATACCCGAACTGGCGTTACGCAGCGAGATGCCTGGCAATGGAAGCATTATTATACGGCAAGCTGTCAGTACAGACCCTGGAGAGTATCAATGCCGGGTACGAGCACCTGATTCACAGCTGCAGACTGCAAGTGCATACCTTGATGTACAATGTGAGTTGTTCTTAATAAACGATAATTGAAAAGGAACCCGGCTTGCGCTATTAAAATAGATAGATAAATACTCTTTATTGTTTCCTCCATAAGATTACAATAGTAAATTTATTATAAATTCAAAAATTACAATAAAATTTTACACTAAGAAAACAATGGGCGGCCTTATCGCTAAGAGCGATTTCTTCCAGGCAATCTTTGGATGGAGAAGAGTAATTATGAACAGTTTGACTGAAGGCAAGAAACACTGTTCGTTTTCTAAAAACATATAGCATACGTACAATAATGTGAATATATAAATGTATTTTAAATTACACGTATATGCTTAAATAAATTCATATATAAATACATATACATAGAAATACATATGTTGTAACAACAAATATACGTTGATGGATACCTTTGATTGATTCATCAATGAGACAATGATGATGATGATGATGATGAAGACAGGTGAGGATGAAAGCAGGTCAGTTGACTCATTGTAACCAATTCATCAAGAAGTAATTACGATGGTTTTCAGGGGAGACTATATGGACGTTCACCTGACAGAGTATATACTTTGCAACAGAGACAAAGTGTCTCATTATTAATTCTTTTTCCCTTGTACACCTCACATTGAGTTGTACTTCATATTTCATTTGGTCATTAAAAAGTATAAGTAAAAGATCATTTATATTGTAACAAGTAATAAATTTGGGTTCTTTTTTGTTTCAGATAAGGCAAAGGTGGTATACGCACCACAAGAACGCTACCTCCCATTTGGCAAGCCCGCCAGCCTCGACTGTCATTTTAGTGCCAATCCTCCCTTAACTAACTTGCGCTGGGAAAAAGACGGCTTTCTCTTTGACCCCTACAACGTGCCCGGCGTGTTTTACAGCAGGAACGGAAGTCTTCTTTTCAACCAAGTGACGTATATATTATTCTTTTTTTGCATATTTTTCTTGTACATGTAATATTGACAGCAAAATTATAATAATTCTTTCCTTAGTTTCCATATTTTGAACAATATGAGTAAGAGAATGCCAATATTTGTAAATATAGATATATTTAAGAAAGGGAAGGTTGTGATTTAGAGATCAGAAATATCAGAATCTGAGTGGAATTTTCAAGTATACGCAAAGGCATTTCTGGTACAAAACGCGCTTTAAGGAGACAGGCTTCCCTTTGCTTATCCTCAACAATATTACCAAAGCCACAGTTATGAATAGGTACAGATTTTTTTTTATTTATGCAACTTAGAATGGCAAACAAGCTGACGGCGCACCGAATGGAAAGTGGTAACCATCGCCTATAGACAAGAGCAATATAATGGACATAAGAGAGTTTACTGTTTCGCCTATGATACCCCCTCATGCGTTGCCATTTCTGAGAACTAAAGTGTTATGCCTTGTATCCTGTAAATTTACTGCCATATCCCACCTTTCACATCGAAACACACCCATGCAAACATATTTGCTTCACGGTTGAAACACGAATGGGACAGAGGTACTTAAACAAAAGTTATATAAGAGTGAAAAAATTAACACAGTTGGATGGTTTTGAAGGTAGACGAGTCGCATGAGGGCCAGTACTCGTGTACGCCGTATAATGCCCTGGGTTCCGAGGGACCGTCGCCAAGCGTACGTGTGCGGGTGCAGCGTCCGCCCGCGCTAAGCGCGCGCCCCCAGCCTCTTTACGTGGCACGTCTGGGCGATGCCGTCACTATGCCCTGTGCCATCGATCCGCAACCGGATCATCTCGCCCCCACATTACATTGGACAAGGGTGAGCCTATACTATAATTATTATATTATTAAACCACTTCTTTACAGTCATAATTTTCATTATCTACTGCTAAACATAAACCTTTTTCATAGACATTAACAAGGATCGATCAGGTCTGTTCCTTGTTCACGCATGTGGCTCAAGAACTATCTGCATCTATTAAGTTTTTGTAACACTCTCTGTATAATTTTAGGCCGGTAGGTCATTTAATCACGGGTCATTAATATTAGGTATGGTGTTGCCATTGCCACTTAAGAACACTTCTTCCTCAACATTTATTGGCTTTTCGAAGTTTGAGTTACATTGTTGGTCCTTTGCCACTTTACCTTGTTCATCATTCAAACAATATCAGTCGTCATTTTGACGCGAGAATTCTGGGCCCATAACGTTTAAGTTTTGATGTCTGAAATTCGTTATTGTCAAGTGATTTGGTGACCAACTTGTTGTTTGCAGAAAGACGGTGGCGAGTTACCGGAGGGTCGACACTCTCTAGCCGATGGAAACTTGACGATCAGTTCGGTATCAGAAGAGGATCGCGGCGTTTACATTTGTACGATTAGCAACGAGGCGGCTGCGGTAGCTGTCGAGGCCGAATTATTAGTCGAGAATGTTCCACCACGCGCACCTTACAATCTTACCGCCAGACCTTCGCACCATTCAATACATCTGTCTTGGGTACCTGGTAAGATGACTTTACTCACTTGCATTATGTCCTATTTATAGGTATTTATTGTTAGATAATAATAATTAACATTAAAATGAGGTCCCGGTATAGAATAGGCCACCAATTTCTTTCCCGTGGGTGTCGTAAGAGACTAAAGGAAGGGCGAGGGATGGGCAGCAGCGTCCTAAAACAGGAGGTATATGTTCAGCAATGGACAGTTAAAGGCTTATATGTAATGAATAATAGGACATTATCAGGTCTCTTGTGGTTAACCTAATAGGTAGTTAATAGCATTGAATTAATATGCCATACTAATCGGTCGATGAAGAAACTCGACGACTCTAATTGAATATTCATTTAATTTGCTTAGATAGCACCTATTTCTTGGATTACGCAAAAGTATCATTAGGTATCTATACTTGTGATTACGTATCTATGTAAATTTTTCAATTGGGTCCTTAGATATCAAAATATCTTGCAAGTTGTAATTCAATTATCCAATATAAAAGTTATATATTTATATAATTATAATTAATCAATTTATAATATGGTTTCGATATAAACTAGGTCGTCCCTTTCTTTCCTATGGGTGTAGTAAGAGGCGATTAAAGGAAATTATAGGTCGTGGAATGGGCAACAGCGGCTCTCTTAAATTATAACCAAAAACCTAACTGTAGTTGCCAACCCGCCTGTCAAGCGTGGTATTTACTGACAAAACCCCCTTTATGGAGGAGGCCATCAGAGGGACATTTAATGTGATATTCGTCTGATTTTGAAAACAATAATTTGTCCCTTTCATCTTCGCTCATGACCTCTCTCACTAGTACCTCGTTAGCTGATTCCCCTAGATAGCCATCGAGGATAAATTTTGTATTTGTCTTTCATTTTTAAAAAAGGTTCAAACTTATTTGTAAAATATTAATTGTCAATCCTCTCTCATGTACCTCGTTATATAGATAACATAATTACAATTTAATTTCAGGGTACAGAGATAAAACGCAGAATGGCAACACATAAGAGATACCATAGGTACAGTGTATGTTAAGATATCTATGGCGACGATTACTATTTTCTACCAGAAAGGTCGTTGGTTTATTCGCCATTCTAAGATAGATATTCTCTATTGTTTCCTCCATAAGATTACAATAGCAAACTTATAATAAATACAAACAATTACAAGAAAATATTACATTGAGAAAACAATGGGCGGCCATATCTCTAAGAGCGACCTCTAACTATCATAAAACAGATTTATTTATTAATGGATTTAATAGTGTCTAATGGTGTCTAATTTTTAATGGTGTCTAAATGTTTCTGCAGGACACAACGGTCTCGAGGTGGACTACACAGTTTGGTACCGCGAGCGCGCCGTCAGCGAGTGGCGCACCATGAAGATCCTGTCTCGCGGTGTGACAGACGCCACTCCTGGTGGGACTCCGCCCCGCCGCCGAGTACGAGCTACGCGTCCTCTCTCAGGATCACATCGGCGACGGCCTCTTTAGCAAACCGATCTATGTTTGGACCCTCGGTAACTAAGTTTTTACATGATTATTACATACTTACTATTTGTTTTAGTATTTAAACTTTTAAAACTGTTTTCGGACGAAAAGTTAGGGTAGTTAGCTATGCATAATCTCTTACCACAGATTAAAGTTTTATCCCAACCATCTGGACGAGTGGCGGTTTTCCACCGTGCGGTTTTTAAAGCACTTTCTTCCACGCACAACGACTCTTTGGTATCAATTTCCAGCAGCAGTATTTCCGAACTGATACGACATCATAACCTTAAAGAAAAGAGCATATTCCTTTTTAAAAGGTCGGCAACACACTTGCAATGCCTTTGGTGCTGCGTATGCTCATGGGCGGCGGTAGTCACTTACCATCAGATGAGCCGCATGCTCGTTTGCCCCCTGTGTTGTAAACAAAAAAGATATATATCGATACTGGCTGAGTGTATAATTACGAGTTAGTGAAACTAAAAACACTTATGCAGTTTTTTTACCTACTTTTTAGTGTATTAAGAAGATAGGAATAGTCTTAAGAAACTGAACACGGATTTGCATAAAACTGCATTAATGGGAGACAAGTATGGTGTATGAATTGATTTGTTTTATTTTTTAATGGTAATGATAATGGTATGGTAACCTCGCCTGCGCTATCGGTATAGACTGGCGAAGCACTAGTGAGATGTGACAGATGAGGATGAAAGCAGGTCGGTTAGCCTATCCTGACGAATTCAACTAGAATTAACGAACATGGTTTCTAAGGTAAACCACGTGGAGGTCGATCTGACAGGGTATATTGCTAGTAATTGGGCTATTTATAATAATAATAATATTTATTAAATCCAAAAATACATGTTTTAATTTTACATTTATTCCCAAAACAAAAATCTTCTACTTTTAACTTCTACCTTCTTCTACTTACAAGACTTATTAACTAATATATAAACTTTAGTTACATAGATAGATTTGACCCCATTATTAACAATCCTTTTTCCCCCTATTTTTGTTTGTTAGCACCAGAGATATTGGAACAGGAGGCAACAGCGTATGCAGCAGCCGTGACGGAGGGTCCCCCAGTGGTAGCAGCTGGTGGGCTCGATGAACTTGAAGTTAGCGTGCGACTCATCGACGACGGTGCTCTCATCCGCTGGAGCCGAGATTCCAGCGACGAGTCTCGCTGCACGGTCCGCTGGTACGAGGGCTCCGCGCCTGGCACGCGTCTGCTGGTTACCGCACATACGCATCACGACTATATGCTGAGTGAGTGTTGAGCATAGAAGCTAAGAACTAGGAGTTCGGCTTTGATCTTTTTTAGGTCAGTTTCAGAAACAAATTGTTCACTTGTTTGGGTGTCCAAGTTCAATTTTTTTAGATGTAATACATTTTATCCCCTTGTTCTTAAAAATTAAAACCTATTGTAACTATTATACTGTTTTGTCACTTTCATTCGAATTGAGAATTTAGTACAAAAGAAAGAGACAAAACAATTCAATAGCTAGGAATTGGCACTAAAAGTATAGAAAAAAATATTTAAGAATTGAACAAAATAGGCTTATTTGCAGTTACGTGACTTGAACCTGTCAAATTAAAAAAAAAGTTGTTAGAACTAAGATGTCCGCTTCTATTCGTAAATCAAATATTTGTGTGTGCAGTAAACGGTGTGGAGGAAGGTGCGCGCTACTGGGCGCGAGTGGAGTGCGCTAGTGGGGCGAGTGGTGGCGCCGCTCTCCGCGTGCCGGAGTACACGCGGCTGCGCGGTGTAGCGGGCGGCTGCGCGGCCGCGGCGCTGTTGCTTGCTGCTGGCGCTGCTGCGTTGTACTTCGCCCGCCACCGCCTCTGGCCGCGCCATACTACCCGCGGACGAGCGCCGCCACTCACTGACAAGCGCGTTCGTTAATGACACACATTTTGTGTTGAGACTTTGTTGTGTTTATAGATTGACGTCGCTTATTCATTCCACATTTGTTTTCATTACATAAATTCATTATAGATAACCGAATCGTTTTTTATCCTGTTCCACGATTATAAAATCTAACAAAAACATGTGCATAGTTATAATATCGAAAAAGGGTTTCAATGTTTTGATCATTGTTTTGCTGTTTGTGAACATGACATATATATATATATATATATATATATATATATATATATATATATATATATATATATATATATATATATATATATATATATATATATATATATATATATATTTACCTAATATTTCAGTTATATTCATTAGTGTGACCATACATTCTAGTCTTTCATAATTTTTATCAATAGTTTACCGCTAGCATGATTCCTAATCTATAAGCGGAATACTACTCAGTTGTTCAATTAACCTCTTCGACGGAATAGTCTAAATAAGTAGTTACATATAAGATTTTAGTAAGTAGCAGAAGATATAAAAGATTATATTTATTACGCAATAAATTTTTTTGATAAAATAAATACTGACGTTTTATTCATTAACCCTTCTTTGCATACTGGTAGATATTTGTTTAGTGTATATTATGGTAGGTACTAACATTAAATTACATTTTAGAAGTTAATATAAATTAAGCATTCAACATATTGTGGAAGTGCATGCTAATATAATAAAACTCACGATAGATAATAAAAGCCCCTAAATTGCTCAATGGTGATACCTTGCTTATGTAGTGTTTTTAACGTATTTCATTTGAAGTTCTAAAAGAATACCATAGATAGGTAGTGAACTATTCTTAATCTATGTTGTAAGTTTGATCCTTGACAAGCTGATTGTGACTTTGACATGTGTAGACGCCCCAACCAACGGTTGTCATGTTATTTTGTTATCGACGTTTTCGAGGTGTTTTTAATGTGAATTGTGAATTGAGTTTGATTTCATTAATTGTAGATGAGTAACTATTCATAAAAGTATGACATATTAAAATTGGATCGTTTTTTTGTGTGTCAATTAGCATCCTTCCACAATGTCAGACCGATCCATAGCAGTAAGTTGGTTTAACACTTTGAAATCTCGATATTAATTTACTGTGCAAACTCGATCAGTTTTGGTTTAAAGTACCTACCCACTATTAAGATTAATAACGTTTTGTTTTCGTATTTTGTCTGAGTATGATTTTGAGATAATCTCTTACCAATTCAATATGCTTACTGTATGCTGGACACTTCCTGTAGATATATCTCTTTTTTTATAGTTGGTACAATTAGTAAACAATATTAAGATATTTTTGTTATTTAAAAATAAAACACAATAATGTTATAAAATGTATAATTAAGCATAAAAGCTTTCCAATAAATAAATAAGTTTAATACTTATTTATTTAGTTATGTATTGTTTTTTCAATAAAAAGTCTTCTCAAGATTGTTTACTAAATGTTTACTAAACTATTTTGTAATAGTGCTACAGATACAGTAAACTTCCAAATACTGCTTAATTTTTACAATAAATATATAATTACATATGTTTGTTTTTGCTGGGATTGAACCTGTGACCATTGGAAGGTGAAGCCATGGGGTAAACTAAGATTGAATAATAAAATTTGATATTTATATAATAATTTACTGTATATTTATAAGAAAGAATGCATTATGAGTCTAATAATGTTATATTTATTTACTCACAAAATTTTATTGTGTAAAAGTTTTCCTTTTTTTTTATAAAAATAAATTGCACATTTTAGAATTTATTTATACAATATTATAAATTTATTAAAAATATAAATTTATATTTATTGTAAATTTAAATTTATATATTTATACTTTATTTTTATTTAAAAAATAACAATTTACTTCTTAAATTGAATAATTTATTTGGAATGATTGTATTGTGTAATTATAATAATAATTGTGATAATGTATTATTTTTAGTCACGGCCGAGTCTTGAGCAGGTGTTGGCTATAGTGGATTTTATGGAGAAGCATCCAGCGCTGGCACTGGGGCAGTTGCGAGGGCTAGAGGGTAGAGACGAGAGCAAGAAACTGTGGTTCCAACTCACGAGGATAGTTAATAATATTACTGGCCCTATTAGGCCCATGAAATCATGGATCAAAGTATGTTTTGTGATTTTATAATAATGACTTTGTATTAACATAATTATCTTAGGTATATATATCTGTTAATCAATTATATATACTGAAAATAATAGATATATAAATCTAGTAATCTCTTAAAAGTAAGTATGTTTAATTAAATCTACTATTATTAATATTTTTTTTTTAAAACATACAGCTCAATGACAATCAATACATAATCAAATTTATATCTATGTTAAGCCATGAATCCTTTTCACATTTGCATAATTACACAATTGATTGGTTTTTACATATGCAAAATATATACACATATATATACATATACATACATATACACATACATTTATTAATAAATATAAGAATATTAATGTTGTGAGAGTTTGTTACCTCTTGACACTATAACAAGCATTTATTATAAAATTTGGTATACACATACTATTTGGGATAGAGAAGGACATAGGCTGCTATTTATCCTGCCTAATCTACATATTCCAGTCATATAGATCAAGTCAGAGTAAAGCTAGTTAATAATAATCATTAAAATTTGTAAAAATATTGCATAACATGCATACACAAATAATACAGTGAAATTGAAACCTAAGAAGGTAAGTTGATTTAAAATAAATGTTAACTGTAATTCCATGTAGAACAGTCTCATTTAGTCTAATACATTCTTAATTGGTCGTCTTATGAATGCAACATTTTACTAGAAAATATACATTTATTTTGTACATGCTTCTTGTTGCAGTATTGGGCTGATAAAAAGTCCACAGTGAGGTCTAAAGTGCAGTCAGTTGGCGGCGATCCCAATAGTCTCTGTTCCAATGTTGAAAAAAAGATATGGGACCTGTTCCTAGCCAATGATGTGTCAAGTAAGTGGTATTTGAGGATTCTGATATAATTTCTAAATTAATAGAAATAGAAATTCATCATTTCAGCATCTACTGAAAAAAATTTTCAGATGCTGTTACATATAATACAATTGTAACTGGTCACTGCCTATACATGGAAGATATATAAGAAAAACTATTATAGGGGAGCTTTAACGCAGTAGAACCCATAATGAGAATTTATAGAATTTTTATGTATTTGTTTGTTTGTCTATTTATCTGTATGTTTGTGCACGCTAATCTCAGAAACGGAATAATCGATTTGAATGCGGTTTTCACTAATGTGTTGCGGTTTGCTCCACTTAGTATTTGTTTTATTTCAATCGGTTCATAAATTATATCAACCGATTATATAGTTATATAAGTAATATTAATCCAAAGAATCACATACAAAATGTTATAAAATGAATTGAAACTTTTTTATTATATGTATTGATTTTTGAAAAATCTGTCTACTCGTGTGAAGCCGGGTCGGATCACTAGAAGAGATTGCTTAGCAATAAGACCGCCTTTTGTACTTCACTATACGTATTGAAAATTGTTTTAACAAAACATGTTATGTTGGTGCAATAAAGTGTTAAATAAATAAATAAATAAATATATATATATAAATAATGCAAGAGTTAGATGATAGTTAATTTTCAACTTTCGCATACACTGTACACATATGTATTTTAAATACATACTCGGAGGGGGGGGGGGGAAGGGATTGTTAGTAATGGAGACTAGAAATCCCATTATTAGCAACATACTCAACCAGATCGACCTTAATGCGGTTCTCCCTGGAAACTATCATGGTTAATTCCTGATGAATTCATCATGATGGGCTAACTGGCCTGTTTTCATTCTCATCAATCACCCTTCACTGGTGCTCCGCCAGCGTATCCCGTTAACGCAGGCGGAGTTACCATTCCATTTTCACCCATCAAAAAAAAATACATACTCGGGCTTAACGCGATGAAAAACCTTTGCAGGTACATTTACCTACATACCCTTATTTAACATTTGTGCACTAGACTTCATGTTAATAATTTTTTATAATAATTCATTCATTTATATCATTCCCCTTATATCTTTTTTATAAGTTAAATATGAGTGAAATATATATAAGCTTACTATATATACAGAGTCCCGTAATGTGAAGCAAGAATCTCACTTCATAGACGAGACCGTATTAAACGAAGACAGTATAGACGAGGCCAACATGGAGCCAGAACCAGTGCTGGATTTCGAGGTCGAGCCGGTCGCTGATCCTGAGGAGCGACAAATTGCAATTATGGATAAACTGGTATATTTACAATATATTTTACAAATAAATATTCAAATGTAAATTGTGTAAACCACATTTTTTTACTTTACATAATTATAAAAGATTTTAATTAAATATTAATTTAGTTATTACAATAATTTCAGTCAGTTAAAATGAATAAATGTGATTAAAATTTAATATCTATGGTCATTTTTGGATATAAAACACTTTTATTCAATGGTTTTTAATTTTCGATTTTGCACATTATCCACTTTGTATGTACATATATAATTAAAGTAAAAATTTGTGTATATTTTATTATCTCTTCAGGTAAAGGCGATGAGTTCCCAGGCGTCTGCGCTGGCGCAGCTCGGACACGCATCGCTCGTCAGCTCGCAGGCTATGGAACGACTAGCGGACGCCTCGCATCTACAGGTAATCACTTTATAAATTAATTCCTTTAATGTAAATATTATAAAGAGGAAAGATTTGATTTTTAGTTTGTATTGATTTTTTATACTCTCAAGAAAACAATTAATTTTATTTTTTTACCTGTAAAAGGCTATATTTTCGTTTCTCAACCGTGGTGGTCGTGACCCTAAGGGACCGGGGGGGGGGGGGGGGCCGAGGGGGGGGGCGACTCCCCCCCCTCCCTATTGTATGCAAATACAACAACTGAAGTTATTAATATTCCGAGTACAACAATTTCAGGCGCGCGCACTCGACCGGCTCGCGAGCACGTTCGAGAGCATCGGCGCCGCGACGCACCAAGTGGGCACAGCGCTGCTCGATATCGATGCCACGGTTAAACGCTGCTACGCCACGTCGCCCACTTAGCACACCTACCTCTGAACTGACCACAACGTTGCTATATCGCGTGTGGTCGCATGTGATAGCGTGTGCTCGCGAATATTCGCGTTCGCTCGCGGGTGCTCTCGTGTACTCGTGTGTGATCGTATGTACTCGTGTGTGATCGCGTGTACTCGCGTATGCACGTATGTGATCGCGTGTGTTCACGTGTGCTCGCGTCTGCTAGCGTGTGAAATTCTTTCGATTCGATTCATTTAAGAGGCGCCACGTCTAGATGTTTGAATAGACTAAGTGTGGTCTCTGATAGACTAAAGATATATTAATAGTATTGTAATATACCTAGTTGTATTAAACATGGATTTTTTCTATGTGATTTTATTAATATTTATAGTTTGATATTAAATGTGGTTATAGAGAACGACTTGTGTTATTTTTACATAACTGGTAAAGATGAATTTATATTTATTCAGAAATACAAATAAAATAAATATTTTGTATTCATGTAGCGAATGTTTTAATATTTTAAACAAACTTGTAAATATATAAAATCTTATATAATTATATTAAATTTTTTTAGGTTTCATGACATTCATAAATGTATTATTTATTATTGCTTAAAAAGCTATTCATATTTAACGTTTTTTTTATGATTATAGATATAAGCAATTTGTTTAAGTAATAAAATTTTATTTAATAATTCATTATTTTGAAAAAATATTACAAGTATTTAAAGATAGACTTACGATGTATATGCAATCATGAAATGCCATAATTATGTGATCAAGATGTCAATAGATTATCATTTGATAAATATGTTACTAATATTTTAAATACACTATCGGGACTTATATATAAAATTATCGTGTCACGGTGTTTGTTATCGAACTCCTCCGAAACGGCTTTACCGATTTTTATGAAATTTTGTGAGCATATCGGGTAGGTCTGAGAATCGGCTAACATCTATTTTTCATACCCCTCAATGATAAGGGTGACCCTCCCCAAATTTTTTTTTTATTTTTTTGACAAATTTTTCCCTTTTTATGTTATTATGATTAAGCATTGAAAAATACATACAATCCGTTTGACGATCAACTCCTGTTTTTTAATCGCGATTTTTATATTCCGCAATAGGGTTGCAAGATGGCAATCCAATATAATAATTGTAGTAGAATAAATTTTCATGTATAGTTCTAAAAATAATGTATATGGTAAATCAACGTTTGCCGAGTCAGCTAGTATAGTATAAGCAGCTTATTTATATATATGAGTCTGCGACTTTATTGCTGTCAGACGAAGACGCCGGTCACTTCAGTCCTGTCGTGACCACGACGTGGTGCAATCCACCTGGAAATGTCGGCAATAAAGAAGCAGATATGTATGTAGTTAGGTACCAGTAGTATTTACCAGCAAATATTTTTCATTATGTCAAGTCTCGATAGTGTATTTAAAATTTATGTAAACAATGGGGAAGTGTAAAATAAACTATGTGTTACTAAAAGTAAGTAAAATGACCTATATAAATACATTTTTTGTAAATTTATACTTACATCGCTTTGTAAATGGAGGCAGTGTATACATAAAAGAGTATTTAAAGAGTTAAAATTATAGACGTGTTAATTAAAAAGCAAGTAATCTCCTCTTTTACAAATATTATGTCAATGCTAAATTTCATGACAACTAGTCAAGTCATTAACACCCGAGAAATAATAGACCCATTTTACATTTGAAATTAGCTGTATTATTTTTTTTTATTACAGTAAAAAGTTTCGTGAATTCAAAAAATGCTGTGTTAACGTCTTTTCAAATGCTGTGTTAGCTTTCCAACCTTCATCTAATGCCATTCAGCATTATTAGTATTATATATATATCAAACATCTACATTAAAAAAATCATATAAATACGTACTAATTCGACCGGTATTACGGTTAACCAATTATATTGAATTCTAAGCAATAAAAAAATCAAATTTTGGTTTATGATTGTCTATATCCAATCTTTATTTAACTATTTATTTATTAAAATCACCAACAACTATTACAACGGTACATTAAATTATATACGGTACATAAATGCGGATACAATGATTTTGTATAGTTACTAAAAGAAACACTGCATGCATATTTCAACTTGAATGAATGAATGAATGAATGAATGAGTATACTTTATTTGCATTATACAATATAGGAAATAAGCAAGGCAATTTACAAACACAATGATACAATTGTATAAGTACAGTAAGGCGGTCTTATTGCTGAGAGCAATCTTTTCAAGACAACCTTAAGGTAATGGACTAATTGTTGTACAAGTACTTGACTTAAACGTCATCGTCATATTGGCCATTATTTATACATAGGCCTCTCCAATAAGAGGGGGTTTACCAGTAGTTGCCACGCTTGGGAGGCGGTTTGGCAGTCACAGTTTCTTTATACGTGATAATGAAATAGTAACCCCACCCGCGCTATCGGTATACACCGGCGGGCCACCAGTGAAGGATGATAGGTGAGGATGGAACAGGTCAGTTAGCCCATCGTGACGAATTCAACGAGAATTGTTCACGATGGTTTCCAGGGGGAACCACGTGGAGGTTGACCTGATAATTATTGCGGGCATATTGCTAGCAATGGGGCTGTCAAACTCCATTGCTAACAATCCTTTCCCCTCGGCAGTCGCAGTTAGGTTTGGTAATGTTTAAAGAAATGCTGCCCATACCTTAACCATTCAGTTCCTTTAGTCGCTTCTAACGACACTCACGAGAAAGGAAGGGGTGGCTTATTCTATGCCACCCTTCTACGGCAACTTTAATATAAGTAATAATAATAAAATCAACACCGGTTTATAAGGCTTTATTTTTGCTTTGTTTGTATTATATAATCATTTCTATGGTATCACGGTAGTAAGGTTGTAAAGGTGCCGGTACCGGTTCTTCACATCACACTGAGGTCGACTTTGAAGTACTGTTGCCTAAACTTATCTTTAAAAAAATAAATTGTAGTTTTAATTTGGTACTTGAACAAAACTATTACAGTATGGACCATAGACAATTAAATATTCTGTTCTGACGCAAATTTACAAATAATTTAATATTCTTTTTTTTTATTTTAATTTTAATGTTAGAAATTGAGATTTGATACTTCAGAATCGACTCCAGTGTCTATAATTAAAACCTACTATATTTTTAGTGAAATAAACAATATATTATTATTTTTTTCATTGAAATAGAGCAAGGATTTGTATAAATAATTGTATAAATGTTATTAAAACTTGGACAGTAGCAACAAAATAATATATAAAAAACCCACTTTAGGTAGGACTATTATTAGGTAATACTTTTTAAGTTACTATAAAGACAAGGGCGTCTTTTTCAATGGGTTATAATGGATGGTGAGGATGAAAGCAAATCAGTTAGCTCATCCTCCCGAATTCAGTAAGAATTAATAACGACGATTTCCAGTGGTGACCATGTAGACGTCGACCTGATAGGGTATATTACTAGCAGTGGAGCAATTAGACCCCATTACTAGCAATCCCTTTACCTCCAGCTTCGCCTTTGTTTGGTAAGATTGTTTTTTAATGGATGATAATGGAACGGTACCTCGCTTGCGCTATTCGCTAGTCTTTGTTTGGTAAGTGGAGCTTGTTAGGGCACTGTCTGGAACTCGAAGGATATCTAAGGCTTATTTGCTATTTAAGGTTATGTCTGTATTGGGTCTAATAGAAATCATTTTCATTTTTAAGGGAGTGTTCGAGCAGAAAAAAAATTTCAAAAAAAGAAATCTTAATTCGATAATTAAATTTGATTCTCCCATACAAACATGGCGCGTGTAGCTGTCAGATTAGTGAGAGAGGCACTCAGTACTGAAATTTAAAAGCTCCCCATATTCATTCGACAGACGGAAACGCCGTATAAAATAGTAACTTTTAAATTAATTATATATTTATTTTTTATATTTGAATCTCATATACTAACAAGTGTTTGGTACACGAGATTCAGAATTTTATTTTAACCTTATATTTCTTTGAAAAAAATATTCAAAGTACTCATTGTGAGTTGTACAAAGATTGTTTAATTAAATCTACATACTAATTTATGTCAGCATTAATAAGTTAGTATACAGATTTGAGTTTCCGAAACTATCCGCTAGAGGCGCCATCGATGTAAATGTGAACACAGTAAATCTTGTACATTTACATCAGCCACTGCTTCACTATTAGAACATTATTAAAAGGGTGCTGATGAATTTGACTTCATTTGTGTATATCTTATCTGTAGATTCCATATGCCCTTGATAGCTTTTAATATTGGTACAAATAACAGAATTATCTTTGGATTTATGAGGTACGAGTATGTAACAAATGTACTCAACTGTAATATTATTAATAAGTACCTACATAATACTATCAATAACAGCCTATATAATATTTTAACAATCATTAATTATCTAATTATCATCTAAGGTATTTGAGAAATCTGGAGAGTGATAAATGTCTGCGCGTCACACTCGCTTGGTTATTGGGTTGCAGGCCTGCCTTCCCTTTTCCATAGAAAGGTCTCGAATTTGTCGATAGGTAAAAATTACCTCTGGCTCTGAAAAAAGAAAACTCAATTTATTGTAAACTTCATGTGTTTTTACACAACTGTTCAAAATAGGAATTTAATGTTTAGAATTCATGTAGGTATGCGAGATTGTGTTCCACGATAACTTTAAATGCCTAAACAGATTTGGACGTACTATGGTATATGCTACCATTATAGTTCTCACATCATCCCGATTGACATTAGCTATATTTTTTTGTGGGCAGTCATGTTTTAACTTGCGAAGTAAATAAAATAAGTCTCCCCTTCACTTATGAAGGTAGAGAGAAAGGTATTTGTTTATAATACTTAGAATGACAAACAAGGCGACGGTCCATCTCATACAAAGTGGTAATCGTAGCCTATAAATTTTAATATACTTATTATTATTATTATATATTAGTTATATTACTTGAAATAATAATATAGATAGTGTCCCCATACAAATGCTTCAAGAAAAGCGGGTAAACATCTTATCTACAGTTTTGCAGGATAAATAGATATAAATGTTTCCTTTATAACTTCTATATTTATTTTGTCTTATAAATTTTGCGCCTTTTAACGCGTAAAAACTTATTTTATTTATTAAACAATTAAATATAGATATATCATGATTCCTTGTGTGCGTAAGTATATAGAATTTTTATGAAAAAAACGTTCTCGACTCGTTTTTTTTTAGTCTGCTAATTTGACAAAAAGTTGACCCGTTTTTGAGGCTCGATGCTCTATTTATATAATTTAAGGTTACTCCATTCCATCAGGGTATCTTGTTCATCCTTTTCTAATTACATAAATACTACTCAGGTCTTACGTCCTTTTACTTGCACGTGGTGTGGTGTGCTTATCATTATAAAATATATTTTGCATTTAAATCTTTATTTATACCGTATATTCGTCAAGTCTCCTAAATAAACGATATCTGCAGATTTGTTGCTGTGGACCCAACTGTCGTAGTCAGTGGCTGCAGCGGCCGGGAACATGGTCGGATGGATTATAGATTCAGCGAAATACTGCCACGACCGATCGTGATTGCATAGATCTGGAAATGAGAATATTTTTTTTTTTATTATTTTGGCAAAGGGATATTATGTTTTTAATTTTATTATTATAGAATTCAAAATTACAGAAAAAAATATGTTATTTTAGCATTGGGAAACTACGTAGATTTATATTAATGTTAAATACTTTATTTTATCATTTATTAATAATATTAGTAAAATAAAATGTTAGTAACCAAATAAGTATGAAATATGAAACTGTCAAATTAAGATGTTTCGCATGAAGCCCAGACAATATACACTATCTAAAAAAAACAGTATTATCGGAAAAACAGAATACAATAAATTTAGTATTTTTTATTGGTGCAAAATATTTTCATTTGTTTTTTTTTTTAAGTCGTTACATTACCATGCCGTACGTTTAAAACTCCAAATAACAATAAATTCCTATGAGTGTAACCAATTTGTTTACACCTGTATGGTGATTTCATTTACGTATAGTATCATTATTATGTAAATCATTGTTTAAATTGTAAAGAAATTATGAATATGAATTTTTAAATCAAAATAACATAGTAATCTGTATTTGTTACAGTTGTTCATATTTACTGAATTCAGGTTGCATATGTAGGATTGATTGTAGGGTTCATATTGTAAATAACTTTAATCAATAATTAACAAAAACAATAAGTATTTCACAATAAACAAATAAATTTTTAAATTGTCCAAGTTAACAAAACACTCTCGTCGCTGGCTCGTGCGCGGTATGCGCGCGCAGCCAACAATCACAAAGCGCCTGCGCGACCTGCGCGCGCATCTTGCGAGTGAGTCTCGTGACCAAGCGCCATGTTATAAATATATATATAACAAAATGTTAGTTTGTTTGCTTGTTTTTAATTAATAAAAAATTCAAATAAATTATAAAAATTGATATACATATATATAATAAACATTGGTGAGTTATCTCACCACACATATCATTATCATATGAGCTGTTAACTGTCCACTGCTGAACATAGGCCTATCCCTTGGGAGGTTTTGCCAGCAGTTGCCACGCTTGGCAGGTGGGTTAGCAGATTCAGTTAGCCTTTGGTGACGTTTCAAGAAGAAGACGCTACTGCTCATTCTTCGATCATTAAGTTCCTTTAGTCGCTTTTTACGAAACTCACGAGGAAGGAACGAGTGTTACTCTGTTATATCCATAGACATGAGCAGTACTATGGATATATCATCTTTTTCTTTTATACAACCAAAATGGCATACAAGCCCATGACGGCCATTCCTGATAGGAATCAGGTGTTATTCCGTCGCCTATAGAAATTCACGCCATATCCATTCTTCAAACAAACAGCCATGCAAACACAACTGCTTCATGGTAGAAACACGTATGGGACAGAGGTACCCAAGCAATCGACTTTTGTACAAAATCTCCCTCTGGGAAATCTATATATACCATATCATCGTTTTATCCTTCCATCGTAAACCACAGCGTGCAATCTTTGACATAATACAAATATTTTTAGCATCCAAACATTTTCATTTTATTACATAAAATTTAATTTTATTTTTAATTCTAATTTTTTTAATTATTTAAAAGTAGCAAACAGTGAAAGGTAGCAACAGCGATTTTTATATCGCCGTTACTACCTTTACTGTTATATAATATGTGATATGGGTAATCATATCATAGATTATATGGTGACCCCATATAATCTATGATATGATTACCCATATTGGTAGATAGAATCAATTCTGTCTACCAATAGTCAATAGTTTATATTTTCCCAAAAAAATATAGGAGCTGGTCTCTTAATAATGGGTAGGCAGTGAATTTATTTGAGATAGTTTAATTTGTGAGAAAATTTGAGTTTAAATTCTTAAAAAAAAAAAAAAACAATAAAATCATAACATGCAAAAAAATATGTATAAAAAAAAGTGCAGTCGAACTAATAATAACCTTCTTATTGGAAGTCTCAATATATGCGAGTGCTGGTGATGTGAGATAAGCATTATTGCAATTTATAATAAGTGCCAATTAAACGCACCACTTGCTTAGTGTAATCAGCATACGAATACCTTGTGTGATGAGAAACTAGACAATGAACATTTGGAGCTAGTAAAAATTATGAGAAACTACATAACGATATGCGGCGCACAATGCCCAGATCGAATCCAATTCATTGTAAAGTTTTCAAGATTAGAAACTCTATGTTGTGAGAAATCGGACAACAAACATTTGGGGACACAACATCCAGACCCGATCCACTATGTTGTCTAACTCTCAAGCTAGGAAACCCTGTGTTGTGAGAAACCGGACAGCAAACATTTGGGGCACAACATCCAGACCCGATCCAATTCATTGTCTAGTTCTCAAGCTAAGAAACCCTGTGTTGTGAGAAACCGGACAACAAACATTTGGGGGCACAATGCTCAGGCCCGATCCAATTCATTGTTTAGTTCTCAAGCAAGGTAATTCGATAATGGGCGACCTGAGTCATTTAGAAAGTTTGTTTCCAAATTAGTTTGAACGAGAATGGAACCCGGGAACCTGTTTACGCAAGCAATGTGCCTACCATTGCACTACGTATGTAGATAAAAGCAAAATTTAAAGCAAGTGCAAGCACACAATCATTTATTGCTAGTAAATAGTAACGTAATTGATTTTAGACAAATAATGATCTTATATCTTAAATATTATTTTTATTTTGTAATAAAATATCTATAGTTGATGTGTATATAATGAAGACATCTGAAATACTAGGAACCCAAGTCTGAATCTATTTATAGCTGTGAATATTATTATTAATTTTTTTTTTTTTATATAAGAGAGCTTTGGATTCGAATCGTTAATTCATTTAAAATTATTAGAGTTTATGATTGCCAGTTGGTCAATCCGCTTCAAGGCCAGATCTAGTTCGAGTTCGATGTTAAATTTTACATTTATTTTAAATTAACAACTGTAGATTTTTTTTATAAGTCAACTTGTATTAAACTGTCTAGTCATTTAATAAACAAATTAATATTTATACGTTTCATGTTGTATAGATTATCTCAAGCTTATAAATAATAATAAATTATTAATTTTTACGAGTATATTTGTTACATTATTTCTTTTTTACTTTTCGTCAAAATTTGTATGGAGATCATTTATTCATAAATAATAGCAAAATATAGTAGCTAGTATATTATGAGTACTTGCAACACCGAAAAATGACACAACTTTTTTTTCTTAAAATAATTACTTTTATTATAGGCTGATTATGAATTAAAAAAATCTGCTTTATTTCATGATAAAATTAAGGTTGTGAAAAAAATATCAGCTTGCATAGAGTTATAATATCACTAATTATAACAGATCATTTTTGGGGAAACCCTTTTATTTTTAATTTTTTTCAATAACTATAAGACCTTGAAAGCTTGATTTAAGCGGTTTAAATAAATAAATACAAATATGCAAGCGTACTTATTAACACCAAATACCTAAAGCATGTCGTTGGAATGTCAAATTTTATTGTAATCCCAATAATCATGCTTCATTTCTCGTACATGCCAATTGACTTACTGGGCTTCACTTTATTAATCACATTAGTGATCATTCTGAAGTATTGTGTATAATTGGTTCCGTTGTTGATGTTAACATCGTCGATTGTATCTGCTGAAATATATATATTGTTAGTACGTGTATCTATTGTACATTATACTCTGTTATGTCCATGGTACTGCTCATGTTTATAGGCGACGGTTACCACTTTCCATCAGGTGAGCCATCAGCTTGTTTGCCATTCTAAGTTATATAAAAAAAAATAAAAAAAATCTTTGAGTGTGTATTTTTGCATTAGAAAGATGAATTTATCAAACGTTCGGATGTAAATATATCTCAAACTCCTCCGACTTTTGTTTATTCTAAACTTGGGCACGGCCTACCCCACCCTCCCTTTAAATACGCCTATGGGAATTAGTTCTCAAAAATTGTTGGCATAACATATAACATAGATAACAAAAATATGTCCTTAATTGGTGTTTTTTTTAAAAGTGTACGTTGTAAACCCAATATATATGTAAAAGTAATACTGGAAACAATGATGTAATAAACTCAAGATAATAATTTCCGTATTACATTCTCTTTGATAATTCCATTTGCGTTATTGGGTCGATGTTATCAAGAGAATTCACAAAGAAGTACGGCAACGTCGTAATTATCTGTCAATTTTAAAAAATAACTGACTAATTTTCAATATTTCTGATTGATTATTCAAAAAGTGTACCGATTACGAAACAAAAAGTTAATTTTGAAATACGTTGATTAGAAATCTACTCCTAAAAATTTTGCACCTACATACTTCATAATCTGCGTTGTTTTTCAAATACTTTTTTGCTGTCAAAATTTAAATTGTCTATGATACCTTCGTAACTTAGATTGTGATGATGATGGAATGGAGTAATCTTAGATTATACAGATATCGAGCTTTAAAAAGGTTCAACTTTTTGTCAGCTAACTGTCAAATTATCTGACTCGTTTTCTTTTATTTTATTTAGTTTTCTATATACATACGCACACAATGTATCTTGATATTTAATTATTTAATAAATAAAATGATGTTTTACGCATTAAAAAGGTGCAGAAATTATAAGACAAAATAAATATTGAAGTTGTAAAGGTATCACTCAGTTATGAGTGATTTATCACGCAAAATTGTATGAAAAAGTTGACCCGCTTTTTTCTAAGCATATGTATAGAGACTCTCTATTTATATAATCTCTTAATAAGTATATTATTGCACGATTAACGTTTTAGTTCATAGGCAAAGTACTTTTTAAATACTCATTGAAAACTATTAAAAACTCTTAAATTGTTTTTGGAAATTGACAGATAATTGCGACGTTGCTGCATTTCCTCAATATATAATACATATAATCATATCAACTTTTAACTGTCCACTGCTGAACATAAGCCTCCCCCTAGGGGGGTTTTTGCCAGTAGTTGTCACGCTTGGCAGACGGGTTGACAACCGCAGTTAGGCTTTGGAGATGTTTTAAGAGGGACGCTGCTGCCGATCCCTCGCGCTCGCTTATTCGCCTCTTACGGGAAATGAAGAGGTGGCCTATTCTACGCCGGGACCACACGGGACGATTATAATAGACAATATATGACAGTTGAATTGCTCTTGTTTAGTTTTAACCTTTGTTTGTTCGTGCTCTTTGCGCTTTAGTCTTAAACCTAAAATGTCCTATATTCCGGCTCTACGCTCTGAGGTCTTGCTTTATGCCCGTAGTTCCCAAAGTGGTCCAGGTGGTCCCACAGGTGTCAATAGGGATCTATGTGGGCGTGACAAAAAAATGGGGGTTCACGATTCGTAAGCAGAGGTTTACAAAAAAACAATCATATAATGTGATAATAATCATAATTAAAAGTGTAATAATTACATATTTAAATAAATAAAACACAAAAAGTATACTATTTTTCTTTTTACTTGTACCACTCCGAATGTGGAGTTTTCTAAGTGAAATAAGTGAGAATTGATTGGTTCCTTGTGCTGTGAGTAGTTGTCAAAAAAGTAAAATTGGATGGAATAATTTTTTTGACATCCATTCACAGTACAACCTTAATTAATAACCAATCAATTCTCACTTTTTTTTTTCGAAAACTATGAATTTGTGGTTGGAATTCAGTTGCAACGTAAATTTTCATTATTAGTTCTTAATATTCATAGTTTTTTGTCGAGTTTTGGGAATACGATAGACATATAGCTGCAGGGAGTCTACCGGAACTAGCAAAATTTTTAAAGTGGTCTATGAGAAAAAAAAAATCCTGAGAACCTCTGCTTTATGCTCTTTGCACGTTTGGTGTAACTGTACCTTTAGATACTGGCCTGTAGTACCACTCTCAATTAGATTTTTTTATATTACTTATGGTAATTCTAATAGATATTGTGGAACAATAATTAAAAAAATAAATGTTACTTGTAATTGCATTATGTAGTTTGTTGATAATAAAAAAAATTGTACGCCCAATGATGGCAAAGCATAGCGTTATATTTATATAAAATAAAACATTAAATTTATAAACTCTATGTAAATGTATTATTGTTTGATTGATTAATGAATATTATAAAAATATAAAATAAGTGGGTTTACTAAATTTATTAGTATGTTGAAACAGTTTCTAATATTAGTTTATTTATTATTCTGCTGATGAATATTTAAATTCAAGTTAATATGAACGCCCATTTCTCATCCAAGGTGCATTTTATTTAAATAATTTATTATATACGTTGTAATGCCTATAAGTTTGGTGAAATCGATACCGTTAGGATCGTTTTAAATTTTAAGCCTTTATTTAAATAAGTTACTAATATATATATATATATATATATATATATATATATATATATATATATATATATATATAATTCTTATTTAAATTTACTTTCAAAATTATTAAATTATGTTTTTCATTTTTTAATTATAAGTTATTATTTAAAAATATAATAATTGTATATATTTTTCTCTCTTTTTATATCTTCAACGTAAAATAATATATCAGGCCAGGTTATGTTCAATTAAAAGAGAAACCTTTATCTATATATTTTTATATTTAAAAATTTTAAAAATTGACCCGGCAAACTTTTGTTTTTCTTGAAAAAATATTGTGATTTTTAATTTTTAAATATATATTTTTTTTAATTTAATTAAAATCGTTCGTACGTGAACGAATACCGTGACATGGGATTTTATACTCGTATATTAAGAAGATTCATTGCGACAAGATTCAGTGTATGTACATGCGTGACTGTCTTATGAACACTCATTACCAATTAGGCTGTTTCTGTGCTGAAATTAAGGATGCCGAGTCCGTAATCTTAGGTTCTTTCCATTACATAATTATATTTCGTCAATTTCAATGATTTGTATGCGTAGAAGTTATCTAACACGTGAGCAAGATACAAACGCATCGGCTCCATATTAGTAGTATTATGGTATCTGTGGTATTAGTTTAAGGTCATGGAAACTCAAGAATTTGTATGTCAATGATATGTGAATGAATTAGTAATAAATTATCAATTAAATATTTTGTAATTAGAAAAACGACCCTATAAGCAGACCATCTGAGACTCACCTAAACCGTCTGTGGGGGGGAAAGAGATTGTTAGCAATGGAGTTTGACAACCCCATTGCTGGCAATATGCCCTATCAGGTCGACCTCCACGTGGTTCCCCTGGAAACCATTGTGAACAATTCATGTTGAATTCGTCACGATGGGCTAACTGACCTGCTTCATCCTCACCTATCGTCCTTCACTGTACTTCACAATAGTCTACTCTTTTAGATGAATAGTAATAGAATCTATAATAGGTATGATTTCGCTATCACTAGCACGAATGAGAAAGAACGAAACAGCAGTATCTACCATCTCATTCTTTATCTGCGATAATGTTAACCGACAGATTCGATTAGGTAGGATAGAATGGCAAATTTTTTTTTATGGATGCTAATGGTATGGTAACCCTACCTACGCTATCGGTATATACTGGCAGGGTACCAGTGAGGGATGACAAGCGAGGATGAAGTCAGGCCAGTTGACCAATAGTAATGAATTCACAATGAATTAACCAAGATGGTTTCCAAGGAAACTACGAGGAGGTCGACCTGATGGCGTATATTGCTAGCAATGGGGCTGATGGTCCCTATTACTTACAATTCCTTTCCCCCGAGAATGGCGAGTGCCATCAGTGATGAAGTAAATACCTTTGATGTCTGATATACAATTGTGCAAAATACTATTTATATTTATGGATGACATTTCTAGTTCATAAAATAACTAGATATTAGGGGTACTGAACGCTACCAGAGGGAGGTTTACCAGAGGGAGACTTTGTACAAAAGTCGATTGCTCTGTCCTCTGTCCCATTCGTGTTTCTACCGTGAAGCAGTTGTGTTTGCATGGCTGTGTTTCGGTTTGAAGGATGGGATATGACGTGAATTTACAGGGTACAGAGGAATAACACCTGAGTCCTCAGGAATGGCAACGCATGGGGGGTATCATGGACGAAACAGTACACTCTGTTATGTCCATGGTACTGCTCATGTGTATAGGCGACGGTTACCACTTTCTATCAGGTGGGCCGTCAGCTTGTTTGTCATTTTAAGTTGTATAAAAAAAAACTACCTATCCATATTCTATGCACTACCACTTTTTTAAATCTATACTTATAATAAATCTGTAGAAAGGTCAATTCTGTACATGAAATATATTTTCAAAATAACTATTAGGGGGTGATTAGTGATTGATACTGATGCCAAAAATGCAACCAATAAAATTTTTGTCTGTCTGTATGTTCGTTATAGAAACAAAAACTACTCGACGGATTTTAACGAAACTTGGTACAATTATTCTTCATACTCCTGGGCAGGTTATAGCATACTTTTCATCACGCTACGATCAATAGGAGCAGAGCAGGGAAGGGAAATATTGGGAAAACGGGAGAAGTGACTCCATTTTTAAGCTTCCATCGCATGTGCAGCCTTAATGGCCACTTTTTAAAATGTAAAAATGTATACCCGTGCGACGCCGGGACGGTCCGCTAGTAATAAATATTAAGGCAGATTTTATATCACATACGAATAACACATTTAGGGGAGGCTTATGGTTAGCAGTGGACGGTAGATGGTTGGTATAATGATGGTGATGTGACCACGTGGTTTTATATACCATTCAACCGTTGACAGAAATAACAGAAAACATAACTGACAGTGCATAAAAGCCATTCAAGGTTTTCACTTCATTCACCATTTTTATTTAGTAATAAACGAAAATTTATTCGTATTTGGACCTCGTTTCAAGGTCAATGGGTAGAGTAACCTTATTAATATATGTTGTAACGGTATGGTATGCCCAATATGCCATCGCATTCGACTCAATAGGTACACCATGTCATGCATAATTAGCTTATTATACAATTAATCAATCCAATTATCCCTTTATGGGATAAGTCCGCCATTGTATATTAAATCTTTTAATGTGTCCAATATAAATTATGTACAATAAAGTTTTATTACAAATTACAATTAAAATAATCCAATGGATCAAATGTCTTGAGTTCATCCAAGTTTTTTTTATTCTCCGTTAGTGCTTCGCCATAGTACATCGTTAGTATAAACCTAGGAAGGAGTGTTTTTTTTTAATGGATGGTAATGGAATGGTAACCCCGCCCGCGCTATCGGTATACACTGGCGAGGCATTAGTGAGGGATGATAAGTGAAGATGAAAGAGCAGGTCAGTTAGTTCATCGTGATAAATACACCTGGAATTCAGCACGATGGTTTCCAGGGGGGACCACTTGGAGGTCAATCTGTCAGGGTATATTGCTAGCAATGGGACTGGCAGTCCGCATTAATAAGAATCCCTTCCCTCCCCAGGGGGGAGTGTTAGTAAAAGGGAATAGTAGCCCTATTGCTAATAATCAATATCTTGTCCGGTTGACCACAGAAGGAAGGAGGGGAAGAAAAAGACCAAGGCGTAGTTACACCAGGTAGATCAAGTAATCAATCATAAAATCGTAGTGAGTGGCAAGAGCTCCACCGACAAGAGCGCAGCTCTTAAATAGAATAGATAGATAGGTCGACCACAATGTGATTCCCTTTGACAATTGTTGTGGTTATTTCTTAAATAATTTGTCATGATGAATCGATTAATCCGCTTTCATCTCTACCTATTATTTATTCACTCAGACACCTATTCAATCACCTTTGCCCCGCTAGTGTATATCGATAGAAGAAAAAGGTATTTTTTTAATGGGTGATAATAGAATGGTAATCCCGCCTGCCGTAACGGTATACGCTGGCGGGGCACCAGTGTGGGATGATAAATGTAAATGAAAAAGCAGGTCAGATAGTCTATTGTGATGAATAAAACTGGAATTCAGCACGATGGTTTCCAGGGGGTACACCGTGGAGGTTTACCTGACAGTATACTGCTGATGGAACTGACAGTCCGCATTATTAGCAATCCCTTCCCTAATACAGGAGGGATTGCCATCCTTTAATGCCGTATATATAGATAAGTATACTATTTCCTTGTTATTCAAAAAAACATTCCGAGAATATTAAAATTACATTAATAGAAACAATGATTTTTCCCACCTTCTGGAGTGAACATATCAAAATCACCAACAGCACAACCCGGCTGTGCTCCACCGCTGCCGAAGTAGTTGGGCCATATATCGACTGTTCCTGTTGACTTTGTGGTGCCATAGCCACCGGGGTCGCTGTGTATGATGTCCACGAATCTTGCACACGTACGGTCTAAACCTTTGTAGGCAAAAGAGCCTTCGAATAGCGCCCGGGCGGGGTCCAGGCCGGTTATCCTGTGAAATATACATTACTTTTTTTTATTTTTTTTTAATTAAATGTGTTTTTTTTTAATATATATGCCTTTTTTAAAAATTAAAATTTCTTGCATTAGTACTTCTAATTTCATCAAAAGTAAAAAAAATACGTTATAATAAGATACTGAGGAGTGAAAAGACTTTGTATTGTCTCTATTTATCTCTAACTAGATGTTGTCCTGTCCGATTTCCATTTCTTTTTTTGCTATAAAATTTTATCAAACATTAAAAAATAACAAATTGATTCAACAACAACACAAAGTGATGCACTTATGAATAAACTGTATAAATTTATTTTATATGTGTACAGTTTTATCATTTATTTATTTTTATATTAATTTACATAACAGCTTTCACCAACAACAAGGCCGTATACAAATTATTTCACTTAACGTGCAATAAATTTTACATTAATTAATTAACACCAGAGATGAACTCCTTTGTCATCCCAATAAATTCTTCTTTAGTATAATTGAATAACTCTACATGTGGATACTTATTGAGCATGTTGTAAAGAAAAAGCTGTGCAAGTATGGAGAAATATATGTAGGAATCTTTAATTGTTTCTTAAAAGCAGCGATCTCAATAATCTTAACACTAGATACAAATTCAAACTTGCTGTTCCGAAGTATCGTTTAAAAAAAGTTAATTGGTATTTTATGGGAATGAGCATTAAATGTTATAAAAGATACCGAACGATAATTTGTTTGACCTTTATAATAAATTTAAAACTGTAATTAAAAACACTTATTGAACAAAATCTATTACACACTAAATGATTACTTGAATGACAAGCGTGCATGGTGTTCGTTCGTTTAAGTCAATCATGCACAAACTTTGTAATGACCATGTAATTTTAAACATAGTACATTAAAATTAATACATATAAAATAAGTAAGTAGGTTAATCTGTTTTTAAAAGATTAATTACTTGTTGAGTCAACTAAATCAGCTCTAGTGTAATTCCTACCTATACATTATGTGTATTATACATACACATAATATATTTATTTTTTCACCACCACAGCCTTTCATACGTTTTTACCTAATGGTACAGATAATATAATACTATGCTAATGGTTTTCTCATAGAGAATGCCATATGGCATTAAGCTTGCCACTTGTACAAAGTTTTATTCTATAATAAAGAATAAATATATAAAATAAATAAATAATGTTATCTTCCATGTGGTTCCAGTATAGAATTGGCCAGATCTTCCTATCCCGTGGGTGTCGTAAGAGGCGACTAACTTAATGGTCGAGGGATAGGTAGCAGCGTCCATCTTAAAACAACACCAAAGGCTAACTGTGATTGTCAATCAGCCTGCAAAGCTTTATTGGACATAAGATTTGTAGGTGATAGGACTATAACCTGGTATGGTAACCCGGTGTCTTTAGGAATGTAATATAATTATAAAAATATATATACAAAGTTGATAGAAAAAAGTAAACGAACAAAATCTAATAATTTTAATCAAAAACTTATTTTTAGTAAAACAGACCAAAAAGATACCTCGTGCACAGTTAATTCTTATGACATCTTTTCAGTAACTCAAATCATATGTTTACTCGTAGAATGGAATAAAATATGGTAAAAAATATTAGAAGTAAAGAGTACAGTGTAAGACAAAAAGTATTAAAGTATTTACCTAGAGACGACATAGCCTTGTTCTCTAGCTCTTTTGCCAGCAAACCCCATAACATGAGCTCCTAGGGAGTGTCCCAATAAGTGGACTTGGGTCATGTTGAAGCCAGCGTGCGCCATGTTCACCAACGCATCTCCTAAACTGTCTCCCAACTGAAATAAATTATAAATAAAATCCTTGCTATATTTATTATTACTTATTAACTTATATTATTTCTTTATTTGTTTGTGCCTCTTAGTGTCTGGATGGCCCAATAGATCATCATGAACTTCGACTTATATTGTTTTTGACGTGAAGATAGATATAAGCTAGTTTTTATCCTGACCAATTTTTTTTATATTTCTGAGCTGGCAAACACACCTAACAGGCCACCTGATGGTAAGTGGTTACCGTAGCTTATGAACGCCTGTAATACCAAATTAATTACGCGCGCATTGCGGACCCTGAAAAAACCTCTATACCCATTTTTTTAAGCACCGCATGCTGTAGTCTCCTGGAAAAACCTCAACAGGGAGCTTATTTCATAACCTGAGCGTTAGTATCGCTGAAACTGCACTGTACGCGATCATCTAAGCTCTAAGGTATGGGGGTAAACTCCTTGTCTATGGCGAGCTGCCATCGCGTACGTAGAACGTACGAGAGTACGATGGTAGAAAGTGGCCATGGGCATAATATCGAACAATTCCTCTGTAAAATCATTGATATGCAGCAGAAACAGCGTCGGGGAAAGCACAGAGCTCTGCGGAACGCCAGCATTAGTGTCCACGCTATCGGAGCAGCAACTATCTATAACGGTTTTTATGCGTTTGCCGGACAAAAAACTGGCAATACATTTACACAAGCTGTCGGGAAGTCCATAGTAGGGCAATTTCGATAGAAGACCTCAATGTCAGACCCGGTCAAAGGCCTTTCCAATATCAAGACCGACAGCGAGCGCCTCACCTTGACTCTCAATGGCTGATGCCCATCAGTGCGTGAGATATTCTAATAGGTCACCAGTTGAGCGACTGTGGCGAAAGCCGTATTGGCGGTCATTCAACAAATCGTGATCCTTTAGGTATTTCAACAGCTGTGCGTTAATTATACGGTCTATCGCCTTAGAGAGAAGGGAAGCGATCGCAATCGACTTATAATTTGAAGGGCTCGACTTATCGCCTTTTTTAGGTAAAGGCTTTATATATATATATATATATATATATATATATATATATATATATATATATATATATATATATATATATATATATATATATATATATATATATAGTATGGCTACACAAGAGTAGCCTTCCATGTCGAAGGAAATTGTTCTGAAGAGTACGAAATCGTGAATAGGTGCATTAATTCAGAACATAGTTCCGAAGCACACTGCCGGTATACCCTCTGGCACACTCGACTTATGAACATCTAAGGAGAGTAGAGAGAACACAGGCGAGGGCACAATTAGTACATTATTTATTTTGTTATGTTCAGTACAGTGTTTAGATCCATTGCTAGCAATGTAGGGTGTAACATTGTCAGAGTCTTAATTGAGTTGGAATGGAATGTTTATCCCGCCTGTGCTAACATAATACGCTGCTGGAGTACCAGCAAAGGATGATAGGTGATTATGAGAAAGCAATTTAGGTAGATCATTCTGCCATATTCCCCTGCGCGATTTAAGTGCGATGATTACCATGGGCGATCGTGAGGAGGTCGAATCGATAAGATATATTGGTACATGGTATATTATTAACACTCATTTGACTGATCTGTCTTGGTCCTCTTTTATCATCATAAGATAAAAAAGGTAAAAAAAGATACTTGAGGATTACATTAGAATTGTTGGCATAATTATGGTATTGTGTCTAAACAGAATATGATATACGTCCTCTCTTATCATCACAAGATAAAAAAGGCAAAAAAGATACTTGAGGATTACATTAGTCTTGTTGGCATAATTATGGTATTGTGTCCTAAGCAGAATATGGTATACTGTAGCCTTTCTTAGTGAATTTGTCACGTTATTATCTAAGGTTTTTACGTTTTACCTACAATATTAGACATCTGTGTCAATAACAACCATCTATAAACAACTAATACCATTTTTTGCTATTTTTTTCCTAATCCAGCGCATAATGCACTAGATCAGAAGTAGAGGACATTATTAGACTATAAAATATTTAAATAGAGCATGAACGGAATGAAAGACAGTCAATTATACAAATTTTAATCATCGTCATCATTTCAGCTATTGTCCGTCCACTGCTGGACATAAGCCTTCCCCATAGACTGCCAAATTTTAATAAAATATGAAAAACATAATTTAATAATTATATATATATATATATATATATATATATATATATATATATATATATATATATATATATATATATATGTTTTTTCGTCGGTTGAAAATGACCAAAATACATTATTTCTCGAAGGGATGTTTTCCAGTCAATTTTGAGAACTAGAAACGAGTTGTTTGAATATGGTATTTTTTCATTATACAAGCTCAGTTGACAATATATGTATATCATATACATATATATATAACATATTCTTACAGCTACGATCAAACCTGTTCTCGATCTACCTTTCATTTTATATCAACGTATATTATTTAACTCTAGTCGTCGTTTTTTACAGGTGCACACTAGAGTTAAAAATAAAAATTCTTGTTGCGTAACGGAAAGTTATTTTTGGTCACTTTATAAATATTAAAACTATTTTTATATTGTTCCAAATATGTTAAGCTATTTGAATACAAATGCGTGCTTTGTCTTACTCTGTTTACATTTGGTTATAATACGTATAATCTAGTATATAAGGTAGCGTCGGTATGATGTAACTTGACAATTTACAATTTATTTTATGTATCTATCTACTCGTATCTTCATATCAAGTTCCTTTGGAAGATAGGCAGAGACATCCGAGTACTAAAAATCTCTATTTTTGCTTTATTCATTTTCACTCGAGTCATCTCATGACTCTCGTTATAGTACACGGTTTATTTCATCATTTTAGATTAATCTGGGCTTCTTTTGGTACTTATGTATATATTTCAAAAAATCCTCGTTTATCAGTCTATTTATTAGTGGAAGTCGTATCAAAATCTCTAAAGTATTTTTTTTAAGCTTTGCATCTGCAAAGTTATCTACAGTCATAGATCAGTACCTACTGACTAACAGACTAATAAACACGCGGTAGAGGACTTTATTTTATATTTTACTAACTTCTCCCGTTTCACCTGATGGAAAGTACAGACATGTACCATGGACATAACAGAGTATACTGTTTCGCCCATAATACTTCCCATGCGTTATCATTACTAAAAACTCAGGTTCAGGTTGTTCCTCTGTACCCTGTAAATTCACTGCCATATCCCACCCTTCAAACCGAAACACAGCCATGCAAACACAACTGCTTCACAGTAGAAAGACGAATGGGACAGAGGTGTCCAAGCAAACGACTTTTGAACAAAGTCTCCCTCTGGTAAAGTATATCATAGTGATTGGTCAAGCCGTTAAGGCTGATATGATAATGATGAATATCATATTAGCCTTTAGCTGTCCTCAGCTAAACATAAGCCTCCCCCTTGGGGGGTTTTGCCAGTAGTAGCAACGCTTAGCAGGCGAATTGGCAACCGCAGTTTGGCTTTAGAAATGTTTTAAGAGTAATGCTCCTGTTCATCTCTGGCCGTCCTTTAGTCGCTTCTTACGACACCCACGGGAAAGAAAGGGGTAGCCTATTATATGCCGGGACCACACGGCCATTAAGGCGTTAAAAGGTAATAAACAAACAAACATTTACATTTGTAATATTAATAGAATAATAATAGTAGGAAGCAGATTATTTACCTTCATTGCTCTAGGAACGGCGGTAATAATGTACCCTAAAGGTATACCAAAGAATCCACTCTTAGCCTCTTCCTCCCAGTCTAAGAGCACCACATTCCTCTTCTTCTTGGTCAGGTACGCGCTTATGAGTGCTTTAGTGGCTGGCCCGTCCACTCGACCTCTGTACCCGAAGGTATAAATGACGGTTGGTAAAGTTGGATCTATGCACGAAGAGTTGGCGAGGAACATAACATTTTCCAACGGAGATGTTATGTAGTTGTCTAGTGACCTGGAAAACGTAATTAGATATTTACGTTTTAGTGTAATTTATTTATTTACTAGCAAAACGCTCCGGTTTCGTATGGTATTTTTGGAAATGAAATGTGTATAGCCCATATTAATCGCTAAAATGCTTTCTTTAGGTGAAAGAATTTTTAACAGCGGTTAAGTAAATATCAAAATAAAAATCCATATATAATAATATCAAATATAAGTATCCATTATAAACAATAAAATTATATTTTTCTTGTTTATAATATTTTTTAATGGATTATAATAGAATGGTAACCCCGCTTGCGCTATTGGTGTCATAAATACATTTGTGGGGAATGATTGGTGAGGATGAAAAGAAAGGTCAGTTAGCCCACCGTGACGAATTGAACGATAAATTAGTCACGATGGGTTCCAGGGTTTTTTTTTTATACAACTTAGAATAGCAAACAAGCTAACGGCCCACCTGATGGAAAGTGGTAACCGTCGCCTATAGACATGAGCAGTATCATGGACATAACAGAGTATACTGTTTCGCCCATGATACCCCCCATGCGTTGCCATTCCTGAGGACTCAGGTGTTATTCCTCTGTACCCTGTAAATTCACGCCATATCCCACCCTTCAAACCGAACCACAGTCATGCAAACACAACTGCTTCATGGTTGAAACCGCGTGGAGGTCGGCCTGACAGGGTATATTGATAGCAATAGGGACTAACCTCCCCATTACTAACACTCCCTTCCCCCCTGTTTATAATATTAATTTAGATAAAGTTCATTACTTAGTTATATCTACTTGTTTACTAGTAGTATATTTGTTATTTATATATATTTATTCGTTTATATATGTAATTTTAGTACGTATGTATATCAATAATTAGTAGTACCGCATTCGAGTATTCTGACACTTCCCTATGGTTGACTGGGAGAGAATGCTTTTAGCATTAAGTCCGCCATGTACACATATTTGTACTAATGAATAAATAAATAAATAAATCATTATTTATCTATGATACTGGTAGGTGATTTTAACTCTATTGCTGAATATTGCCTCCCCCAAAAATAGGGTTTTGCCAGTAGTTACCACGCTTGGCAGGCGGATTGGCAACCGCAGTTAGGCGTTTAGAGATGTTTCTAAGTATATAAAAATATAATTACAGACCCTTAAACTACATTTAAAAATATTCCGTATGCAGTTTTGTCTCTGTTACGATCTTATTATAAGAAGTATAAAGATTAGAATCGCTCATTCTTAAATCATCGGTTCGAAACAACGCAAGCGAGTGGCGAATTAATCATTATCAGTCATCTCGAATGCAATGTATGGAAAATTTGTGTGAAGTAAGAAAACCGGTCTTTGTTAGAGCGATCAACCTGAAAGAAAGTAGTCGAGTTCGATAACAGTAGTTATGTTTGATTATACAATTGCTGACCTGATAATCCAGATAAATGACCTTCGACGAAGAACTGATTAGTGGAGTGTTACCACTATTACATAAGACCAGTGTTTTACTATGCAAAAATTAAGATGTAATAATAAATAATTAATCTTGTAGATTAATGGATAAGCGCGTTTCATTTTTTTTTCACTTACTATAAGGCGAGGTGAGTCCAAGCGTAAACCTATTAGTATATTTGACTACTAACAAAAAATATATACAAAATAAGGTTTGTATTTTAGATAGATAGAGAATTTATTTGCATTACTTATAGCACATAAATCAAAACAGACATAGATAAATAAAAATACATAAAAGAGAAACAATTATACTTATTTATACTTTAATATTTAACACATAACATTTAAATTACGATTTTGTTAAAAAAGAACATTAATTAACAATATTTATAAGAGACAAACCAAAAGAGATACATTTGAATTGAGTACTTTCTCTTTTTTGAAGTCGGTTGATTAAGTAAATATTCTCATTTCAGAATGCAACGCGTTCATAAAATGCAAATATAATAAAGCCAACAACAAGTTATTTGGAAACTGTGCAAGTCAGCAGCAAAGACGTTAAAAATCAAGGCTAGATTTCAAAGTAGAGTTTCATTCCTCAAGTTAAGCAAGTATCTACGAGTACTTATGCACTATGCATATTTAAAAAATTAAAAATTGTAATGAAGCAAATTCATAAGAAACGTGCTGTTTAATTTTGCAAGTTTTTAATAGTTTTAAGTCAACTAATTTGTTTTAGTTTTCGTCTCTCTATCTCTACAATCTGTTTATAGTATGCTTGTATACCTGCAGGATGAAATTGGCTTCTTCAAGTCAGCCGTACGTAAATCAAAATATCTACTCAGGTAAAGAATATATAAGGCAGAATTTTACAAAAAATTACTTTAAAAAAAATTAACTACAAAAAAATAGGAACAATAAAATTTTTGAACCTTTCACACTAATAATAATAGGTAATAATTAAAAGATTGTGTCCCACAAAAAAAAAAAACACTTCAATTGCGACAAAACCAGTTATTTTAGTCTAAAATTAAACTATTGAATCAATTTTGGTAAAATTTCTATAGGAACAATCTGTAAGTATAACCTTTTAGATAAAAAGAACTTTCGAAATCGGTTTCGAACTGGTGGAGTTAGGAGGTAATAGGCATAAAAAAATACAACCGAACTGAGAAGTCGATTTAAAAGAAATAAATCACTTTAGGTAACAAATTTTTTCTTCCTACTTTAATCTATATGCTACAGTACTTACTCTAAGGTTATGTTATGCGTGTTTCACGCACATTCAATATATTTGTATTACTGATAATTACCGACGTAAAAAAAAATGATTAATAGCTTATATCATATTTGAAATTTCATTCATGACTCGAGGCATTTATAAAACGACGCGTGAGTTATCTGGGCTAGTTAATTTCATTAATGCGTCATGAGTTTTTAAAATACGTAATCATAATTTAGCAAACGAATTCGAGGCCTATTTTGAAATTCAAATATTTGTTTTGAATTAACATATTTTCAACCGACTTCAAAAGAAGGAGTTTATCAATTCGGTTGTATTTTTTTGTTTATTACCTTTATCTGAAAAAATATACTTACAGACTGACTCAACCACCAAAATAACTGGTTTTACTATAATTGAAGTCAGCTAGTTTTTGGAAATCGGATATCTTAATTATATAATAAAGGCTAGTCTTAAATATATATACTCTTGTAAGACAACAATTTAAAACGAAATTATGTTTTTTTATACCACTGAGATGGCAAACAAGCATAGGGCCTACCTGATTGGTAAACGGTTACAGTAGCCTATGAACGCCGTTGGATGCGGTTTTCACAGTTGTAAAAAAAATGAATACGAATACCTTACTAAGACTAATAGATGCCAAAACAATAATTATTAGATTAAATTTTGACTGCCTGTCTGTCTATATATACTTGTTTTAGCATAAGGCAAAAACTGCTGTACCAAATTGGTCACAATTATATTCCTAAAGATCTAACTTAAAATCTGGTGTATGTTTTATCTCAGTACCCAATCTAGACATGGTCCATTCATTGGTTTTCCGACTTCGCGCGTACGAAGTAGGAGTCTAAAAGATAGTATACTTATACGTGATTTGTAAAGTGACGCGGAAACAATGCAATGTGTCATATCTCCTTGTCATTCTCGGGGTGTCGTGCGGCGACTAAGTAAACAAAGCACAAAGAACTATACAATTTAAAAACAAATGCTAGCACAATATAAGCTCGAAGTAAAATACCTACTATGCCGAGTCACCTGGCCAGCGTAGTTGCTTATTTTATACATAGAGAAACCTGTGTCCAGTAGTGGAACATTAATGAGTTATAAACGAAATAAAATATACCCACGTAGCAACGCGACGTCTTCGATTTAGACGTTATTATTTGGTCATTTTAGAGTCTTTATTTTTTATGCAACAGAATGACAAACAAGCTGACGGCCCACCTGATGGAAAGTGGTTACCGTCGCCTATAGACATGAGCAGCACCATGGACATAACAGAGTGTACTGTTTCGCCCATGATACCCCCTTATGCGTTGCCATTCCTGAGGACTCAGGTATTATTCCTCTGTACCCTGTAAATTACAAAGTTCAAAAAGGATCTAAATGCCGCCATAAATGGCGACTTCGTACGTCCGTAAGTTCATCTATCATAGTGCTATATTGTAGAAATCACAAATATCATTATCAAATACAGATTGATCTTTTAAATTAGTGTTTGAGTAATCATTTAAAATCCTTCACAAATCATGTTACTTTTGTGGTCTGATTTTAAACCGGTTTTTATGATCTAAGTTAAGGAAAGAGTAATAATAGTAGTTATTATTAGACTCTTATTGTATGAGATAGATAACATATATACCTCCTCCCAGGTTATCGAAGTTGACTGGAAGAAATCCCCTTAAGGAATAAGCTTGCCTGTGTACGTTTTGGTATAACCTTATATCTATATTATAAGTGAATGTACAAAAGCATATAAATGAATAAATAAAATAAATACTATCTTTTATTCTTAACTTCGTGTATAATATAGTATATCTTATATACATATGTATATAATTTATAGGGTACAGAGGAATAACACCTGAGTCCTCAGGAATGGCTACGCATAAGGGGGTATCATGGGCGAAATAGTATACTCTGTTATGTCCATGGTATTGCTCATGTCTATAGGCGACGGTAACCACTTTCCATCAGGTGGGCTGTCAGCTTGTTTGCCATTCTATGTTGCATAAAAAAAAATGTGTAAGTATTTTTGACATTTATACATATCTATTTGTTTATATATGTTAATTTTAGTATATATGTATATCAATTTCTACTAGTACCGCATTCGAGTATTTCAACACTTTTTTAAGGTTGACTGAGAGAAAGCTTTTAGATTTAAGTCCGCCTTGTACATATATATGTACTAATGAATAAATAAGTAAATAAATATTTGAAAAAAGTTTAATTATAAACATATTTGTAAATTATCATGTAAAGTTACAGTTTATTTTTATTATGGAACCTTTAATGTTGATTATCTCGCACTTGACCGCATTTATTTATCATTTGAAATAGTAACACAGTCTGGGACAAAGACCTGTCGCGTTCGACGCGACTTCACGCAGCGGCCTTTCCGTTGGTTGGTAACTTCAGTCATGAACGTCAATCAGTATTCACGAATCGCTCGGCCGATTTTGATCATTTCATTATTTCATTTTCAGTATTTTAGTTAATGTAGTAACATGTTGGCACGCTGGTTGGCTAGGTTTACAAAACAAGTGAAAATAACCCTGTTTAAAGCTTTTCAGGTGTTCTACACGAGTAACTATAATAAAAAAAAACATAAAATGCTCTTCGAGTCCAATATAATAATACCTTCAGAACATTGTTGGGGCTACCCCATCGCTGTAGTGCGTCACACATATTTGCATGAGAGCGCACGGATTATTTTTAGGCAATACGGCGCAAACGAATTGTTTCGCTGTTGGGTAGGGTGCGTGTTAACTCAAATAGTGTCCTGAAGACAATTGCCGTTAAAATGGACTGTCCCATCATAAAATACTGATTGGGACAGGTTATCAATGCAAGAGCGTCATGACCGCTTATTTACTAACATAGGTTAAGTAAAGTTATAACTTGTCACCCCATTGTACTTGTAATTGCACCCACTTGTAATACCATCGATGATATGTATCATATTCTATTAGAGTGTCGTAATAATACGAAGGAAAGAGAAGAATTCATGCGCCACTTTAATTTAAATAAATTTAATGTTGGTCTTATTCGATCTATGTTAGCAGAACTTAAATCAGAAATTTTTTAACATCTCTGTAAATTATTGATGCCCATTAATTCTTCTCTTTCCGCGTCTAGGGAGAGTAGATAAAGTTTTGTTTGAGAAATCAATTCAGGGTACAATAAGACTGATATACCTGAATAAGGTAAAAGCCCCTAAAATAATAAAAAAAAGAAAAAATAAATAAAAAAATGGCCCTTATAATAGTCTGAATAAATAAATATTATTATTAATGCTTACTCAATAAAAAAATTCTTTTAAATTAATCTAGCTACTTTCTCGGCATATATAAAAACAGATGACGTCTATTTAATGTCAATTCTATAATTATATATTTAGATTCCATAAAGCGTTTTTAGTTCTAATTAATTTTTGTAAAAGAAAAAACAATACGCAGACTTTTTGATCCGTATGATTTTATTTTACAATATATTACATTTTATTATTATTTATATATTTATATACTATATTAGCCATGTGGTCCCGACGTAAAACACATCCCTTCCTTTCTCGTGGGTGTTGTGTAAGGGAACTTAATAGTTGGAGAATTTTGTTTCACTATATAATTTTAAATGTTATGTTTTATATACTGTTAAATAATGCATGTACTTTATTTATAATTGTTCCATATATTGTATGCTTATATAGCAGTACATGGAGTAACTATTTAACTGATGTAATACCTTAATTTTACCTATGATCCACAATAAAGACATTTGTATTTAGGATGAGCAGCAGAGTCTCTGTTAAAACTTTTTTTTTTTTTTTTACAACACAGGGGGCAAACGAGCGTGCGGCTCACCTGATGGTAAGTGACTAACTTCACCAAAGCCTAACTGTAACAACTACTTGTAAACCCCCTCCTTATGGGGAAGGCCCATGTCTAGCAGTGGACAGTAAACGGTTGATATGGTGAACAATTTTTTTTCACTTTTGCCAGTATTCTTTCTAAAATAAGTTTCATAACATAATTGTTAGGTTTTGAACTGTTTTCCGTTACATTTTATAAAAAATTAATAAAATAAAAAAATAAAAAAAAATGTTTGTAATAAATAAACTAAATATACATATATTTAACCACTTTTGAAAATTCTTTCACCTGTAGAAACCTATGTTACGCGCGAGTAATATTTTATTTTCAAAAATCCACGCGATATCGGTAGTGGTTACTAGTATAAATATATAGGTAATTAGTAGAAAAACATCTTTAACTCACCCTTTGTAACATCTCAAATTAGCGCACTGCGCGATTTGAACAAAAACTGAAAATAGATATCATATTTTAACTTTATTTAATTTTATTAATTACACACCAAAGAAAATATATATATATATTTTTTTAATAACACTTAAGATCAAATTATAAACACAAAGAAAAAAAAATAGAAAACTAACAAAAAGCAACGACGAAACTCCACAACCAATATTTTTCAGTGCGACACATTGTAACCCCTAAAATAATTCACTGAAGTCTTTAATTTATAATTATTTCAATAAATAAGCCTGTGTTCAATTTAGTGTGCACGTTTTCTGCACACTAAGCGTGGTTGATAGACAGTGAAACAAGCGGTGGACGCTGGACGTATGTGTTGTTTCGACATTAAACCACAGTGTAAAGAACGACCAGTAGTCCAATGTCTTTGATATGTCCCGATTGCATGACAATTCGGGGCACATTGCTCTGTCTAGATGTGTCCATTGAACGACTGATTATAATTAAACTATAGAGAGACTGTACCTCTGTGGAATAAGTTATGCTGTGTTCTTTAAAAGATTGTGTACAAAGTTTAAATAACACAGTACAAAGTTTATTCTTCAGTGTTCCGAATAATGAACGCAGTATTTTTCCTTGGTTATAGGTTTCAATTGTCCGAGATTTGTCCTTATAAAAAATGGTCCTTCGAGCCGGATGTGAAGTTTATTAGGAATGCACTATGAAATCACAAAATAGTCTACATTGCCCACGGTTTCCCTTATGTTATAACATAGACGACACACGAGCATACGGCTCACCTGATGGTAAGTGACTACCGGCGCTCATGATCACCCGCAACACCAGAGACAAATTGCGTTAATCAATAAAAACAAATATAGATTTGTTAAAATATTTATTGTTACATCTCTTCACCTCTCAATCATTGACATGAATAATTAAAATTCCTGACGGCAGTAAAATGAACTTTGGCTCTCAAAATATGAAATAGATATTTATTATACGTATATAAAATTTTAACGGTTGACGTTATGAACGTCAATTTGTAATTGTCCTTGCTCCTGATGATGAAAAACTATCAGTTCATGGCGGTATCGATGAGACATTGTTAGGCACTATTTCCGAAGTATTGTCCGCTGCATCAGCTTCGTTCTCTTTGACTACAGGCTCCTCGGTTTCGTCTCTCATGAGGGCCCTATACTTCTTAGCGATGACTTCCCAGTCCACCACATTTTCTATTCTGGTCATGTTGTTGAAACTCAATTGAGAGCCCAACGGGCTCAGGTGGACGACAGAGAGACGAGTCGAATCTGAAATTTGAAATATACTTTAATAAGAATCTACAGTTAATATTCGTATATCTTTATTACAATCCAATGACTTTTTATTCATTATTTCGAAAAGCTACTAATATCTTATTAGTGTGCACGTATGTTTTTTCATACATTTTAATATTTTGATCAAGATTATGAAAATAATATAGAATATTTCTCAGAAATGAACGGCGCCAATTTAAGAATAATTAATCATTGTGTCTTATAAAAAAATCTGACTTCAATTGTTACAAAACCAGTTATTTTGTTTTATAAATTAAACTAACGAATCGATATTGTTAAAATTTCTACGGGACTAAACTGTAAGTATATCCTTTCAGATAAAAAAAGAATTTTCCAAATCAGTTTAAAAGTGGCAGAGTTATGAGTTATATAAACATAAAAAAAAAACAACCGAATTGAGAACCTCCTTTTCTTGAAGTCGGTTGATAGTTAAACATTTTAAAAATTGCCTTTTTAATTAATGTTTATTAAAATTTTTCATAAATAAATTGTCGTTATATTTCCTTTTATAGTAAAAAAAATCTTAATAGGAAAACGAGAGATTTTTATTTGCGTCGTGTTTATTGAAGTCATATAAATATTTTTAAAGCTTAGGCACAATTTTACCTTTAGGGACCACTTGTCCTCTTTTCACTTTAGATAACCATTTAGCGCCTGCCTTCGATCTGGCACTCAACTGGTCCTGTCGCTGTAAACCAATCATGTGGACAAGACTTGGCCGCTTCTTTTTACTTAGACGTTCCTATAACACAATTATATTAATTTTTCAAAAATATATTGAATTACAGTTATCCACAACATTTCCATTATATACTTGTACATGTAAAAATGACAACAGAATCATTGAAGTTCTAGATCTAGACTAACTTATTATGAACATATATTGTGTACTGTCTAAAAGAAGACTTAAAAATCTGCAGAACTGTCATATTTTTTTTAATGGATGATAATGGAACGGTAACTCCACCCGCGCCATCGATATACACCGGCGGGGCACCAGTGAAGGATGATAGGTGAGGATGAAGTAGGTCAGTTAGCCCATCGTAACGAATTCAACAAGAATTGTTCACGATGGTTTCCAGGGGGAACCACGTGGAGGTCGACCTAATAAGGCATATTGCTAGCAATGGGCTGTCAAACTCCATTACTAACAATCCCTTTCCCCCCAGAACTGTCATATTATGTTAAAGAAAGAAATTAGCCTAATCGAGAACGTTATCAATTCATCTTATTTTTTAATCTCTTCATTTTAAATTTGTCATCTTTAGCAGTCTCGTTGCAAAATCATTTCAATATATGTTTCTGCTTTTATTTATTCTTAAGTTTCCTGCCGAGGTCTTTTCTAGAGACTATTGGTATGGGATTTTAAAAAAAGTGTATATTAAGGTATCTTCAGGGTCGGCAACACGCACGTGACATCCCTAGTGTTGCAGGTGTTCACAGGCTACAGTGACCATTTACCATCAGACAGGCTGTATGCCTGTTTACCACCTTTATGGTACAAAGAAAAAAATTTATTAAGTTTGTAAGGAGACATAAATAAAATATACTTTTATATTTTATTATTTATATGCCCAAAACTCCTAATACAAACCGTCATAATTGTGTGGCATCCGAAAATTAATTTTATCTAAAATGGGGTCATTTAACTACAAAATACTACTTTTAAATCAAGTGTACATTCTTATCATACACTATTGCAATTATTTGTTCAAGATATTTAGGTAAAGTTAACAGCGGTAATTAAAAAAAAAAAAAACGAACAAAAACAACTATTTAGAATAAGAACTATTTAATTAGTCTGGTTAGAAAAGTAAATATTCTTATAATTTATGGGTTGAGGCCTTTCTAATGAATGATGATAGAACTGTAACTCTGATAGTGCTATCTGTAAATGCTGGTTTATCAGTGAGCGATAGGTGAGGAAAAAAGCAGGCCAGTTGGACAATCATAATGAATTCCCCAAGAATTAACCATGATGGTTTCCAAGGATAATTGATTATATTACTAGCAATTGGGCCGTTAATTCCCAATACGATAATTTTCTGCTGAAGCCTGTTGTATAATGATTCCGAAATGAGAGCACGATAATGTCCGTGCGGTCCTGGCATAGAATAGGCCACCCCTTCCTTTCGCGTATGTGTCGTAAGAGCCGACTAAGGGAGGGCAAGTGATAGGCAGCAGCGTCCCTCTTAAAACATCTTTAAAGCCTAACTGCAAAAAGCCTAAAGGCAACACCCCCCTCCACCCCCTCCGTGTGGACAGTTAAGGGCTGATATGATGATGATGACTCTACGATAATGTATTGATAATCAATTGATTTTTGCTCGCATACCTTACATCTGGCTATGAGCCACATCAGCCAAGTGGTGACCAAGTTGATTGGCGCCGGTGCAGTGCTGGTACGATGCATATTCCTAATCAGTTTTGACAATCCGTATTTCCATTCTATATCCGATTGTGCCTGAAATATTTTTAATGTATTTTTACTTCTATTGTATTCTATATTAATATTTTATATTAATATTATAAAGAGGAAAGATTTGAATGTTTGTATTAGATAAATTCAACAACTACTCAACTGATTTTAAAAATTATTTTTCACCTATAAAAAGCTACATTATCAGTGAATAACATAAGCTATATATTATCTTTGATAATTCTATATACTTGTGCAAAGCCGGGTCGTATGTAATTAAACGATTTTTTAATATTACTAATAATTTTTAAAAATTACAATAAATATAAAGATATTAAAATTTTAAATGTTAATAAATATATATAAACAAGTTATAAGGGGCATCAATGATACCTATTAATTAATAAGGATCAATGAACCCTTGGTAATTAATGTAATAAAATAAAGCAAATCATATTTAGCTTAAGGTATATAATTTCAAGTCATATATTATGAAATTGAAAAATGTCTTTGTTGTTTGTTTAATAAAGAAAAATTAATCTTTATAAATGACAATTGTTCTCTTCTTTATGTTTGATACATTATAATTGTAAAGATTTATAAGTCATAGATTTAAGATTTTTAAAATTCGACTATGATACGATGTATGGCGGAACCGGTCACGTCGTAAAATTTAGGCAATGAAATAATAACCGTGGAAAAATACAGGTGCTATCACTTATAAAGATTAATTCTAGATCGTACCAAGAGTCAACAACCTGCACTACAGAGAACCAGTAAAAAAGGTTAATTGGTCACAGAATAAATAATGATATGGTATTTAGTTACAAATTTGTAAATATATAGTCATAAAATAATTGAACAGCGTTACTTTATATGCAAACTACATATCTGTTAGGTTAAAGATTATTAAAATTTATATTATTGATAAATTTAATAACTTGAATGATAGTGTACTCGTAGAAAAATAGTTCTACTGTTCCCCAGAGCTACTTTAATGGGAAGTTAAATCTATGCAGTAGTTTAGTCTCTTAATTCGACTGATAAAAAATAATAAATAGGTGTCTATATTACAATAGAATTATAACTAGACATTCCAAAAAAGTGTTAGATTTTAAGATAATTTGGTGTAGAGATAACTCAGCACCTGGGCCAGTTCTATGGAATATTTTTACTGCAATTATATATTTTCAAATATCTATTTCTATGTAAAAATACTTAAAAATCGTCACGCGAATAATTATATGCAAATAAAAAACATAATATAAAAAATAAGAACAGGCAAACATTACTGAAATGTCATTCATTGCTCGCCTTTATAATAATCGTAGGAAGGTACGACACGGCACGATTTCTTCACGATACAATAGCAAAATGTATGTAGGTATGTGTGAAGACTTTGTATTTCCTGTTGCCAATGATGGAAGTGTGCGCAGAATTAAAAGTGTCATCATGCAATTGGATAGTTAAGTTTTGATAAAGATTTTGCTCTCTTAATGCGAGTATATCGTTAAATTAAAATTATGCTGTGTCGTGCTACGGTGCATAATATAAGCGACTATTCTTGTAGATAAAATAATAAAAAATAAAATGGTTCTATCGTTGAAAAATTTTTTATTTAAATTTATAAAATTTTGTAATTATCAATTGTTATAATCAGCGTTGTAACCAATTAAAAAAAAAGGGATTTTTACACTAGATAAATGCTACTGTTTGTACTGTTTTATTGTTACTTTTACTATACAAATTAACTGTATAGTTATTGATTCCAATTCAATAATGCGTTGTCTAGCATAACCTTCATTAAATACAATAGATACGTCATGAATTGTAATACCTTTGGCAATATTCCAAACATATATAAAGGACAAATAGAATTCGTATTTAATTTTTATTTTCGTGTACCCATTATATACAAGGTAATGTTACAATGTTCATTGAAATATGACTCTTAAATTTTTGTAGTTAAAGTGAATAATTATTATAACAAAAACAAGGTAGTTAGGGCGAAATTGTTTTCACAATTGCGCTTAGATTATTTTGCAAATTATTTGAATACACTACCATGTGATTAGTACAAAAGTAAACTATAAAACTCTAGTATTATTTTAGTAAAATAATACTCTAGTATTATTTTAACAATTTTCCGTATTCGTCGTCTATTCATTCAATGGCACGCGTGTTAGTCAATGCAGTTAGCTTAGAACGACGCAAGATACATTATGTATCAGGTGCGTTACCTGGATCCTTTGGTACGTGTCTGACATCATAGCAATGAGCAAATTGATGAGTACGACCACCGACACCAGCATGTAGATGCCGAAAACGATTTTGAACAGGTACTTGGTCCAGCTCGGCTGGGCGTTGGTGTCGTTCCTGTTCATCTGCGTCTGATCCGTCGTCGTCTGACCGAACACCGCGAAGAAGAGGAGCTCGAACGATAATAGGGGATTCATCACCACTGCAAGCAAACCGCGATTTACATGCGATAACACTTAGTTACCTGGATACGGTGGAAAGTGTCCGACATCATCGCAATGAGCAGTTTTATGAGCACCACGACCGACATCAGCATGTAGGCACCGAAGATGCACTTGAACAGATTCTGCGTCCAGGACGGGCGCACGCTGGAGATGTAGTTCAGGTCAGACAAGTTAATCTGGCCGAAAAGGGCGAAGAACATTTTCTCCAAGGCCTCGTACGGTGACAATGTCGCTAGAAGACAATACTCAAATGGACGAAGTTCTTATTGAACAGTTGCGACACGAACACGGATAGGGGCAGGTTGTTGTCTTGTCTATTGTCTTGTGGAGACTAATGATTGTAGAAGATGTAATGCTGTACCAAACTTTGGTATTAATTTTATTTTATTTAAATTATTTTTTTAGAGATTTATCAATAAGAAAATATTTAAAGACGGGTCCGCTCTTAAATTAAATATTGAAAATAGATAATTGATAATTAGAAAAGCTAATTTGGAAGTTAACTTGGATTAACGAAATTGAATTTTAAATTGCTGTATATATATTTTAAAGTCAATGGTAAACGTCCAGTCGGTAGACATTTGTTATTAATACAGTTATTAGAATATACTACCATTACTATTTAATTTAAACAAATTTTGATTTTATATAAATTATTATTTTAAGTTTAAAAAAAATAGTATAAGTTAGGTAAATACCTACGAATTCTTTATATTCCACCTAATCTACCATATATAGTTATTGTATTTAAAAGTTTAAGAATTTAAAATAGTGTTTTAGAAAAAGTGTACGTTCATAAAGATTCGATTATTTTCTGTACAACTGAACAACAATACAGAAAATTCTAGAAGTTTTATGAAAATTCGACAAAAACATATCCGACTGGCGCTTGGCACATTTTTTAGGATACCATACGGAATATATGGACTAATGAAGGACGATGGTTACATATTATAGTTAATTATATACTTCATTTGTTATATATTTGGACGAGTGTCTACTAGAAATACTATCGTATTTTAACCGCGTAAGTACATTTATATTTGTAGGTATTACTGTCCATTCTGTCTTAAAAACTATTGAAATAAAATTAATCTCGAATACTATATTTATATACTAAAGCAGGTTTATGTATATTAAACATTGCAATCTGAACATCTGAGAAGGAATGGAGTATTGAACGCTGTTCTCTTAAATAAATAAACAATCTTTAAAACCGACTCAAAATTTAAATCTTACTTTTTATTTAAGTGTTATATTTTAAGATATAAACAGTTTTATACAAATATTTATGTTTATTTTTTGTTACAATCGAATTTTCGTTTTTTCTAATAATTAAGATTCACACATCTGAATTTCATTCCGAGTTTAAATATTCCGTATGGAACCCTAAAAACAACGTCCGTCAGTCCATATTTTATTCGTGATTATTTAAATTATCAAATTGTATTGAATAAAATGTATTAATTATTAGTATTTTTGAAAAAGATCGAAAAAATTTTTCAATCACATTATTAATAAAATTTAATAATATAGAAAGGAATTCTAAACAGCAAAAATGAGATACATTTGCAATTTACAAATTATTTTCACGTGCTATACTATGTGAATGGACAACACATCAATGGGGATCAATCGAAGCGGACCAAATCTTCAATCATCAATCTACCCCTATCCCCTCTACTACATCAACTATCGAGCGGACAGACAGCGTGAGCGACAGTGTAGTCACATTGAAGACAAACAGCCAAACATCCGAAACACAAATAAGTTTCACCAAGGCACCTCATGCGCAACTCAAACTTGCTCTATCAATGCGGTGATATCGGCCACTCATTCCACTAAACTAGGGTTGCGGCGCGCCAATGCATTTTCCGTGTCCATCCATAGAAATAATGTTTTTTTTTTATATTCAAACATGATAAACATTTCATAATTTCGAAAAAAGAATCGAACCTCTTACCAGTTCTTACCTCAAGCATCCTTAGCGCAGTCTCGTTCGAATTCGTTATTCAAGATGGCGTCAAATCTGGACGCGATACGCCATCTATCGAACGGCCAGTGCAGTAGATTCGATAATTGTTAATATGAAACGTTTATCACATTTAATCATATTTCTATAAAAGATCATTATTAAGTGTTTAACCATTGAGCTATGTTTTATATTTATTAACATGTAAGCGAAGCAAAAATTGTGTAACACCAGTTCTAATTATAAATTCACCACCCTTGACGACTACGTATGTGTGAACCGTCAACGGCGGGGATGATGTGTTTTTTGTATGATTGTATGTTACAGTCTAACACATTCCACATTCCTCTGCGGCGGCAGTATTACAAGTATTGTACAATGTTGGAAAACATTTCCATATCACAATGAGAACATTCACAACGTGACGCTGCACACAGAGGCTGCAAGCGGATGGATGATCAGAAAACAACGAGTCGAATGCAAAACGTACGACTATTAGTATACCGTACCACCTGCTTACAACATTACACAGAAGTTGTCATACAATTAAAAAATCCGCAATCGTAATCAAAAAAGATTTATTTTATAAATAATTTGCAATCAATAAAACTCTGCGAATGAAGTGTAAATATTTAAAATTTATAGGAATTTGTTTAAATTAAAGAAAGTAAACCACAATGTTTTTTTTAAGTACACAACTACTGGTTTTATTTTAAGTTAAATATTCGTTACTTGAAAGATGAAATTAAAATTATACTTTTATTAATAATTTAATAATTAATATTATATCTCTCCATTCTTTTTTTTTCTGCCTATTCCCTAATGGAAGACTGGCGTGACAGAATTTTGCATATAGCTAAGTGACACCATTTTAATGATTTTCTTTTCCTTTTTGTTTATTGTTAAATATTTTTGTTATAATAATTGTGTAAAATTAAATACTAGATAAATATTTTCTTTTTCATTTTTTCTTTAAATTGTGTAGAATCTGGTTATAAAACTAAAAAAAAAACATTTTATTTGTGTCATATATACTTTATGTGCATTTATAACCATATTGTCTGTGTAATGTTGTTAATGCTGAATTTTCAATTATTATTCTTATATTAATTTAAATGTAAAAAGAACATTTTGTATTATAAATGAAGTCATTTAAAATGAAAAGGTGTACACAGTTGATAAGTGATTATGATTTAAGCTGACTTATTTTATAATATGATATTAAAATGGTTTTAGACGTCAAGATTTATTTTATGATAATAACGAATGGCGTATTGGACCAATAACATTGCATATATATATAAATTAAAATAAACTGCATATTTTTACATTCGTTAGAACCGAATTAATATTGTAATCGAATTCCCCACCCTTTTAGTAACAGTTATTTCACCAAAATTATAAAATTAGTAACCTCAATCGCTTCGAATCCTTTTTCAACTACATAAATGCTAGAATATTCTTTTCAAATTTTAATAATATTTCTAAAATTAGTAAGTAACACAAAAATGACTTATTGCCATGCAGTTTTAACAACTCGAAAGAAATTAGGCATGAATTTAGTTTTATAGTTGTCGAAACCTTAAAAATTTGTAGTTATAAATCACTAATATCCCATAACCATCGTGTTGATGCTCTCAAAATAAGTACTACGTAGGTATATTATCAACAAATCGAAGCTGAGGCGACAAATATAAATTATGCATTATTATTGGGCAAATACATGTTAATTTATAATTATATTATATTTTATATAATCTTGGTACGGTACACTAAAAATAAAAAGAAAAACACCAAAACACCATCGAGATTCAATGCAACCATCATATTGTGGATGACATATAAACATACGAACTCAATGAGCTGTAACCTTCACTGAAACAAGGACTTACGTCCAGTTATAACCTGTTTCCTCCGGTATACTTCCCCAAAAAAGGTATTATTCCACCGCGTACCAGAGCTTGATTGTTTTGATCGCTGACTATCATCTATGTGTAACAAGTATACTGTTAAATGTATGACTTAAATCTAAGTGTATGTATTCAACACACTTGGTAACACAGAAATAAGTTGGCACCTATTTCTGGTATAATAAAATATCTAACAATTCTAAACGTGTAATAATCATAAAAAGTGATTTTGTGTTCGCACTCACTAAAAATGCTACAATGTCTCTTACCATCAGAGAAGATCTTCTTTCTGGCTTGCCGGGCGTGTTTATTGTCTTCAGCCTTGTTGATGTTTCTAAACGGCTGGTTCAATGCTACGATGTGCATAGAGAAGCCGAATACAAATATCGCTAACACTGCAAGAAACCTACCCAGATCCTTCATCAGATCACCAATGATAATAGCCCAGGGACCAAAGAGGTGGTGGAATGACAAGAAGTCCAATATTTGGACACAGGCCAATAAAAAAGATAAGGCAAAACATTGGTTCCTGCAATACATTAACGTGGGCCAATACTTGGGCATCACAAATATCCAGCCCACGACGTGCGTTGCCACACCAATCATGCCGAGCAGTAAAACTGCAATTTTGATCCAACCCAAGCCAGATTTATCACTCGGATTAGTCAGTTCGAACAAGAGAAGCCCGCTCAACCATATAAGCAGTATCCACTCGTACCATCTAGGCACTAAATTCTCTCTAAATATCGAATTATAAATGGGCGTGATAGCTACCAGAGCTAACAATGTCATGAGGTATATGTGAGAAGTCAAATATGACATGAACTTAATTATTGGGACCTTATTATATTTATGACCTACTGGAAGAGAGAACACTAGCCAAACTGGCGGACAGACTATAAATGCGAAAAAAAGGAACATTATTTTGATCCCTGTCCACTTAAGACTCCCACGCCAGAGTTCCTGGAACAAAGTGTTAGAAATGAACGTCAAAGTAAACTCACTGTTGATACTTATTGTCTGGTAATCGGTGAAGTTACCTATTTTTTACCTGAAGATATCTCTGGACAACTGTATGGGCAATGACCTCCTTTTGCTCATTCTCAATTAATACATCTAAAAATTCTACGTTTCTGTTATCTGTCGCCGTCAGTATATGTCCGGCGGAATCAGCACCGGCTGCCAGCGCCAGTAATTCCGTGGCCATAGCCTCGCATTGTTTACCTGCTGCTATGAGATCTTTGGCACGCTCCTTCTCCTGTTGAAGATTTAAAATTTCTTTTAAGAAGTGCTTCAGAATTACAATTGACTGGTAATCTAATTAGATTTGGGAGAGGGGAAAGGGATTGTTAGTAACGAGCTCTAATAGCACCATTGCTAGCAATATATCCTCTCAGCTCGACCTCCACGCGGTTCCCCTGGAAACCATCATAGTTAATTCTTATCGGATTCATCATGGTGGGCCAAGTGACTTGCATTCATTCCACCTATCATCTTCCACTAGTTCCTCGTCGTGTTTACCGACAGCGCAGGTGGGGTTACTATGCCTTTTTCACTCATTAAAAAAAAATAGCGAAATTTATTAAGGAATATTTGGGGTGCAATCCAAAATACTCAAGCTGAGCTAATTTGGAAAATTCGTTTTATGAGTTAAACTGAGATTTTAACTCGATACTTCATTTATGCACAGTATTCTGTATGCCAGTGCATCACGTATGCGATAAAGTAGACATTCGTTTTATTTAATATAAAAAACTTAATTCGTACCTTAGTAGATAAATTAATATATATATTTGACAATTTTGCCGCCGTATCTACAGGTGCTGGGGATACCAACACAAATTCTTCTATTGGTATATTATTGTGATTTTTCGAACACACCATTAAATTATAAACAAATCGTTTGTCATCCATTAGTGATTGTGTATCGTGTTCCTTATGTAATAAATATTCTAAAACATCATTGTGATTTTCTGATGCAGCAAACCATATAGGTGCACAGTTTAAGTTCGTCTCGCTTTTTGGAGATGCTCCTGATTCGCAGAGAAGTTTCACTACGTTTAAATGACCAGCTTTAGCTGCACAATGCAATGAAGTCCATCCATTTTTATCAGTTGCATTGATTTCCGCTCCCTGGCCTAGTAAAACTTCCACCATTTGATAATGGCCATGCGTCGAAGCGATATGCAAACCCGTTTTTCCATGCCTATCTGTACTCTGTAGTAGTTCCGCTGACCTACTCAGTACAAGTCCAACAATTGACATATGACCACCAAAACATGCCAAATGTAGTGGATTGTAACCCTGTAGAGAAAATTTACAATTTAGCACAGATGGGAATTAGGTGAATTACAATTGAAGAATTAATAATTCAAAATTGATCTTAAGATTCTTTTACCAAAAAATGCGTATCTTTCTATAAAAATATTCCACAAGCAAAGATATGTATACAATTTCAAAATATTTAAAATTCCACGTGTCTATGCCATGTAGAAATAAGCGAATCTGTAAATCCTTGCTCTACTTACATAATAAATTCGTAGCTGAGACTTATTCTCAGCTATTCTTTCATGTTTTTCTTTTTTTTTTTTTATTATTAATTTAAAATTAATTATGAATTTACACATAAGATATATATTTAGAAATTAATTCAGTTCGCAATAAAGATGGAGAAAAGTTTTCAACGAAACAATTAAGTCTTTATTTTTAACTTACAATACCATTATTTACATATTATTTTTCAGATTTAATATTTAAAAATATTTACTAGCATTTAAAAATGAGTTTTTAACTCACATTCTCATTAGTTGCTGCATCCACTTGTACTCCAGCAGAGTTCAGTAGCAGCCGTACCACATTTTCATTACCATTATAAGCGGCTAGGTGAAGAGGAGTCAAACCAGACTCTGCTCCCAGTTCCGGGACTAGCGACACGCCAGTTGGCGCTTCCGATTTCACCGTCCCGGATACAAAGGACAAAAGCTCCCTCACCGTTTCTGAAATTAGATTATGCACTCGGATCAAATTAAAATGAAATCGGTCAGGTGTGAGTTGAATACACAAGCCGAGGGTTCCGTATGTACTTATATAAATATGAGATAAAATAACCTTTATTGCACTGTTTATATGAAATATTGTAATTTGTGATTTCTTATTTTGGCCGTATTTTTGGTTAAACACTGAACCGCATAACAAAATTTATTGTTGGAGTTAACATCTAGTTAAAAAAACGTTGTTTTATTTTTCCTGTAATATTAAAATGTATAAATGAAGCCTTTTAATGTGATACCCTCTTGGACTTGTAGGTTCGTTTTTTTACTGAAATTTAATTATTTCGCGTCAGTTACCATGAAGCTATAAAAACAAAGCTAAATGCAATATGAAAATGAACATAAAGGAAGTCCTTGACTTGAAAGATGTATTTTTCAGTAGTTTACGTTTGTTTTTGGATGTTTAGTTTTTCTTAGCGTGACGTAGATTGATAGCTCCTGAACGAAAGGTAATCGAATGTGGAGCATTAAATAAGTTGCTTTATAATAATGTGAAGGCGTCGTTAGAATTTGGCTGTTTTCCGTACACCGTACATCCGTACAGTAATAAAAGTAATTCATACAAATAATAATTATTACGATGCCCTTAATGGTCTTGCGATTTAACATATCGCTTTATTCTCCGATGGTCATGGGTTCAATACCTTACACGACAAACACTTATTCATTAGTATTTCTCTTTGTATTGGTCCTGGGAGTTTTATATCTATAATACTTAACGCGTTTGAAAAAACAGTATTTAAGTATTATCTTTCAATTATCTACTCATAGTACCCATAGTATAAGGTCTGCTTAGTTTATGATTAGATGGAGCTATGTAAGATGTTCTTTGGTATTTATTTATCACCCTTGGTACAGTGTGCCAGCTACGAATGAAAACCAAATGGAATATAAATAAATTGTGTCAAACTATATACAAAGATTAATTATATAATATATTATATAACTCACCTGCTTGCCCATAATACGCTGCTATGTGAAGTGGCGTCAATCCTAACTTTTTACTAGATATCCTTAACGTATTCGTCGAACGCATGACATCTAATACGTTTGTGTGCCCATGTTCAGCTGCCAGATGTACAGCAGTCATTCCAGCTCTATTCTCATCTGTGCAAGAAGCACCGGCTCTAACGAGGACCCTAACGACGTCCGCGTGACCACCTTCTGCAGCTAACTGCAGGGGCGTTGAATCGTTTAACTTGTTTCGCGCCGATATCACACCAGTCCTATCAAACTTCATCAGTTCCTCTATTACTTTCACTGACCCTTGCATAGCCGCTATATGTGCACATGTATTACCGTCTTTAGTCGTCGCCATTACTAAATTTGGATGCTGCTGTAAAAACAATTGGACTACTTCAGAATAATTGTTTTGCGCTGCAGCATGTATCGGTTTTTGGCCCAATTCATCCGTCGCGTCCGTGTTGGCACCCAGTTCAAGTAGAAGTTTGCAAACTTCCATTTGCCCACTAGCTGCAGCCAAATGTAGGGGAGTTTGTTTCTTAAGTGTTAACACGTCTATCATTGCATTGTGATCGCGTATCAAAAACTTAACTAAATGCGCATATCCGTTCATCGCAGCCAAATGAAGAGCGGTTCGTCCATTTCTAGCCTTAGAGTTAATGAATGCTTTATTTGTTAATAATGCATCACAAACTTGTAAATAACCATGTTCTGCAGCTAAATGTAATGCTGATCTACCTTCTATATCAAAAACGTCTACTCTGGCATGGTTGGAAAGGAGTGTATTGACTAGTTCCATATGCCCTCTATGGCAAGCAATAAGTAATGGCGTCCAGCCAATAGAATTTTGTTTATTTAGTGCTCTACCAACATCGGCGGCAGATATGTGATTAATCATTTCTGTCATAACATCATTGTTTCCAGCTATAGCACAGAAATGGAACGCAGTTTCGTGATTATGTTTTGTGGTTAAAGTGACATCAGCACCATTCTCTATAAGGCACTCGACGACTTGCCTATCTGCGGATGCTATTTTAACTTCTTCGTGAGTGATTTTGCAGGCATAGTGTAGAGCGCTGGCTCCGTCCTCGTCGACAGCGTCTATATACGATATTGCAACACTTTCGCCTTTGTGGTCCTTTACGAATTCTATCAAATGCCGTACTATATCCGGTTTGCAGCCACGACACGCCAAATGCAATGGGGTTTCGCCAGTCTGAAATGTAATTATTTAGTGTCAGTAATGATTGCGAATTCATACTCAACTTTTAACATTTAACAAAATCCATTCTGAGCTTTTAGTTAAACCCTATAGAGTAATAAGAACATTTAATAAAGACTTCAATCATTCAAACAGATAAATCGGAATTAAGTTAGTACATTTATTGTGACTAGCTGTTTTCCGCGGCATTGTCTATGTAAGAATATATAAAGTATTCTATATGTTATGATATGATATAACTGGCCAATGAACGAAATTTAATTCAACTGTTAACTGTGATTGAGTAATAAACATTCAAACGTATTTAAAATTTTCGCATTTTTAATTTTATTAATATAGGATTCAGTATCATTTGGTTTTAAAAAATATTTTTCGGTAACATACCTTGGTCTTTCTCAATGGATCACCACCATCCTCCAGTAGAAGCACGAGGGTAGCCAAGTTGCCAAACTTGGCAGCCACGTGCACCGGAGTCATACCATCCTCAGTAGCCTTGTTGGGGCCCGCCCCTGACTTCAACAGCATTAGGGCGCATTTATCCCCTACGACAAATTATTAATAAATTAATTGTTAATTATTAATTTTTATAAAAGCATATTTTATTTTTACACATCTAGTATGTTTCCCGTGACTTTGCATAGGCATCAGTGTATAAAGCTTTCCATGTGTCATGTTAGGATATAACACGCCTTGTACTTAAATCCAATCAAATCCGTTAAACTTTTTAAGCGTGATTGAGTAACAAATATACAAACATCTTTACAAAATTTCACATTAGTAACATTTATAGAATTAAACTATTTATTTTATTGACAAATAAAATCTAAAAAGGGGGCACAAGTTTTGACAATATCATTCTATACAATCCTAACTTTAAAAAGTGTATACTACGAGTACATATTAATACTTGAAGTTGATTTCTTAAATTGACATAGAAAATTATAGATTCTTATTCATAATGGTGATATTTTTATCGAAATACCTATTTTGGTAATCATAGGCGTATTTATGTTAAAGAGGATACCAAGTGGGTCGTGCCCACCTCAAAATTGACTGGTGCCCACCACAGGAGTGAAATTTGCAACTAAGCGTAAAAACATATCTGAGAGTACATTATCTTCATCATCTTCATCATATGAGCCGTTAACTGGTCACTGATGATTATAGGCCTCCCACTTGGGGTGTTTTACCGGTAGTTGCCACGCTTAGCAAACGGGTTGGCAACTGCAGTTAGACTTTGGTGATGTTTTAAGAGGGACACTGCTGCCCATTCTTCGATCATTCATCATACAAAAATCCGAGATAACTCACCATCAGGTATCCTGGCAGCTATGTGAAGAGGAGTTTCTCTCTGTTTGCCCCCTCTTATATGAACATCAGCTCCATATCCTAAGAGAGTTTCTACGACCGCTGGCTTGCAGGACTCAACCGCTATATGAAGAGCTGTGTAGTTGTCCTGCAAGTATAACAAAGGGAGTCTTTGTATAAAAGTCTCTTTTTTATTGGTGAAAATGTAATGTTATGTTATGTAATAAATGTGTAATGTAACATATGTAACCCCGCCTGCGCTATCGGTATACGGTGGTAAGGTACCATTTGTGACACCATAGATGAAAAGATGAAAGCAGATCAGTCAGTCCATCGTGCATCGTGACAACTTTTACAAGAATTAAGCACAATTCTTTCCAGGGGTAACCATGTGGAGGTCGACCTGATAGGGATATCATCTTTGTTAATTCCTTTTTAAATTTGTCACGATGGACCAAATGGAATAACCAGCTTGTTTTCATCCTCATTTATCATCTCTCGTTGGTGCTTCACCAGCGTATACGGGCAGCGTAGAAGGTGTTTAAATTCCATATACATAAAAAAACAAAACTTTCGTTGTATACTTACGTTTGTAGTGACGTCCACACTTTCCCCCTTTTGCAGCAAAGTGTTAATAATCCCGACGTGGCCGTATCGAGCTGCTGTGTGTATGCTGCGAGCGCCATCCTACAAAGCAAACATTCTGATTACTTACTAGCCTTTTTCCCGCTACTTCGTACACGTAGGTTTCAGAAGTAGGAAAATTAATGAAATTAACTATTTCTAGATGGTGTATCAAGATAAAACACTAAAAATAATCATCAATTCATCATCATTGAATCAGAGGGCCTACCATAAAATGTTTTTCGAAATTTCGGAGCCGAACGAAACACAAATTTGATGTTAAAATGACATAATACTTACCGTTTAAAAACATTAAAAATATTATTCCTTTGGACTTTTATGGTAGGATTTGTGACGAACGAAATGTTAAACTCCATTTACTGGGCCGTATTAGGTATAAAAGAAAACACGAAATTGAGTCCGAAACTTCGGATTTTCATTTGATGGTAGGCCCCCAGCTGATAACTATATTGCTGAACATAGACTTTCCTCATTATGGGAGTTTTACCAATAGTTGCTATACTTGGCAGGTGGATTGGCAATCGCAGATAGGCTTTAATAATATTTTAAAAGGGATGCTACTGCTCATCCCTTGATTATTAAGTACCTTTAGACGACAAATATGTTTTAATGATACCAATTGTTTGATATAACATTAATGAATACTCTAATTTCATAGTTCTTAATGTACTAATCGGTTATAGTTTTTTTTTAAATACATATATTATAATAAATTTTATAGAGCAAAATTAAGACAATCTTGTAGTAGTAAAGTATAGTGTCACACAGAGGGCGTCTCAATCGCGCGATGAATATCCTCTCAACAAAAATGCGCTTCTGTGTCGCGTCCGCTTAGCGGATATATAGATAATAATGTCATACATACTGTTTTGTCTAAACTAGCTTGGCGATAAGCTTAAATTATTGTAAACAAACCACCTCTTGTCTCTAACGCCAAGAATGTATGTAAAATAATAAAATAGGAGACCCACTAAGTGTCAATTGAAGAAGGACTTTTTTTGATCCATGTTTATAAACAAGTGCTGTATAAAAAAATGTATTGGAACATAAGGCATTTTATTTTTATTTTATCAAGTATATAATATTATACAAAAAATATATAATTTTACATCCAGCTAGGTCTTAGTTTTTTAATAATTAAAAAGTAAAAGGTAATTTATAGGTGACTCAATTTTATTTCTCATAGAACAGTTGCAATCCAATTCACGTCGAGTGTAGTGTAAGAAATTACATAAGGAATCTAGTTGGAATATAAATCTAATCTGAATTATGTATAATTCCAATTAGATTTCGGAAAAATGAGGTTTTTTAAACCTATATGCTAAAAATACCTAGTCTGTGTAAAGTCCGCTCACGGGACGCCACAGATGTGGATTTTCCACCATTTTGCATGACACAGTTGAAAGGATATAAAAATTTGCAGGGTAGTTTGGTGACCGTTACGCTGTATTACTATGCACGACCTACGCACTACGTTTATGCCGGTCTACCATTGTCTAGTCATGTATTAGTATTAACACCTATATATTATTATAATTCACAACAATTACCTTATTAGGCATATGTAAATACACTCCCTTCTTAAAAAGCATCATCGCGCAATCAGCGTGACCGTTCAATGACGCTATGTGCATCAGCGTGCTCCCGTCTTTGGTGCGCTCGAATATTGACGCTTTAAACTTGTCTGCGAGGAGCTCTATAATGGCTGCATGACCATTTTCAGCAGCTAAATGCATTGGCGTACGGTCTGGAATATAAACGTGAACTTGTTTTATATCGCCGTCGCACAGAGATTTTTTCTTTCACTGTTCCTCTCTCTCTCTCTAAACAAATCGAAAATGATTCATAAATACAGATACTTTTTTTTAATAAGTGATAATGCAATAGTAACCCCGCCTGCGCTAACGGTATACGCTGGCGGGGCACCAGTGATAGATGATAAATGACGATGAAAGCAGGTCAGTTAGCCCATCGTGAAGAATTCCACGAGAAGTAACCACGATGGTTTGCAGGGGGGACCACGTGGAGGTCGACCTGATTAATAACATTGCTAATATTGGGGCTGTTATGCCCCATCGCTAACAATCCCTTTCCCCGTTTGTTTCCGTTATAGGGGTATAACAGATACTATACTAAACATATGTATTAGATACGTTTTCAATAACATATATATTAGAAAGTAAATCATGTAAATGTTATTATCTTGTTAGAACAAGTGTATATGAAACAGATTTCAAATACACTATAACCATTTACTTATAATACTTAGAAAGAAAGAAAGAAAACATTTATTGACAACAAGAATTTTAAATACTTTAGTAAACTGTTGATAGATTCGTTTGTCATTTATTTCTATTTAATCTGTGAAAATGAAATGATAACCCCGCCTGTGCTATTGTTATACGCTGGCGGGACACCAGTAAGGGTTAATGGGTGAAGATGAAAAAGGTCAGTTGGCTCATGGTGGCAAGTTCAACAAAAATCGCGATATTTTCCAACTAGGGAGGAGAGCGTGGAGGATATCTTGACGGAGTATATTGCAAGCAATGGTGCTGTTTTACCCCATTATTAACAATCCCCATTATTTAGGGGGAATAAATACTTGAGTCATAATAATACAATTCATTTGTGTAATCGTATTTAATAGCTATATCGCGTTTAGGGCGTAATATTAATGAGCTAGTGGCAGGTTCATTTGCAGGGTATACGGAATTACATATAAGAGACGGGAAGTAACGCGATAATTTTTTTTTAATGAATGATAATGGAATGGTGTTCCCACCTGCGCAAACGGTATACACTGGCGAGGCACCAGTGAGTAAGGATAGGTGAAAATGAAAAGGCAGGTCAGTTAACCCATCGTGATGAATACATTAGGAATTCAGCACGATGGTTTCCAGGGGGGATCTCGTAGAGGTCATTCCTAACAAATATTTTCATCGTTTAATTGAGATTTATACAGCCCAAAATGCTATAAATATCATATTAAAGTCATTTTTACATATAATACAATATTGAGCCCCTTATGTTTATACAACTCGTCATAATAAAGTATACTGTGTCTCATGATACCCTTAAAAAAACACCTCAGGAATGACAATCCTGAGGACTAAGGTGTGTTTTTTTAATGGATGATAATGGAATGGTAGCCCTGCCTGTGCTAACGGTATACTGGCGGGGCACCAGTGAAGGATGATAGGTGGGTAATGAAAAAGCAGGTCAGTTAGCTCATCGTGATGAATACCAGCATGATGGTTTCCAGGGGGAACCACGTGGAGGTCGATCTAAGAGGGTATACTGCTAGTAATGGGACTGGTAGTCCGCATTACTAACAATTCCTTCCCCCAACGCGTTCATTTAGGTCAACTATAATAATTGAAACTGGGTTATCTTAACTTTGACGTAGTCACGAGTAGACCGATGTAGCGCTGTCATACCTTTGCTCCGAGGTAGAAGTTTTGTCTTCTTCTTTTTTTATAACACAAGAGGCATGGGTATGATTTTTAAAAATGGCAATGGGTGGTTGTGTGTTTTTCTTCTACCTACTTATTGTTACACATCAGTTTACTCGTGACTACGGCTGATATTATTTCGTTGAGACGTAAAGATAATCTAGATTAATTATTATAGTTTACCTAAATTATTGCGTTAGTTCCTATTTCTTATAAACCATATACGAAATTAATCGAATTATGATTGGTGTTAAGCAGGTTTTTAATTCCCTTAGACAGGGGGGAAAGGGGTTGTTAGTAATGGAGACTGAGAATCCTTTTGCTAGCAATATACCCAACCAGGTCGACCTCCTCGCGGTTCTCCCTGGAAACTATCATAGTTAATTCCTGATGAATTCATCATGATGAGCTAACTAGCCCTCATCTATCACCCTTCACGGTGCTCCGCCAATCCCGTACTAATCAAAAAAAAATTTACTAAGCAAACGAATCTACTAATAGCTTACTAAAGTAATTGTAATTGAGAGCGCTATGGTCCCATTTTTTTACGTTCACTGAGAAATATTAACTACACCATGGATATTACACTGTGATGACCATGGTATCTCTTACGTTATGGTTATTGTAGGTTGCCATTTGCAAGACTAATGTTTTATAATTCCGTACCCAATGCAGTAATGTTACTATTAATTAAACTAGAAAAATAACCTATATAAATTTCAGTAGTTAGAAATATTTGTTTTCATTTCTTTTTATATATGTCTGTAGTATTATATTAGCAAGCTATCATAGCTTACAAACAAATACGTGTTACTGCGTTTTTCTCAAATAGCCTTAAATTATCACGGATTCAAGCAATCCGTGTAAAACAGTACTTCTAAATAAAAGTTTCGAGTTGCCTGGTTCTTGTATTTGGATATTCTTAATGTAATTAAAAATAAATAGTTCCTAAAACGCTCTGGGCGAGAATTAAACTCGCGACGTCACTTATGCGAAACAACGTGACTTACCACTTTAACGGAGGTAATTTAAACATTATATAAGGTAGCCATGAAGCCTGCAATGCAGGACGTCATAATTAGTGACCTTGATAAGCCATGTTGGTAATATGTCCATTATGTATATTTAAATTTTTACCCGACAGCCGAAAAAAAGTGGATCATATTTTTAAGGTGTAACTGTACTTCATATAGTGTATATGGGCAATCCATTTATGTAAATCTAAAAACCTGGTTTTATAGTATATTTATAGCTTAAACAATTATATAATTGCAACGATTTTTATAAAAGCGCTGCACTTTGGTTAATTGGAGTTTGGATGGTTTTGGGCTTTTTATAAATAGGCTATTATTTTAGAAAGTTATTTCAATTTTAATTTTATTATGTGTTTTGGCACATCTAACCTCTATATATATTAGGGTGCAAATAAGAAATTTAAACCAAAAAAATTTGGTTAAAAAATCTGAATTAATCATGTGTCACCTTTTTATTCTATTAGACATAAAAAAAATATTATTCGTTTTTTTTTACATTTTTAAATAATATATGTCGCTACCAGCAAATGAAAAATAATAAAAAAACATTTATTTTCAATTACTTTTATTTCAGTTCTGAGATGCCAATCATACATAAAATAAAACAATTATTAGAAAAAAAGATGGTTTACGCTAACAATGTGCTTTTATTTTTATTTGGATACTTTTTCCAATGTAAAGCCCAATGTAAAATATGTGCAATAAAGATTTACAATAACGACAACAATAACAATAATCTCACCTTCATTGTCAGCAATGGCGGCGTTCGCCCGGACCCCGTAAAAGTACTTGACGAGGGGCTCGTCACCTTCGGCGGCGGCGATGTGCAGCGCGGTTTGCCCAGCGCCATTGACCGCGTCCACGGCGGCGCCGTAGTCCACAAGGATCCTGGCCATGTCCACGTCGCGTCTGCGAGCCGCTAGGTGGAGTGCCGTGTCCCCCATGGGGGTGGATGCCTAGTATACATTATATAATTACTATTTTATACCATAACTAGCTCCTTACCTGTAACTTCACACTCGTGCATTGCGGAAGTAGAAAAACCAATGGAAAAAACAACTTCTAGATTTCGTGTCAAAATCAAATATATACCACATTTATAAAAGTCGTTTGCTTGGGTACCTCTGTCCTATTCGTGTTTCAACCGTGAAGCAGTTGTGTTTGCACAACTGTGTTTCAGTTTGAAGGGTGGGATATGGCAGTGAATTTACAGGGTACAGAGGAATAATACTTGAGTCCTCAGAAATGGCAACGCATGGGAGATATCATGGGCGAAACAGTATACTCTGTTATGTCCATGGTACTGCTCATGTCTATAGGCAACGGTAACCACTTTCCTTTAGGTGGACCGTCAGCTCGTTTGCCATTCAAAGTTGTTTAAAAAAGAAAACAGACTTTAAGTTAGACCTCCGCGAATATAAATATAAAAACCGCATCAAATTTGGTGCAGTAGTTTCTGTGTGATATTCGGTATCATTAACATCCAGAAAAACAAAAGTAAAGAAAAATATTTTGTTTTGGCATCTGGTCTTATTAATAGACATTTATAATGTATTGCAGTTAATTAGAGGTTCTCAGGACCGTTGCTTTACTGTATAGGGAAGCCACATGATCAGCAGTTGATATAACTTTTATTTTACCAGGGGTGGAGTGTAAAGTAATCGTCTGTATGATGTATATCTGTATGTAAAAAGCCATGCTAGTTTGGTTTTACATCAATTTTAAAGATTAGTGTATTTACTGAGTCAATAGATCTGATCATGTATACAGATTGTCCATTCACATCAGTTTTCATCAGGTGGACTGTCAAATAGATATACAGTCATATGCTTTATAAAACAGAAGCCAAACTTCATGACAATCATGATATAGTGTCTCATCAAGTTATACTAGCGAGCCAAGAACAAGACAACAAGACAACTGCTTCCTGCAGAACTTGCACAGTCCAAAGTGGCAATGCTGAGTGGAAATACTGTTATTCTCAGTGATAAAACAAATGATTGACTTTACAAATGATTGTATATATATATATTTGTGCACGTCACTTTTTTCTGTTATTTTTGTTAAAATAAATAAATAATTTCTTTTTTTCTGAAAAATTAATGCAAGTGGTAACCAGTAATTAAACCAACGCTTTATATCTGAACTATTTGCTAGAGATTAAAATTGTAATGATAGTGGATGTCTTGTTGGTTTCTCTAATAATAAAATAAAAGACAAAAGTATTTATCTGGTATAAATATGTAACAAGTATATTTTTGATTTGACCTTGACTTAAAGAGTGCCAAAGCAGTTTTAAAAATCATAAGACTAGACTACTTTTATTTTTTGAGTTTGCTTATGTAAAGCGTGTGAAACAAGTGCATACTTTACGTGTGAAAACATAAAAATGTCGAGCAACTAGTTTCTTATTACTAGTTTTATATTGTAAATTAGACTTTAAAAATAATATATGAAACACGTCGCGTTCTGCAGTTGCAAAACTGGGTGCAGCACCTTATCAGCAAGGGTATATTTCTTAATAACGTATTCATGTTCCGTAAAATAAGTCAAGCAAATGCTATAACAGTTAAAATATGAATAAATAATAATAAATTATATTTCTTTATCGATTTCATTTGTTTTTCAGCTAGTTAGGTACTTTGAAAATGACTTCAGATAGGAAGGAGGTTCAAGTAGGCGATAATTTGTGTACGTATTTATTTATTTAATGCACAGTAAAATTCTATGTACATTTGGCGGACTTAACACCGGATGGTGTTCTCTCTCTCTCTCTCTCTCTCTCTCTCTCTCTCTCTCTCTCTCTCTATATATATATATATATATATATATATATATATATATATATATATATATATATATAAACAACCCATTTTTATTTATCCCTTTTAAAACGAATGGTGTAAAAGTAATTTGGTAACATAGTTCCATACTCTCGTGTTGATCCCATTATTGTTTTGTAATAATTTAGATAAATCTTAAATTCCTGTTTCTTAATCAACATCAAATAGACATAGTTCTCAATTTAATTTTTTTATATTTATGTATTAGTGTAAATATTGTTATAATAAATAGAATAAGAATAAGAACTTGTTTTATGCTTATTTCAATGCTCTATAATTGATCATCAGTCGATACGTTAGTCAAAAGTATGTAATTATGCTTTTAAAGATAAATTTTTTATATATTCTTTTTACTACATGTTTTAGGATTTTTTTTAAACTTATTTGTGGGATCTGTATTTGCATTTACATGCCTTAGTTATTACTATTATTATCACTTAATCACTGTTAAAGAAGATGACAAAGAGAAAGAGGTAGATTTACCTTTAATAAATAAACTTAGAAGCACCTTACCTTGAGTTGTTCCGCGGTCTGCGCGCTGAGCAGCTCGCGTACCATGCTCTGGTTGCCAGCCTCCACGGCCAGCAGCAGCGGGACTTTGCCCCTCTGCAACACCACGTCTCGAATTAACTTTTTCCATTCTTTCTGTCTGGCCTTTTCTTTATTTAATTCTATAAAACTGAGCTCCAATTTCTGCAAGTCCTTAGCTTGCAGATTTGTCGGTGGACTACGTGTAGCTGGTGGAATGTTCACGTTCGCGCTCTTTGGAACGTCACGCCCACTGTCGGACATGGCGATGACAATTTTTTTGTCCCCCTAAATATACACTAATGCACTGCCAAACCGAACTCCATACGATGCAGTGTCTAAGCACAAACGCCCTACGCCAATCGTGGTGAGCCACTGCACGAATTGTTTTCAAACTGTGACACCACAGACTGAACTTTCCGACTTATGTATATTGCAATCTCCGCAACCGTTCCGACAAAATGGCAAATCGATTGCTATCGTGCTTCACACCGAAATTCCATAGCCGAAACAATTTCAGGTCATAATAATATTATTTCCGATGCGGATTATACGTACTTGTTCCTCCATCTGTATTATGTTAGGGCAAAAAGTCTAAATGAGACATCACAAAACTAGCTTGCTCTAGTGGTGACGAGAGACCGACTGGGACTGAGTGTATTAAAATTACTAATTTTGAATTTCACCACTGACGTGAAAGTAATAATCCGCAAGACATTTGCAATGCAAATTCGCGTGGTGACGTATACTTTGCGAGTAAAGCTCGCCGGATAATTAGCTAGTTTCTATTCGTGGGGGAGACGGGGTGAGCTCTGTCAGAATGTCTTCAAAACAACCCTGGGGAGGTGGATGATTAGCTGAATAAGGTACGAAATTAATATTATACAACATACTTGTCAAATTACTACGAACCACGCTACATAAGTTGGAATCGTTTGTTTCTATTAGTGTATGGCAAAAGGGGTGGGGTTCTCTTCACAGGTTGTATTCGAGTGTTTACTGGGTAGTTCCTGAAATGTTGGGTGCTGGTAGTGCCAGGCTAGGCGGCGTCGGTTGGCTGCACGCGATCGCTGCGACGACGTTGCATCCCCGTCCGTACATTCGTAAATAAATGTGGTTCACGCGACATCTCAGACAGTTATTGTAGCGCGTCTTAATCTTAAATATTATAAGCTTTATAGACATGTATTAATAATAAACTTATAAAGATTGAAATAGAAATCGTTTGTATAATATGTCCACTTTAAAGGGAGTACCCTATCAGCAAAACTAAATATCGTTCATAAAGAAACATAGATTGAAAAATTTTAAACAAATTTGAGCTTCCTATGCAACGCATGCTACTGTCATGTCATTTTTGGGAAAATGTAGTTTTACTAATAGAACTCTGTCTTCTTTTCTTATCATCATCAAAAAACCTAACAAAAGAACTTAAAAAATGACTATTTGACTAGCTCCAAACAGTGGCTCAATTGTTAAGCCCGCATATTTTTTCTATATGCAATGTTACGCCTTGGTCTCGCCAAATCACTATCATCCTTCAGATCTTCTGTCAATATATATCCGAGATATTTAAATTTACTGACTATTTTATATATATTTATCATCTGGCTTTACCGAGAAATATATCGAAGTCTAATATTCCGTGCACCAAACGAACTATAATCGATCAAATACATCCGACTCACTCCACCTGAGTTATAGCTACCAACTTGCTCACATTTTGTTTTTTACAGTTCACTCACCCCGTCTATCCTCAATCGTATATCCTTCCCGGCAGCAGTGAGAAGTGCTCGTAAGATGCTGGTGGCTGTCCCGGTCTGCCTACTTGCTACCAGGTGGACCGCAGTTTGTTGACGGCTCTGAAATAAACAAACGGTTATTGCTCTGAACTTTGCCAATCATTTTTAATTTTATGACTGACAATACTTTACATTTTGTACAGTATCAGATTTTTAGTTACAAACTTGAATTGTAACAGAAGATTACCTTTATATAAAATCAGAATCTTCTGTTACAGTCCAGCGGAAATGATATGCAGAGATGGAAACGATAGACCAGAGACTCCTTTTAAAGCTTCCTTTTAAATTTCTTCAACGACAAATTTGGTACTTCCGACAGTTTTATATACAACAAACAATTAACTGTATTAGAAGAGCAAATGAAACAATCTATGACTCGAACAGAGTAACCAGCAAGATTAAGTTTAAAGAGACAGTGAGAAAAAAGAATTAAAAGGGAATGAAGTTATCTCCTTATAAATGTAATTTCAGTGTATATAAGAGAGAAGTACACAAATTGTAAATAAGAAGAGTGGTATATAGAGACAGCTTAAAGAAAAATCAAAGATTTTTTTACCTTCGGTTATTAATTAGAAACGAAGTCAAATTAAAATTAAGTTTGAAAAGTTTTAAACAAGATCTCTTGTTAATATATGTTGTATTCTTACCCCTCCGGTAGCAAATGGGTCAACACCTCTCTTGGACAGCAGCAACTTGACGATGTCCTCACGGGCGTACATGGCGGATATATGGAGAACATTGTAGTTGTCCTGTAAATAGTTTACCATTACATTAAAGTAACAAAAAAATTAGGTCTATTAATCATTAGATCATCATGTCATCACCATAACAGTCTTTAACTGTTGAACATAAGCCTCTCCCTTGGAGGGTCTTGCCAGTAGTTGCCACGCTTTGTAGGCGGATTGGCAACCGCAGTTAGGCTTTAGAGTTGTGTTAAGAGGACGCTACTACCTATTCGTCGTCATCATTTAGTCGCTCTACGACACCCACGGGAAAGGAAGTTGGGACCTATTCTATGCCGGGACCATACGGCTTTAATCATTAGATGGATTTTATTAATGGATAATTTAAGATTGTTTTCCACAAGAAAACCGACATCAATAAAAAAAAAACCAGTTATTTTGATTTCAAGACTAAAGTATTTAACCAATTTTGATGAAGTGTCAATGGAACCAATATGTAAGTATATCCTTCCTATCCAGATAATGAGAATTTTTCAAATCACTTTATAACTGACGGAGTTATGAGATAACAACAAATATAAAAAATACGACTCAATTGAGAACCATGTTCTTTTTAAAGTTGGTTAAAAACAAGCCCACCTAAAAAAAAACCCACCTAAGAAAAACCCATCTAATGAAAAGTAGTAACCATCGTTTACAGACATAAAAACTATATGAACATTACAAAATACACTATCACATGCATGATGATGATGATGATGATGATGATGATGATGATGATGATCCTTTCAAACCGAACACAGCTATGCAAACACAGTTGCTTCACGGCCGAAATAAGAGTGGATGGTTAATAAACTTAAACTTAAAACCTTTGACGGCGGCATTATAACCTGGATTAGATTTTATTTTAGATTCGGTTGTGGCTCTCGATCCAGATGTTTGCTCCTTAGTTTCCTATAACACGGGTTCGTTTAGTTTGAGGATAAATCAGTTTTTGTAATTGTGTGGTATTATTTCACTTACATACATAGGTCATTATATATATTAGGAGAATTACATAGGTATGTGATGGAAATTACATCTAGCAATAGTGCTGGCGATTCTAGGGATTATCTACACTTAAATTAATATGAGTAGGTACATAATCTCGATGGGGCGACGATCTCAAATATATTGCAGGTAATGTGTGGACACCGGTAATTAAGAAATTTTTCTTGTGGTAATTTATGGGGAATCAATATAGATGATATTCATTAAAGGACAACAAATAAAAAACCATGTCGATGATGTACAACAATGTTTTTAACTATTTGAGCATATGTATTCTACTTGATATATGTAACATATTGATCGAGCAGCAGTTTTAAAACGCGAAATATTAAACCATTTAAAAAACTTTAAGTTACAGTTAATTAAAACTTTTTTTATTATTTCCTTTTCATTAGCTGTGTAGTCCATATGTGTGTAATAAATAAAACATTAACTGTCATAACACCATGATTTATGCGTTTATGCTAATGCAAGTCGATAAAAGGAAATAAGAAAATGCATTATTTTATGCCAACCTTTTAAAACGCCGGTCAAGTGCGAGTCTGCTATCAGCTCAACATTTTTATAGATATTAAACTAATTTTTATAAAAAATACATATTAGTCATATGGAGAGGATGTATGAAAGAAGAATTACTAAAAAGATTTATGAAAAAGGGTCAAATAAAAAGCACTCATTCATTAGTATTGTTTACCTCAATAGAAGATATGTATGACAAATAATATACTATTTCTTTTACAATGATTCAGTTATACAGGATTACGTACTCATTATATAGAACGGTTGCTATTTGCAGAATGTTTCGTTAACAAAAATACTTTAATGTACGTACCTATAAGTATATATGGTCGAGACCGGAGTTAAAAAAGAAAAAACTACATATAGGTTTGGAAGTATAACACTACTCTTTAAAAATGATGCATATATTGCCATGTGATCCCGGCATAGAATGGACCACTCCTTTCTTTCTCGTGAATATCGTAAAATGTAACTAAGGGAACTTAATGGTCGAGGGATGGGCAGTGACTTGCCTCTTAAAACATCACCAAAAGCAGACTAACTGCAGTTGCCAACCCACCTGCCTAAATGGCAATTTCTGTCAAAACCCCACTTATTCCTATAAGGCATATGTTTAGTAGTGGACCTTTAATGGCTAATTTGATGATGATATGTATGTATACGCCACAGTATTATTTCTATGGTGCTATCATTTATGTTTATCGTCGATGGTTATCGCTTTTCATAAGATGGACTGTTAGCTTGCCATTGAAAATAGTTTAAAAATGATACAAATCACTTACATTGTTCCTGGCGCCAACGTCAGACCCGAGCTCGATGAGCCGCTCGACGAACGAGGTGCGGTTGTCTTTCACCGCGAACATCAGCGGCGTCATACCGGTCGTCTGCAATGAACAATACAGCTTTGTTATTAATATTATAAATATATTATTTTACTGATTTAGATGTTATCTTTCCATATCACAGGTTACTTGATTAAAATTATTAATTAATTAATTACTTAATTCCGTAATACCATTAGTATTATATGTGACTGCCAACACTAGTTGTAGTCAATCTTCGAGTGTTGACAGTCACAGACATATTACACATAGTAATATATATATATATATATATATATATATATATATATATATATATATATATATATATATATATATATATATATATATATACTATACTATATGTGTTTACTATTCTATAAATGGTGCAATTTCTTTTAAAGTGTACATAAATAAATAAATAAATAAATATATATATATATATATATATATATATATATATATATATATATATATATATACAAAACTTCTTTTTTTGCTCAATTGGTCTCGTTATATCCATCGTACACGGGTTATATAGAAGAGCCTTTATTCACACGTGCTATTCGAAATAGCTATTAAACAATTCGTTGAAATCATAAAAATTGTCGGGTGCGAAATATTGCTAACGCAAATTTATTTTTACATTCAACATTATATTTGCCAATGATACACGATATCTCAATATTTCCAGTTGCTTGTTTCGTTTTATGAAGAATATGGAGGGAAATTTAATATTGGAACATTCATGCTTCTCACTTGGATATATTCACATTTAAAAAAAAATTATAAGTGGCCAGTAATAGTTATATAGAATACAATTAATTTTAACAACATTTTCTGTATGTATTGTAGTTAATGATGTTTATTTATTAAAATTATTAATTAATAAGCTTCCCTGGTAGACGATATGTTGTTTTAATTCCATTTTTATTTTCTTAAAAACCTTCATGTAATTTAAAAATTAAATGTATTCTTAACCTATTGCGAACATAAAATAAATAATAAAATTTGTCCATTCTCGAGTAATGATCTAATAAACGAACATTTTATATTTATACATATATATAATATGTAAATAAGGCAAGTACAAAGTTTGGTACGAGCAAAAACTATAACTAAAATGTACGTAGATGGTAGAACGTAGGTGCGTAGTAGGTTAAATTCTACTATTTTTTCTGTTCTTCTGAGATTTATTTTTATAGGAAATCGTTTAAATATTTTGGAGTAGAAAACATAAAATTCAAAAAGCAAAACTGTGTGCTGTTATCATTGAATTTTATTATAATATTACCCGGAAATCATTGTTTTGTCTACTGCCGCCACTTCTCACCACACTCTACTTAAAATTATTCTGTCTATGAAATTGGAACAAATAATGGACGTTTATAAAATTTCATTGAAATCTGATGTGCCGTTTCGAAAATTACTGTGAATAAACATCATGATATAGAATTTTTATATATTAAAATAAATTTTTCTATCTTTTTTATGTTGGCATTACAAGAGATAGCCATATTACTAATTTTGTTTAACAAATGTTGTATCAAGTTAGGATTGCTATACATTATGTTTGATCGTACGGGATCATCACTTGAAAACCTTTCTGTCAATGGGGACATTGGCTGTCGGTATTTCGAGTCATTAAATTGGTCCACTGTTACTTTAGAAAATCGATCCTTTTTGGCTACATCCAAAAGCTATTATTACCTATAGATGTCTTTTTAATTTATTAATCACACCCATAGAGACTAGAATTCGGGTTAAAAAAGTTGCCAGTGTAAATAAATAATCGAATGTTCAAATCTGGGACGAGTAATTCAAATACTTGAACGCAGCTAATAAATTAATCTAGTTGCTATTCGTTTACATAATATAAAATTTTTTCGCCTCGCGCACTAGGTGTGGCGTGTAAACATTTACGAGCAAACCAAATTTTATGATGCAGCATGTCTTAATTATCTTTAATATTGTGGTTTGTATGTTAATCTAATAATAATTGGGTCGTACCGTCTAATAAAATGTCTGTATATAAATAAATTTGCCGCGACTCCGTTCGCATTTGAAAAGTTTTATTGAAGGCAATAAGTGCGTGTTCGAAAAAATAATGCGCATAATGATAATGGCAGGCATTAAATAAGGTAATTTCGTTGATCAAAATCTATTTTGCCAGTTCAACTAGAAACTATCAGTGAAATCTGTTTTCTGTATTATTATGAATTACAAATTATACAATACAATAACACAATTGCCTAGAAATCAATTTAAAAATAAAATAGACATATTGTGGGCAACATTCTTTTTACGACGTGGCCGAATACCTCAATGCCAATATTAAATTATGACCTACTATTATTTATTTATAATTAATTGTAATAATGGCAATTGTCACACAATTCCATTTTTAAAATTTGTAGTCATCATTATTGTCAATATATATTACGATTTTATTGACATGTACGAGTACTGTAATTAATTTATAATGTTATTTTTATTTTATATTTTAAATGTTGTTATTGTCATTGTTATTTATTTTATTAATTTAAAAATTACAATGTAAATATTGACTTGCCATTGTATGACGAAAACTGTTACATTGGTTAATAAAGAAATGTAATATATAATAAATTCTTATTTTTATACCAAACTTGGACTTTAGAAGTAGGAGAGCCATCAAGATAAAACAACACCAAATTTTAAGTTAGATTCTCAGGAACACAACAGTGAACATAGCAACCAATTTGGTACAATAGTTTTTACATACAGACAAAATTTCTAAACATTATTGTTTTGACATCTATAATTCAAATTAAGATCCCCTTAATTAATTTTTATTAAATCTCTCATTCATCTTGTAACAGTTTTATTATGTTATTGCCTCGTGTATCATTTCTCATTAAAATTAACTGTATTTACTATTTTATAAATGGTGTAATAAAGTATTAAATAAATAACTAAATAAATATGTTAGTAAAATAGAAAGATATGTAGGTATCCTTAATCTGTGTCCAAATAGCATTTTGTATACGAATGTTTTATGCATAAAAAAAAGAGTCTTGATTTCAAATTTCAAATTCGGAATAAATACTTTTTTACTTTTTTTGCATATTTTTGTTTTGGTGCGCAACAACTATAATATATATTTTCCTTATTTTTTTCATTACTAATGGAGTTTTTTTACTAATGGAAAGGCAACGGGCTCTGCCCATACAGCTCATGTCTATCGTACTGATTTTTCAAATTATTATTTTTTTCTTTGGCTTAGATTTCATAAATATTTGAAATGATGTATTCCTACATATATATCTTCCTTATAAAAATAAAAATCAACTCGTATGATTTGAAAAACAGTAATTAAAACCTTATAAAAAATACTAAAATGTAAAATATAAACGATCTGATTATAGAAATGTATCTGTTATTTATAATTATTAGATTGATATTTGCTCTAAAATTTAACCGTGTAGCCCCGGCATAGAATAGGCCACCCCTTCCTTTTCTATGGTTGTCGTAATAGTAAGGGAGGGCGAGGGATAGGCAGCAGCGTTCCTCTTAAAATATTTCCAAAACATATCTATGGTTGCCAATCAGCCTGCCAACGTGGCAACTACTGGCAAAACTGTCCAAGGAGGAGACTTATCAATGGCGTTCAGCAGTGGATAGTTAAAGGCTGATATAAAATAATATGATAATGAAAATACGTAATTGATCTGCTTTTGGCGAAGTATTTGAATGGTGACATTCTATCTATATAATTTATACGTACAAGGTTTAGTAACCTATATCTTTTAGTTATGAAAACAGAGTGAGTTTCCAATTACACATCGATAGAGGCCTGTGCCATAATTAAAACACCCTCAGATAAAGTAGGTTGTTGTTCCAGCACCAACAATTGTTTCCAGTAACGTTTCTGGAAAACAACGCCTCCGAAGTACCTATCGTGCTTATAATGAGCCATGTTGTATGGTGCAAGTCAAAAGAACAAACGACAAAATATCTATAGTTTGTTTCAATAGATAGGACTTAAAGGGAATATAAACAAACGAATAAACAATCTGAGCATAAAACAGTCTTATAATATTTAATAGGCATAATCGACGGATCTGTTATCTGTACAAATTTTATTCAGAGTATTCTACGACTATAATTTTAACTAATAACGAATGTTTTGTTTTCTTACAAATTTTATTTAGAGAGTGGTTCCGTAATAATTTTAACTAAATTTCGTTATTTAAATTAAATTAAGTTCTATTAAAATGTAATTATAAAAACAGATTATACCTAAATTCATGAATTGAATACTATTTTATACTGTTTTTTTACAATTTCGTAACTGTATATTTGATAGAAGTTAATTAATTCATACTGCTATTTATAAAGATGAATAAGTGCAACCATTAGCCAACAAACACCAGTATTAACAAATTATTTTTTATTCCGTTTATTGTGAGAACGAAGTGCTTCGCCTAGACAGAAGTCTGAAGGCGAAGCACTTCGTTGTTTCGTCCATCTGCCACAGATAAATTTCTTATAGTCGATGTAAAAAATAAATCAGGAGTTAGGTTTTTATTATTTTAATAATCTACTTAACTACGATCGATATCAAATATATCTGTTATATGTATAATTATAATAAATATATTTGATATCCATCTAAGCTAAAGCTTGTGTTGCTTTATTCCATATGTTGTATAACATAAATAAAGTATACTCAATCATTTATTCATTCATAGATTAAAAATGACGAATAAACATACATTTATAATATTTTTAATTATAATATAGATTACCCGCTTATTGTTTATATCTTGCACCACCTGAAAGACGTTTTCCAAGCACTACTCTGCTAATTGGCAGAACTGTGAGCGTGACCCATAATAATTACCTTAATGTTTGTTATACAAACTTATTATTGCACTTTGATTTAACCCAACAGTTCAAGGGTTTTGCCGTCGTTATTCGCCTCCTACACTTGAAGAAGTCAGTCTTTACCAACAACGATATGACGATAGCGTACATATTGCGAGTTTCAAACTATATAGGCGTACATGCAAAACATTTTT